CCTCTTTTTTTTTGCCCCATGGCTAAGTCTCAAAGTTCATCTCGGTCATAGGTGTTGTAGCAAAGCTCATGGTCATTCTTCCTCCCGTGCATTTTTTCTTTCGATTCCTAGTCGATCCTGCCGTCGTCCGACATGAGGCTCAATGCCTGTCCGTCCGTCGGTCTGTCAAAAAATGGCGTTTTTGATGTTCCTCTGTCGTTCGATGCGTTCCTGATCAACATGTTGAGCGAGAACGAGCGTTCGCAGAGAACGGCGATGATCTGCAGAATAATGACGCAATATTTGACATCAAAGATGGCTTCTACGCCCCAACAACAATAGGAGGATGGAGGAGGACGCAGGGTTGTGGCGAAAAAATTTTTTGCTGTAGAAGAATGACCTTGAGTTTTGTTACAACACCCATGACTAATGTCCGTGGGTGGTGGACTTCAGGCGACCACAAAAGTGTGAACACCAACTCTATCGCAAGAACCAAACACCGCAATGCTCCACAGATCAAGCCTTACACAACTTTGTGTCTCACTCCAAACCTTCCGGATTTCCGGATCAGGTCGCCACCAGCTATTGAAATAATAGAATTTCGTCTATTTGAGTCAGAGATCCTGTGTTAACATTATTACCACGTATATTACCTTTATATGTCGTACTTTCACGGCGAATGCCGGTATAGGAGGTATGAGAGGGGATGAGCCACATCCCGGTCCTCATACTAGCCTTAGATCTGTAGGACACAGCGGAGGATGTTGGCCGTGCCCAAGATTGCCGTACGCTGAAGGATGTCGAGTGATAGTTGACATTCCAGTTTCTTAACGTGTCCCTTGAGGTCTTTCAGAACAACGCCGGTTGTGCCGATGATGATCGGAACGATGGTGGTCTTAATTCCGCACAACCGTTCCACTTCCACTTTCAATTCGGAGGATTTCTCCGGCTTCTCCCTGGTCTTTATATTATTATTATTATTATTACTATTGCTTGATAATAACAAAGTAAAAGTAATGCGTTACAGTAACTACATTTTACGTAATCTCAGAGGTAACGAGTTACGCTGCAAGGACTTCTAACGAAATCGGTAACTAGGTCCTTCTCCAAGTAAAAAGTCAGCTGCGTTGTTGTAACACATTAATATCTTATATTATCTCGATGACATACACAACTTCTGGCGAAAGTGACCAGCGCTGTATTTCGCTGTATTTTATTTTTGCTGTATTTCATTCACATTTGCATGACTAAAATCGTTTTCAGGCTGAAAATGACGTATACCAAGCCCTCGTATAAAATACATTCCACCCCTAACAGACTGCAGTGGAGTGGCTATCAAGTGTAAGAGAGGATATTTCCACGAGCAAGAGAAGCAGAATTTCAGATGCCAGCTTTGAGAAGCAGCTTCTTCCAAGAGCGGACTTACACGTGCGAGTACATCGCTTGAAAGTAACTCGTGGGAGAGTGCCAACCAGTCTTTTTGCACACACGCACGAAAATAGAGAACTCTATTTCTTGGAAGTACTCTCACGGACGTAGATCGTCTACGGAAAGGGTTCCTCAAACGAACATCTTTCATGCCAGGTGCACTCGTATGTGTGAACCCGCCCAAAGTTGCAATACGAAGTATGGGTGGAAATAAAGTGAAATGTCATCGTCAATCATCGGAACACCGTTGGAATGAAGATTAGTTCCGAGTAAATACAGCTCGAGAAAAATAGCTTGAAAAGTAACTTTTACTTGGAACTAGTTCCTCTTGGTGAGGAATAATAATACTCGGAACTCAATCTTAATTATTTGTGGGATGGAAGACTCGTAACTGTAACTAGTCACTTTTCACTTGCAGCTCACCCAACACCGATGCATTGCTAAAATTTAATTAATTGCTGCTTTCATTCCACTCGCACTAGCACATTATTAGTCTCAATAAGGAATAATTTTACCCCAAGGCCCAGGGGAAGGGCTCAGCAACTCAGCAACTCAAAACAGCGTCATACATCTGTAATAAATTATTGAAAAAATATTCTAGGAAAAAAATCGAATAAGAGTCCTCTAGAGCAGTGGTTCCCAATCTTTTTTATTTGCGGCACACATAAGGACACTTGAACTTTCCACGACACGCCCAGCCATTTACTTACTTTCGATGGGAAACTTGTGCTTGCTTCGCTGAACACAGTAGTTTGATACGAGGCGTGATAGAGCAACTCTCAGCTCGTTTTCCACTGAGAGATGGCGTTCCCTCTTGTTTTTAAGTTTTTTAAGTTTTTTTGTTGTCAACTCTGAAATCTCAGGGCACACTTAAGCCTTACTGGTGGCACACCAGTGTGCCGCGGCACACCGTTTGGGAAACACTACTCTAAAGTACCTAATTCTGACATGATTGCCTGAGTTGCCTGAGGTTATTTATTATATATATGTCAGTATCAGACTCATAAAACTACTGGACTGCTCTGGGACAACTGAAAATGTAGAGTTAGTTGCCTCAATTCGCATCATTTAGGTTATTCACAAGAATAGTTTCCCTGCGTAAAAATTTGTTACGCTCAAGAGGATAATAGTTTGAACATGTTTGCACAGTGTGTAATAATAAAATACAATATTAATGGAATTTAACTAATCAAATATGAGATAAGATGGTAATCACTCTATAATATTTAGAGGCAATCACCTTTTGCCTTGTCGTGAAGAAGAAAATTAAACAGAACCATCATGAAATTGACACCTTTTGCAGTACTTTTGCACTACGACAACAGTTAATCTGAAAGAGTTTGCGCCTGATTAGTGCTACTTCAGCTGTAACAGTTCGCTTTCGTTGGCAGTCACTGATCTTGTTTTGGACAGGTCGTTCAATCGATTATATATGTAAAATCACAACATACGAGGTCTGATAAAAAAGTTCCAGTACTTTTATTCGTAAACTTTATTTTTAATAATTACATTAAAATTAATTGTTGTCCCCCCCTCGATACTATGCAATTATCCCAACGCTCCTGCAACTTCTGGAAGCAGTGCTGGAAGTCCTGGAGTGTAAGACTCTTAAGCTGCCTCGTCGCATTTTCCTTGATGCTTGCAATGCCTTCAAATCTATTTCCTTTCAACCCCCCCCCCCCCCCCCCCCCCCCCCACTCCCACCTACACTAGTCCTAGCCCCCTACCTAAAGCTGTTTATTTTTTAACAAGAAAGTACTGGACCTTTTTGATCAGACCTCGCATAGGCTTCTAGATCTTATGCAGTCTATAATGTATGTATAGTCTATAATATGCAGTCCAAAACATATGCACAGAAACTGTTTCACTTTAAATATTATGGAAATCGCTGTCGGCATTGTTTTTGTCTATCCCTGTCGCAGGGATAGACAAAAACAATGCATCAGAACTGTCGTGAATGGAAACTGCTCAAGCAGCATTTTTATATCAATGTGATATCGAATGTCTGTCAAGGATCATCTTCAATCCTAAACCAGCGAACTACTTCACAGAATGCCGTTCATGCCCTGGCGTATCAGGTATGAATGAATGCTCCTGAGAAAACTAATGGATTACAATATGGTTAATGATATAATCTACAGACAGTGGATCTTCGTTGACAGATTCAGTCTCGAGACTATCAGCAAGTCTTCCGATGACTTTTTGGGCTCTTTCAGTGAACAGCTGAAAGTTCTCCTTCGTCATTCCTTCATTGCTAGACAACAATTTTATTTTCTGTCTAAATCAAGATTGCAACTAGGGAATTTTTTTTGGCAATCAGCGACTTCTCTGAGAACTATTGCTTCATTCTACTGTACAAGTAGAAGCATAAGGTTTTTATCGGAACAAATCACAAGCAACCATTTGCTTGTGATTTGTTCCATCCCATTCGTAACATATTACGGGGAATATATCGGGGAAATCACAGCATGTTAGCTTCATCACAATAGTTACTTTCCATCTATTCCAGAGGAACCTTATAAATTTCCCGAAGGATAAATCTGGCTCTCTTCCGCGAAAAATCACCTACTTCCCCGATGGATCTGCTTCGCATTAAAAAAGTTTTTAAACTTTCTCACCTTGTACCATTATGAAGCAGACCTTAGCATTCCAACTGAGTGGCGTTACTCAGGAATTTGCCACGGAAAAGGAGCATGTGACGGAGTTGGAGGTTCGGTGAAGAGGTTGTCTGCAAGTGCCAGTCTCCAACGACTGTACAATCAACAGGTAATGACGGCCTCAATGTTCAAACGGGCATCTGAGAACACCCTAGCAATTTACTTCAAATACTGCCGCTTGGATGACTAATAGAGAAAGCAAAGTTCCAGGAATATCGATTTGAGCAATCACACAGAATCTCCGGAACTCAAACTCCATTCGTTCATCCCAGGCACCAAAATAAAAAAGGTTTCTACAAAAGTGCATCTGCGCCTCAAGTGAAAGTTTTACGGAAACTCTGTGGAGCTGTGGCCGAATCTAAATTTCCATGGAAAAAAAACTCGGCATTTTAGTCGTTTTAGAGCGTTTACATCCCTACCCTCATATGGTCCCAAACTGTAATGACTGAAAGAATCGAGTCGCGGATACATGCTGCCGAAATGAGGTTCTTGCAACGAATGGCCGGTGTCACGCCAAGTGAGAGTATGCGAAGTGCCACCATCCGTGAGAGCCTCCATGTCGAGCAGTTACTTCGGATTGAAAGACCTCAAGTCCGTTTGTTTGGACACGTTTCCCGCATGCCTCCCGAGAGACTCCCATAGTCTTCAAATATAAAAAATTGGCGAAAGACCAATCGGTGGGCCTTGAGCAAGGTGGACGGACTACATCGTGAATCTTTGTAACGAGAGGCTCAGTATACCACCTGCCGAGTGAGTCCGTTGCTCAGGAACGCTAAGAAAGCTACTCTCGCCGAAGCCGCAACTCCATTAAGTTGGGAAAAGCGAATTTCGAAAATGTATGTATGTACACCTCTAAAATATTCCTAACACTGAATCTTATATACCCTCTTCAACATATATGGAATAGTCAATGTTTCAAGAAAATAAATAGACACAGATTCGTTTTGATTTATAATAAAAGAGAACATGAACTTTTCATTGCTGTAACAATGTGTAAAAATGATATCCATGGGACAAGATTTTCAGATGTGATCTAATCAGCCCCTCATAGGTGACAGCGGGCTATACTCATGGGCATACTTCTCATGCTGCAATGAGGATGGATATATTAATAATCAGCTAGGCCTGAAGAACAGGTCGGGCTTGTTTTGCTTCCAACTTCTCATTCGTGCCAGCAAAGCCAGTACCACCCTGAAAAAGAAATGTCAAGTTTCTAAGCACGAAATCACTTTTATGTTAACATTAGAAAGAAGTAGTGAACTTACCCTTTGAAGTGGAATAATGTCATTCTCTGTGAGTTTCTGTCCAGTGAGAGGATGTAACATATCTTTCTTTATAAGCTTCTCCACACATTCCATTGTCACCACATGGCCTCTGAAAGCAAGATTTCACTTAAATCACTTTTTTTACTTAAGAGGAAAAAAAAAAGAGTGACAACATACGTAGGTCGAAGAACAGCAGAAGGTGTTGCATTGGTCAGAATATCATGTGTCACAGGACACATGTATCTGTTTTGCTTTGCAATCAGACTCTTCTTATCATCAGGATCTTTCACTGGTGTGAATACAACATCGATGAAGTCCTTCGTTTTTAAGGGCTGTCCACTCATTGGGCAGGATATGGTTTTGTCCTGGAACAACATTCAGAGGAATGAAACAGTGAGGCTCATGCACAGAGCTACCATGTGCAGAAAATTTCCATGGAAAGACATGGGGAACATGACCAATGACCTATCTTGATATATTATGAGCTGGTAGGGTATGTGGGAAGTTAGGTCAAGGGGAAAAAAATGCCACAGAGGATATTTCTATCAGAAGGTATGATACATTCCAGCTCAAGTGGTCAAGCAGTGGTTGTGCTTCAAACTCCATATTACTCAAAAAAGTTCATCCATGGTGTTATATCATAACATAGAGTCAACTTCATAACAAGAGTTATGGAAAATATCACAATTTTGGCACGCTGGCTGAAATGGTTCTCAAGAAATGTTGGAAAAGTGACCTCTGGGGTCAAACCACTATCTTCGATCCCAGTTGAGCAAATAAAGTGTTTTTGGACTTAACTGAAGCTGGGATAATGCAGGCTCAGATTATGAAATGCATTTTCAAGTACATTAATAAAATGAGTTTTAAATGTAAAAAAAACTTGAAAAAATACCAAAATTTACCTGCAAATTTTGCACACCGAGAAGCATGGTAACACAAAGAGCTTTTGCAATGTAGCATAACTAGTCAATAACAATGTTAAAAGCTAAATTTGAACTTTACTTGAAACAAGAGCAAATTAATTTGAAATGTTCATTTTTGCCATATTAAAATTAACTATATACAAACTTGAAACTAGGGTACAAAAATTAATTCTCTCTCCTAGTCTTTCCATTGAGGTATTACTCATGCTGTTGAATTTAATTTTCACATCTGAGTGTTATTTTTTAAATTATTTTTGAACTCATCTATTTTCCTCCTGAAATATATTACCCAAATGATGAATGATGGGAATCCTGGTGAAACAACCAGGCCTGGATATATATGTCACCAGAGACCTATAAATAACCCTGGTTCTATTTTACTTGTTTCAAACATACAAAATTAATACTTGAATATTTTTTATTTATTTCTCATAACTACAGGGTAATCAGAGAAGACTGACACATTTGAAATTTACAAGAGAAACTTGTTTGCTGGTCATTCCAGTGGCGTAGCCAGGTTTTCTTCAACCTTCTCAAGGCTTACTTCTCCTCGTCAGGGTGGGGGGAGGGCAGATGCATTCCAATCAGAGTTTGAACCAAACTTGTGGGGGCTGAAGCCCCCCCATCCCCCAGCTCCCCCTCACTACGCCACTGCGGTCATTCTCTTTTTTTTTTGTAGGGAAATATTCTTCAAGGTTTTGAAGTTGTATCTGCCATCAAAAAATTGGAAGTAGCCTATCATAGGATGATTATGGAACTGCTTTTGCAAAATTCTGTCAATTTAGTGCTTGTTCCAACTTCCTTTAAAGAGATGACAAACTGACATGGACAGGTAGCACTGAATTACCATTGCTGCTGCTGCTATGGTATCTGGTGTTCATGCTGTTCACATTCAGCTTGGCCTTTTTGTATTGCCCATAGATCCTGAATCAGGAAAATTTTTTACATACTGCAATACTGTGTTGTGAGATGGCACATCTTTGACTCCTAACTCATGTAGAAACACACCTTGTGCTTGCACAATGAAGCCTGCTGCAATAAAAGTTCCACAATACTTGCATGATGAGCTATTTCCCATTTTCCTATAGCAGATAAAACTCCAAACCTTGCAGAATATTGAATAACAAAAAATTGAGAATGATAAGCAAACAAGTTTTTCTTGCAAATTTCAAATGTCAGTCTTCCTTAACACATCCTACACAGACCATAAGGCATGTATGTAAATTTCAGATGAATCAAACTTCAGAATGGTATTGTGTTCCTTCCCATTGTCAGATTATTTTCACAAAACCAGCTACATATCAAATGCCAGTGCTCCTCAGTTGAAAGAGTTCAATTCTTTGAGTGAAAAGGAACATGAAAGCTTGAGTCTTAGGTTTAGAAAATCCATGCGTGTATGCATTTGCCTTCACCATGAACAAGTTTGGTTGGTGCAATGAGATCTTTCTAAGGGAGGGAAGAAATATTAGCATCAATCACAGAAATAAAATGAAAAAAGAACAACTCATTCCTTTTGAGGAATGAGTTGTTCTTTTTGTTGAATGAGTCATTGTTCTGAGAGCCTTTTTTTGCAGATAGTTGACAGCCTAATCATTTTCATTTGTTCAGTTTTTATTACCATTTTTTCTTGAATTTTCAACTTATTTTATGGTGAATATACCCAAAAATGTATTTTTAAAATCTGATTCTGCATTATCTCAGCTTTCATTCCTAACTCAACTAGGACCAAAGATAATGGTTTCACCTCCAAAGGTGACTTTTCCTCTTGTGGGTTAACTTTGTGACAGCATATCTTGAGAACCATTTCAGGAATGTCTGAAATTTTTATATTTTCCATAACTCTAAGAGGCCAACATGCATAAATTTTTTAATAGCAAATTAGAGTCTGAAGCACAACAAAAGTTCCCAAAATTTGATCAAATTGAGCTGGAATGCCTCATATACAGGGTGCACACAAAGTCCGTATACCCCCTATACCCCCCATATGTACGTCAAGCTGACACAAGTAATCATGCCACATTTGTGCTGGTGACCTTCGCACGACCTTGGCACGTGTTCTCCCGCTGTCACAAGGTCTGCTTTCGTACGTACCAACAATCGCAATGCATGGCGGCAGATGAAAGTTGAAGTGATGGCTGACACAAGTGATTACACTATCGAGGAGCGTTTGGTGGCCACTGTGTGGATCCATGAGCGTCAAATTAATGGCACATCGATAAAAAATGTCATGGATGACTTCGTTGCGCGGTTTGAGAAGGCAGCACTGACAAAGAAGACATTGTTGCAATGGGAAAAGAAGGCTTTTGCAGCGGGCAGTGCTCGTGACGTGCCGAGAAGTGGACAACCATCCACAAGGCTTGAACGTTATTCAACAAACGATCAACTCAAAAATGCGGTGCGTACAGCCTTCCAGAAAGTGACCCCAAGAATGCTGATTAACGTGAACAACAGAACTCGGCAGTGCATTCGGCTATGCAGAAACCATGGAGGAACACATACGAATGTTTTGGATTCCTAAGAGGTACGTTCCACCTTTTGTGATACGCATATATAGGGGTATACGGACTTTGTGCGCACTCTGTATATTGTATATAGCCAACCCTTCCCTAGCTTCTTAAGTCTAACAAAAAACAGCCAAGTTATTCTCAACTCTCCAACAATCATATCCATAATGGCAGATCTAATGGATGAGGCCATTTAAAAAGGACTCCTCACGGGTAGTGGTGCTTTGGGATCAAGTTGGTTTTCTTATCCTAGCTAGTTATATCTCAATATGAATTCCATTATAGGACTCATTACATGTGGATTTGCCATAACTTCTTTTCAACATGGACATGCAGAAAATTGTAACTGACCGGTTTTTTCATCTTCCCTGCTTTTGCTGAAGGCGTGAGTTGAGGAATCCAGAAGCTAGGCAGCTGAGAACTTTTTCCCACAGCCATGTTTGAGACTGACTGGCTCATGCCAGGCTCCCCTGTGAAATGAAAGACAAAATCATTACTGAAGGAAACCATCATGTTGAAACAACCATCAATTAAGCAAATATATTGAAAAATCCACCACATGCTCAAACCTTTTTTCTGAGCAATGATGCCTTCTTTGGTTGAGATCTCTCTTACCACCTCCTGTGATACTTCCATGCCCTTCTGTCTACTGTCCACCTTTGGAATCATGAAAATCTTAACAAAAGTTACTTAAACCAGCTGAGGGAAACAACAGACCAATACTGGTACCTCATTATTGGCCTTTTGCTTTTCGTATTCCTTGAGCTGACGAGCAATCTCTCGTTTCTTCTTGAGAATATACTCCAAGATGCTCTCCTTGTCATAAAGGTATCCTTCTGGCCTGGAAAGCAGAAAACACTTTGGCATGAAGATAATGATGCAATGCAAATTAACGTAAGGAACAGGTCCTGATACATACGTGACTACAGGCTTCCTGCAAGGCTGAAGTGTAAGGCAGCAGCAATCAAAATCCTTAATGCTCTCTTTCCCAAAGCGCATAGATTGACTCCCATACCCAGATGCTTGAGCATCTTTCTTCTTCTCATGGTATGTGTACACCTGACTGGCTGTTGCATTCTTTGCATGACGTGTCATTGTAAGCCTTGTGGAATCTGGATCTCATGAAGGTCATACAATTCTAACAGTCAAAGTCTTTCTTTAACCCTTTCAGTGGCGTCCCAAGTATGTAATTGTCATGTGGCCACCCACTCACCAGTGTTATCCTGGCAGGCAGCTGCATGACAAGTTCATACTCAGGACAACACTGAAAGGGTTGAAGTTAATAAAGAAACTTTAATTCTTGATTGGAATCCGTCACTGATGTGGCTCATGGTCACTACTCACAGAAAACTCCAATGAGCTTCCCAGCCACAAATGGCACATCCATTTCAAATAAAAATAGCAAACAGATACTCTGTTGGTTGAAAAAACAGATCATTCTCATAATTTAAACTGCTGCATGATAATCAACCATACAAGAGTCATTAAACAAGAATAACACTTTCAAGGCAGAGGAACTCCATTTCAAGTACAGCAGATCCTATGACAACCTTTTTCATGACCATCAAGCAAGACAGGTTCATATGGAGGTTGTTTCACATTTCAGCATCTTCAAGTCGTTTGCTATGTTGTTCCCAGAGTTTCTGAAATGAGATAAATCGAGAATAATATAAAACTGAATTCATAGATGAAAATGAATTTCTACTAGCTGGGCATTAATTATATAAGAAATGCTCAGAAACAATAAAAGTATACACTGTAAAGTGGGTACTCTCTTTAGACAGACACTCACCTAATGGTTGAGTCATCTAAAAATAAGTCCTTGACAGAGTATCATTTGTTGTATAGGCTTTCAAAATGCAGGAATGCCAAGACCCAGGATCTTTTTCCAATTATATCTGTAAACATTTCATGAACTTATCATGAATTAATTTTCTCAGATTGAATAGTGCTTAAAGCACTATTCAATGAATGAATGGCTGGAATGAAACTGAAAACTATTATTTAAAATATGCTTACATGAAACAGAACCAACTCAACATCAATGTAGGCATTTCAGGCAATCATATATTTTCCTTTAAAAAGGAAATTATTTTTTAAATTAATTTTATTATTTTGATTAATTTATATGATCAACTCATTAACAAGTTGACTCATCATTACAAGATAATTTATAAGGAGCCATTATTAAGTAACACTGACTGCTTACTACTATCCACTGTTCATGCTCCTGAAGTTGATAATAGCACTTCACTACCAAGCTATTTACATGAATGAAAGTCAGACATAATTTAGATATGTTCACAACCACAAATTAAGCCCAGGTTGTTTTGAAAGAAGTCCTATTCTCTTTGTTTATAAGCAGGAGCTGGGTTTTCTAACTTCAACTTTCAGTAAATAAAGAAACAATTATAAGTAGCTATAAGTGATCAAAACCAAAATGAAAATGAAACAGCAAATCTCACAAAAACAAAGTACATGGAAAGAAACATAACTAGCACTGAACTGTTATTTCTTTCTCTCAGAACTTTGAAGTCTGTCTGTGTATGAGAATTTCAGGTTTTCCTGTTTTTGCAATAACACGCCATGACAAGGGTACTGAAAAAAAAAAAGGTTTTTTTTTTTTTTTTTTTATACCAGTATCCACAATTCCTACTCCTACTGCACAGAATTCATGGTCCACAGCCTGGTATGTGAGAGAAGGTCTGTAGTTTCTGACCTCCCCTAATCTGGGATGACAGATGAGGGTAGCATGCTCTCAGTCCAAAGAGCACTCTACACATGCAAATTTATGATGCTCCAGCAATCAATGCACACATATCGCATCATTGCAGTAACTTAAGCAAGGTCTGGAAAATGAAGCTAATGGTCTTCAAAGCATTAGAATCGCAGAGCAGTAGGGGAAGAGTATGGTTATTGGAGATTCTATGGTTAGATTGAAGCTTGTAGCAGAAAGAGACCTGCCCCAGAAGATTCCCCTGAGTCTCTGCCATCACACTTGAATTGCCTCAGGAATGGGGAGTCCCCATTATCTTGAATTGCTTGGCTGTGTATTTCATGCAGTGCCTATTAAAAAAGCAAAGCCAGACATCTCTTCATGTCTGAAACATTCTTCTGAAGCATGCATGCAAACAGGTATGATTTTGCTGAAAGAGAAACTGAAGGGCACATAGGTATCCAGGTTCCCCATAAAGCCAGTATCATCCCAAAAAATTTGGTATATACCTTGAAGTACTTCACTGTTTTGACCTTCAGCTCTAGTGTTGCATCTTCATCACAGATGAAGAATGTTCGTGGATGCTGCTGGAAAGCTGACACAGTCCACATATGATTTACACCCTCCTCAATAGCTTTGTGAAGAGCATGAGCTTTGTGAGCACCAGTAATGAGAATCATCACCTAGAAGAAAGAAACCAAGGCAAAACAAAATGGAATTATGAAAAAAAAGTTTCAGAATCTACTGATGTCCTGTATGAGGGCTATCCAATAAATGGTGTTATCATTTTGATAACTGCCTAACTCTGTCTGTTACCCATTCTACCTTGGCCAAATCCTTTAGGCTTTGCCTCACTTCTGCATTGATCTGACCTGAACGTTTGAAATTCATTGGTCCTTTTCAATCAATTAAACAAAAAACCATTGAAACATAAAGTCAGTAAGATGGACAAGGAATAATTTTCCAGCCCCAAGAGAGCAGCTTTTGTACTACCTCATATTTGCACTATGACCCTGCATCATCATGAAGTAATATAGAACTTCCCTGGATCAACCTAGGAAGGATATATTAAAAGTAAGGCAATTATTTAGAAAACAGTATGGAAATCTTCATGAATTTGAGATGCTGCATGGCATCCTAACTCAAACCTTATAATATTCAATGGAGGCAAGTGCAACTTGGAACAAATAGGAGAGAATGCTCCTATTTGTTTCTGGTTTAGGCAAAGATATGTTGCTTTATATGCTGTCAATCCCAGCTTATGAGAATATTCACTTATGAATGCTTAAATGATACAAATTACTTATAGGATAACCCTCATACATGCAGAAGAGATATAGGCCTGTACCTCTCGGGCATCCATCACAGTTCCAACTCCAACTGTCAATGCCTGTGTAGGGACCTTCAAGAGATCATTGTCAAAAAACCTTGCATTAGCAAGAATAGTCTCCCTTGCTAATGTTTTCACACGAGTTCTTGAAACCAAACTTGATCCTGGCTCATTGAAGGCAATGTGACCATCTGGTCCTATTCCTTGAGGGTAAAAACAAGGAATCAAACCACTATAATTCACTTACAATTTCTCTTAAAGGAAATAGAACTGTAAAGCCAACCAAAAACAGCTAATAAACCAATGCCAAAACTTGAAGGCAATAAGAAACTTCCTTTCTACAGATATTTTGATTGGGGATAAGATGGATATTATTTATATGGGGTAGTCAAATAAAGGTGAGCCAGGGTGCTCTGGATACATAGAGAGAGGTTGGCTCACTTTCATTTGACTGCCCCTTATACAAGATAGGGAGAGAATCACCTGATATGTGATAATGCTGAACAATTGTGTTAGCCTTCTAAATTCCTGCTATTTGCTTGATATGGGGAGTTTCACAGTTCCTTTCCCTTTTAAATCTTAGCAACACCTTCCATACCAATGTTATTGATAATTTCATAACACCAAAACCTGTAACATCTTATTGGTATACCTATATCCTAATGAGGTAGGCTTACAACAAATAAAATGGGCTGACACTTCATTATTTCTCTATTTCTCGCTCAATAGTACAGTCATGTTTTAGAGACTGTAAAGTGGTTATAGCTCCAACTTACCTCCAACAAATAGCTCCACTCCCCCTGCTTCTTTTATTTTCTTTTCATACTCATTGCACTCTTGTTCCAAATCAGCTGCGTTGCCATCCAGAATATGAATATTCTTTGGATCAATATCAATGTGTTTGAAGAAGTTGTGGAACATGTATGAATGATAGCTCTCAGGATGATCTCTGGGAATGCCTAGGATTAAGGAAGGAGAGCATTCACTTCCAGTGTAGACTAATGAGACTTGCATTAAGAGAGCAGATTGAACTCACCCACATATTCATCCATGTTGAATGTTTTTACATACTGGAAAGAAACTTTGCCCTGGCGATGGTACTCTATCAATTTCTTATACATTCCTAAAGGTGTCCCACCTATGAAGAGTAAGACATCTCTAAAAAAAAATTTGCAATGAATGATTGCTGGCATAATATGACCATCAAGGTTTAAATATGAAACATAAATTTTTTAAGAAGCACACTTACCTGTGGGCAAACCCAACACAAAAAACTTCTCTGGTCCAGGATTTAGCTTATTTATCTGGCTGATGACATACCTGGCTGACCAGTCAGCAACTTGATCTGCATCATCAAGGATTACTAGTCTCATTTTTTTTCTTTATCTGAGGAAGACAAGACTTTGCTACTATAGGCCTACTTTCTGCCAAGCAACTCTGAGGAGTATTAAAGAGGAATATCCTAGCATAGGAGCATATGATCAAGGAAGCAAGGCACAAAAAAATATATTGATCTGCTGTATAATTACCGAATAGTGTTGACCTACCATTCTGTACTGCTATTATACTTTAGGATACTTCCATAATCCACATTCTGGCATGGCTGACAACACAAGATCAGTTGCATCAACCAAACTTAGTAGTTTCAAAAGGGGTGGCTTTTCATTATGATCATTTGTAAACAATGCAATCTTAACTTGTTGCATGTAGTATTTCAATATATAACTTTTACAATACATAACTTTTTTTTTCAATATTCTTTCAATAATAACTTCTCTCTATAGGGAAGCAGCTTGAGGGAAGGATAGCTCTCCCCAATTTGTCTGGCATTTACTAAGTTTTCTCTGAATTGCTTCATCTCCAGATCTTGAAACTTTGCTAGATTTTTTCCATATCTTTAGAAGTTTTATCCCAGCAAATTATCACTTAACCTCAGTCCGAAACGCATGCGACATATTGACAACCATCATGAAGGCCCGCGTCAGTGATATATAGGCCTACGGTAGGAATATCTCTGTATATCGTGCGACGCGCTCCTGTGGGTGAGGAAGATGATGCAAGGTTGAAAGGGGTTGACTGAGAGAGTGATTGCGAGGTGAAGACAAGGATCCGTGGCCTCATGGTCTATACATATCCATTATGATGATCCTAATGGGGTTAGTCCTTGCATCTTCATCATCACACCCCATGACTGAAGCTGCCGCAAGATGGTGTAGTTGATACAAAACGACCTGCACCGCGGCAGCCACATGTGAATTTCGTGCATTGTCCATGTAGTCGTCCATGCTTCGGACTGCATCATGCTCTTCTCACCGCGCTCCACAGTGAGCACATGGAGCCTGGCACTTGTGCGTTTACAGGGGCCGACCTGAAGCCCAGATTGTTTTTTTTTTTTTCCCGCCCCATTTTGCTCCCTCAGAGTGACCTCGTTTTGCCCCACCAGCACTGTCTGTAATTAAGACGCAGCCAAAAAAAGTGAAAGTAATGCAAAATATTATGACTTCATGTAATAGTTCACATTCTCACCTTTAGCCAAAAAAAATATCGAACACCTCCAATGTTCCCATGTAACGTGGTTTCGCTCATCAAAAACTCGAAACAAAATAAGAAAGGTGTATGTTTTTCTTATTTTGCTCCTAGGGTGTTTACAAACTACTTTACAGAGCGCCGCCGTGCCTGAAAACTTGCACCCGTGGTGGAGGGGTTATAATGCAGGAAATAGCTATATCAGGTATGGTTTGGTTAAAATACGAGTTGCCCCGTTTTGCCCCTCTCCCCATTTCGCCCCCACCTTCCCCTACATACTTTTGCGTGTATGTATATTCCGGTTTGTTTGTTTTTTGTTTTTTCTCCATCGGAAAGGAGCAAATGAAATGATAAATGAATTCAGCAGATGTTGAAATTTGGGATAAGTATGCAGTTGACGCTCGATATAAGGAACAAATTTTCTTCTTAACGAATTTTTTTTCCCGTTCCTGGCATACTCAAATGGATGTTGAAAGTTTCCCTTAAACGAAGCACTTTACAGCATTTTTCACATGAGTTAGACACTTTTTCACTTGACTTCGACACCCATGCATGAGGAACGTCCCATACACGTGTGTCTGAGTCAAGTAAAAAAATTTTATAACTCAAGTGAAAAACACTGTATAACGAATTGTTCGGTTTTACGGCGTCATTTTCTCGTCCGACGGAACAAAACTGTTCTGTATTACGAATTTTAAATCTGCAGCACACATCAAAGCTATTTTCTTTGGCGCATTCCTGGAAAATCTAATCTCGTCTCTTTTTATTTCTTTTTAGCACGTTCCACCCACTTATTGGAGTGGCCGTGGGTGTAAAGGAGCTCTGTCAGTTAATAGTAATCTCCGGATCTTAAGGAAGAGGGTAAGGCCGAGTCCAGAATTTTGATCGGTCAAGCAATCACAGCCTTCGACTATCTTTGACTATTTTTGAGTCAAATACTGAAGGTGAGTCGTCCGATTTATATTGCACCTACATAAGGACACACTGCTGTGCGCGTCCATTTATGTACGTACACACATCTTGGAAGCTGCAATTTTTGTGATGAGACATGTGCTCAGACCTTTGAATTTTTTTCATGATTGGACTACTGCATCCTTTATGGCAGTGGTCGACAACTAAATTTCACGGCGGGCCGGATGGCAGAATGCTGAACGTTCGTGAGCCAGCGCCTACCAAGTACCATAAAAATGAAAATTTTATCGAACGTCTCATGTCAAACGCGCGGCTGAACGTCTATTGTCAGATCGTAGTGTCCGATATCTGCCGTCTTCGCGGGCCAGAGGGAGGACTTCCGCGGGCCGGATCTGACCCGCGGGCTGCCAGTTGCCGACCACTGCTTTATGGGAATAAATTACATTTCGTTTAAGAGGCCAATTTTTTCTCAGCGAAATGTGGGGAATTCCCTGTTACGAATTTTCCTTATAACGAATTTTTTTTAGCCTGCCCTTCGAGTTCGTTATATCGAGCGTCGACTAATTGTAGGAGAGAGGGAATCAGTAAAAATCCTACTGTAAAAAGCCTTTCACCACTCCCAGCTATATCGCCTTTTTCATTTCTCGTCTAGGGTAAAACTTGATTATCTATTTCACTGGCCCCAATAAAAATTAATGTAGAAACCATAAAAAAAGGGGGAAAAATAGAATGGTAACCCCCCCCCCCCCTGAATCCGCCTCTGGTATGGCTCTCTGGGGATCCTTCTATTTTGGGGGGTGGGAGAATCCCAAAACGCTTGAGCAAAACTGCTCTTACGATTGTGTTATATTGTAAAAGGTACTGTATAAAGCAGTGGTGCCCAACCCGCGGCCCGCGGGCAAAAAGTGGCCCGCGAGGTGCTTACAAGTGGCCCGCGAAGCCCTAACCCACAATAAATACCCTTAGGTTTCCTTAAAATAGTCTCCTACAATACTAATGACTGGCCCGCGATGGCTGCGGGAGTGAGCTATGTGGCCCCCTAGCCGGAAAAGTTGGGCACCACTGGTATAAAGGAACAATTCCGTAGGGAATCTTCGGGGGGAAGCAAGGAATATCCTTTTTTTTGTTATTCACCTAAAGATGGCAATGACGTCTCATAACCAAAAGTAAATTGACGTTACAATGAAAAATGCCTATCATCCAAGGAATTTCACAGCCTTAGAAGGTACGAGAGCCGAAAGAGCACGTTTACGACGAATGAATTAGTTTACTTACATCGGAGCGCGTTGAAGGCACGACCATTTCGAATTTGTTTGCCCATTGGACAAACGAACTCACTGGTCCAATAAATATAGACGCTTGTGAGTTAGCGACTGAGTGAGTGAACGACAGACTAATTCTAACCATGTTTCAAGTATGATAGGAAGCTGAAAGTTGGTGCAATAGTAGCTGTTGTAGTGCTGAGTTCAGGAAATATCCTACCTTTTATAGTACAGCCCCTGAGGGGACATTATTTGGGGACATATTTCCATAATTCTTTGCTCTGGAAAATAGGTAAATGGCAGTTTGAAGACGCATTAGGCGTCGCATTGCGAGTTGCCAGCCAGCGCTCCTCATGCCGGAAGTCACGTGACGTAATTAAATTAAAACTGTCTCAAATCCGTTGAAATTGGTTGATAATATTTTGCAATTACAATTGCAATTAGGTTCTTTGGGGGAATATTGACATTCATTAGTAAAATGGCGTCAAAATGAAAAATGCTCAAAATCCATTTCGTTTAAGCACTTTAGAAGATGCCAGTGCCGAAGGCGCAAGTTTCAGATAAATTAATCTATTTACTTACATCGTCGAATGCGAAAAGCGCGACTATCACGAGCTTCTCGTATGGCGTTTTCATGTTGAGAGAGAATTTAACCTCCTAGATATATCGCTACTGTGATTATATAATCACAAAATATTTCAATATTTCAATTCAATCTATCTGATTGGAAGGAGAGTGGGTGGCCACATGACAATTACATACTTGGGACGCCACTGAAAGGGTTAAAGAAAGACTTTGACTGTTAGAATTGTATGACCTTCATGAGATCCAGATTCCACAAGGCTTACAATGACACGTCATGCAAAGAATGCAACAGCCAGTCAGGTGTACACATACCATGAGAAGAAGAAAGATGCTCAAGCATCTGGGTATGGGAGTCAATCTATGCGCTTTGGGAAAGAGAGCATTAAGGATTTTGATTGCTGCTGCCTTACACTTCAGCCTTGCAGGAAGCCTGTAGTCACGTATGTATCAGGACCTGTTCCTTACGTTAATTTGCATTGCATCATTATCTTCATGCCAAAGTGTTTTCTGCTTTCCAGGCCAGAAGGATACCTTTATGACAAGGAGAGCATCTTGGAGTATATTCTCAAGAAGAAACGAGAGATTGCTCGTCAGCTCAAGGAATACGAAAAGCAAAAGGCCAATAATGAGGTACCAGTATTGGTCTGTTGTTTCCCTCAGCTGGTTTAAGTAACTTTTGTTAAGATTTTCATGATTCCAAAGGTGGACAGTAGACAGAAGGGCATGGAAGTATCACAGGAGGTGGTAAGAGAGATCTCAACCAAAGAAGGCATCATTGCTCAGAAAAAAGGTTTGAGCATGTGGTGGATTTTTCAATATATTTGCTTAATTGATGGTTGTTTCAACATGATGGTTTCCTTCAGTAATGATTTTGTCTTTCATTTCACAGGGGAGCCTGGCATGAGCCAGTCAGTCTCAAACATGGCTGTGGGAAAAAGTTCTCAGCTGCCTAGCTTCTGGATTCCTCAACTCACGCCTTCAGCAAAAGCAGGGAAGATGAAAAAACCGGTCAGTTACAATTTTCTGCATGTCCATGTTGAAAAGAAGTTATGGCAAATCCACATGTAATGAGTCCTATAATGGAATTCATATTGAGATATAACTAGCTAGGATAAGAAAACCAACTTNCTTTTAAATAAACTGGGTTGTAATAATTGTTCATGAAATTCCGAGAACTTTCTTTCCAATCAGATAATTTTGCTTCCCCGTTCCAGATAGATACGATAGCAAGAAAGTAAGCGAATACAAAAAAACTCATCTGTTCAATTTTTTTGTTGTACCTTTTTTTTTTGGAGTTCCTGGGAACCACCCCTCCCTCGCCGAGAAGCAGCCTCCTATGACGGGTATGCCTCTGCGCCTTTCATGTTCGACTTCTTTACAGACTTCCTCCCCTCCCGAACTAAAAATTTTGCACACGCCACTGGAACACATCCATATTGAAGGCATATGTTTAAGTCTAACTTCATCCATTAGAGGCTGCACAGATCATGCAAGAAAAAAAAAAGATTTGATGCACGACAATTAAGAAACATATGTGCTGACAGCTTGCAGGGATCTTAAGGACGGGATGCCAGGTAACAAGATCAATACGTTCACAAGCTGATGGCATTTTCTGCGAGCATCAAAGCTTTTCATAAAAGTTTTTTTTATATATGAATAAAAGAGTTTAAAGTCCTGGGAAACGGAAAATTTATAAAGCGTCCTAAAAAAATTTGATCAAGGTGATGGACCTAGTTTCAACCAACTCTGCGCTCGTGTCCTGCCTTGTTTACAATCAGCTATGGCGGCCTCCGGCAGACTGCATCATCTAGGCCTGTTGGCTGTGGCTGTGTAAGAGATTTGGGACACTGGGCCACTTTCAAATATATTGTGCAGAGCAGGTTCTAAAAGAGTGAATCTGACTGGAGCTGCTGAATATATTACTCTTGTCCAGGATATGTTTATTGTACCGAGTACTTAGAAAATAATTTGATCGAGATGCGATCGATCGCTGTCATTTTTGCTTCATCTTGACCGTGTACGTTAAAAGTCTCAGCCCATGTCCAATCTTCACTTCATTGCCAACTCTTTCTCGAGAACAAATCATCCACATAAGTTTATATTAAGTGATTCCGCGTTATAGCACCACCCTCGCTGGCTGCTATCTGCCATCAGTACCTTTACTCATAATAAATATGTGTTGTTCCTGCCTGGATCCTCCTTGATTTTACATGAAGTAGCACACCTGCAGAAACCTTTACCCAGTATGTACATAGCTAAATATTTTTGTTGACTGCCCTCCTGATTCTATGGTAGATTGACAGTGCAAGACTTTAAGAGGTGACTCGTATCCCTGAATAAATGGTTCATTGGAAAAGTTTGGAGTATTAGGAGGGAGCTAAAGGTGGCAAAATAAGCTCTGCATCCATTTAGTCAATTTTTCTTTTAAAGACTGGTATTGTTGATGCTACAGTGCATTCAATGCACTGCTGAAATTGGTGATACTAGGTGTAAGCATAAGGCTTAGGATTATCCTAATGCTCAAAGCAACTTTTTCCTCTAGTATGATTTATCTTAATTTCTTGCTGTGTAATAACATTCATTTTATATGTGTTTATATTCTCCACTCCACATTTACTTATCATGTTGTCAGTATCTCTCTTTTACACATTGCTTGATCTCATCATTGAACTACATGGGTTGCTTTTGGCTCCTGAGAGACCTGAATATTAGTAATGCACTTACTGTTAGATTTAAATATTCAGGGAAGTTTGAGCTACTTTTCTTCCACATCACCCTTATGCTATTCTTCATTACAGTATACCTGGACTATGAATGTTTACATTGCTGGAATCTGCTACGCTATTATTAAACAAATATCTTCCATATTTCAACAAATTTACCACTTGAGTTAAGATGGAGTATAAATTGCAGCATCCATTAAGGACAGGGGTCAGGAAAAGGAGAATAAGGCTAGTCATGACAATACTAAGCAGATCAGTTGGATATGGAAGTTCTTCACAAATGGCCACATGGCTGGGTATATAAGTCTTGACAGTGGCTACATTTACATCATCCTCCACACAATGATAATCATGAGAGATTTTAAATTGGTTGGAAGGATAAACATGGGCTGCTTATCTTATTATGGCTTGTTGGCTAAGGTATTTTGGGACTTGAGTACATTCCTCCACTTATTCTGGGTCAAGATGCCTTGCCCTATGCTAAATCATTCTTGTTTTGCTTGAAGGTAGAAGAAACTGGATGTGTCAGTCTTCATTATACATTTTCTGCCAAAGAGCCAATTATGGGGAAATCAGAGGGAGATCAAATTATTAATCCAGATGCCATGGCAAATGGTAGTATTCCCCTTTCTCCCCATGCAGAAGCTAGCAAGCTGCTTGAAGCTGCACTACAGCAGATGGATGGCATTATTGCAGGTGAGAAGAGAACCTGGCTTCCTATAAATTTAGGCTTATGGAAGCACTACTTTGTATGCAATATCAAGAAGAGGATGATATAAAATTTCTTGTTTGATTAATTCTAGAAAACTAACAAAGCATGTTGAATTTTAACTGTAAAATTTGATTCCATGTCCTGATGAATGTGCTTGGTTTTTTGCTTTTTAAGTGTATGTTACTGCTTTTCAGTTGCTCAAGGGCAAAACAGGGGAATTTTATTAATATAAATTTGTGCATTATGCAAATTTTTAACTATGTATTTTATATTATAGCCTTATACCTAGGTACAGGTTCATGATTTTGATAGCATAGATCCAGATGTGCTATTGCATTGATAATGCTAGATTGTTTTGATATTTCACAATGGATGGGCTGCATGGGTTGCATCATGTCCAATTGTACTCGCTTGTGTACTGCCATTTTGTTGCTCAAATGGGCCTTTGTAAACAGATCAAATCCATTGAGGTCTTCAATTATGCCAAATTTCAAGAATAATATTGCTTTATGGAGGTAAATGTTGTGGACTTACTGGAACTTGGATTGGAGTTAGGGAGTAACAATGCTACTGGAGTGCCTCCAGTCCTGCAAGTGGCTATTGCTCTTCACTTCTGAGAGATTAACTTTTTTTTCTCAAAGTCATCACTAATTGCAAGCACAACACCATGAATTGACCTACCTTTTTTTCTGATTTCTTATGGCATCACTTTTTTTTTTATAGTCAACTATTTGACTCACTTTCCTGAGTTTATTCAATAGGAATGTCCTAAGTTCATTGATAGTGTTTGTTGAGCCTTTTTTACCTGTATCTCCATCCATATTCTTTCTTTGATCAGAAACTGAAAGGGTGACTGTACCACAGTTTCAAGATTTCAACACCTGTTTCCCATCTCAATTGATTTATCAGGCAAATAATAATGCTGTTTAATATATGCAATGTATGCCACCATCTTTAAAACTAATATGGCTTGGCTTCCTTTAATCTGATGTGTGATATTACCATCATCAACCATGGTTGAAAACAATCAACCATTCTTATTATAGAACATCAAATATAGCATGATCTTGCATGTTCAAATTTGAGAAAATAATACTGCACTTACAATGTGATACTTTCTGATAATACTAAATTAGTTTAGTCATAAGTTCAAAAATCTATCCTAAGTTCTTTTATTTTTTAGTTGAACATGGCATCTTCAAAGGAATTTAAAGCTATAAACATTAATGTTACAGCAAATGACACAAAGTCCTTAGGGAATGTACTTGAAAAAATCTGTATCTCTCCAGTTTGCCCTGAAGTTTGCGGATAAATCTTTTAACTTTTGGTAATCAGAACTATTAGGAGTGTTCTATAAAAACGGTTTTAGAAAATTTTATGGTTTTTGGTAGCCCAAACATCTGCATATTTCTACAACTTTCAGAAACTTTTTAGAATTTTCTAAGACTTTATGACTACCACAAGTGAAATAATTCTCCCCTTATTTATTCAATGCTTATTTGGTGACCAAAAGAACTCAACCTATTTCAAATCATCTCAGACTAATGTTTGAGATGCCAAAAAGGGTGGATTTTTGAACAGAGAACTATCTGATAATGCAGCTTTATTTCTGAGGAAATGCATTATAAATCCGGTAAATAAAGCAGCATTATCGGATAATACTCTGTTCAAAAATCCACCCTAAGTCTCGCCTTGAGAGTCAAATCCCTTATTCACAAAACAGAGTAAGATTTGATTGACTACATGCACAAAAAATTAAGGGAACAAGATTCCAGGATTTACGAATTTCCTTTCAAAGATATTAGACAGAACTGTTGAAGTGTCATTTTCTACATATTTGCCTCTTTTTAGAATTGCGTATGCCTAGGTATGAAAATTATTACTGACATTCCTTTGTCTAATATTGCCTGAAGAATGCATGAACCTTCACAAGTAACAACTAAGCAGTTGATTTGATTTTGAATCATAATAGCCAGGGAACAATGAAATCGCAATCATAATTGAATTGGTACCCCCCCCCCCCCCCCCCGGAGTGTTTCCATCGAGTGCAGGCAGGACATCTTGCGGATGGAAGATTAAATATTTGTAGAATCCTTTGTGGGTATCTGATTCCTGATTTGTGGGGTCCTGCGCGGTTGCCTGGGTTTCAATCTCGCCAGCTTATAAGCAACGTAGATTCAGATCTGACTAAACCCATGACCATGTAAATGATGAGCCAAGTGATTTCGATTATTTATCCCTTGCGGACTAGGTCTGACCTGAGAATTTCGCCTGCCAAGGATTGCATCCCCGCTTGAATTGTCATTTTTGTAATGCACATCCGGGTTTCTGACGGCAGACAGGAGAGTCAACCAATATAGGAAGTATAACAAGGAATAGTAGTCGGAAACGGAGAAACGAGAACAAGGAAGTAAGGTTTTTCAAAGAGGACAGGGGAAGGGGGAAAATAGGGGTTAGCCGGAGCCACTGGAGGTTGAACCGAGAGTTTCGCAGCTGCCGTTGGCAACGTTTTTGCTTGTGTGCAGTACTGGGTCCATTCCCTACGAGGTCGAACCTATTGTACTGCGTTGGTGTTGGGCCTTCCTATGCTGGAAAGGACTGAAAACGGGACACGAAAAGACATTCGATGCAGGTCGCCATCCCAATGTTTTCGGATGATAATATCCAGAAATAATATGAAATGCTGCGATAATTGTTGCAAGAAGTCATGATTCACGAAGCCTCTCTCTGCTGAGGGACCTATGAGCTTCATTTGTCTTCGCGCAGACGATATGCAGTGATGTTCGAGGATGATACACTATTTTACCAAGGAAGAACGACATCCTGAGAAATGTAGAATTTCCTTCCATGGTTTTTCTTGTTATTAACCTCATTTTTATTTCCAAGAGAATAAAAGCGAATTTCCTTCTCTTTGGTCATCCCAAAAGCGGAAATATCACCGACCATCTGACAACCATGCTGAGCAATAAGCTTGGCATCTAACGGATCGTCTGGAAATCTTGTGTTTTCTCCGTTCTCTAAAATATGGAGGTACCAATTCAATCCGAAGGCAGTGTTAGTATGCTTCTGGTCGGTCTCTCCAAACGAAAATAAACAGCAGACAGGAGCAACACCTTTCTTCTTTTTTTTCCTTTCGAAAAGTGCATCATGTTGGAATTAATATCCTAAAGTTCTTACGGGTGCCAGATGCCTTGTGTGAAATATGCGTCAGGCGGTGGATGATCCTTTTGTATTATATAATGAAATATTTTCATCTCACCATAACGCCTAATTGAACCTTTGCCCTGATTCTCAAATGGGAACAATGGCATACCGTATTCAAATGAGGGAACCGATTATGATCTCCTCACACGCTCTTCTCTCACATTTTTTGTCTTTTGTCTTGGTTGGAGTCAGGTACCCGATCAGAGCTGGTTTATTCAGAGCCGGGACCCCAGGGAGCCAGTACATCGATCCTCCATGCGGCGGAGTTGCTGAAAAAGGCACTTGAGCAAGTTCCCGACTCAGAATGGTGGCGTTCCCCCGTGGATCTTCCCACTAGGGACATTTTCCTTCGATGGATTTCCGCTGCATCACCTGCTTCTTCCTCTCCCTCTTCCGACCATACTCATCTGGATACCTCTGTGAGTATATCGGTTTCCAATAATCCCTCCTTCCCCCCCCCCATCTCCATATTTTTCTTTTCCTTTTCTCTCCTTTTCCGGATCGATCAGGACGCGTTGCCTTTTGTGACAGGTTTCAGTCGAAGTTTATTAGGTGTGCTTTGCAATTATTTTCTGGAGGGAGTTTGGTGTCATTGAGAATGTTCCCAAAATTCCAAGTCAAGTGTAAGGACACACTCGTCCGGATCGATGCATTTGAAGAGTAGAAACGAGGAGGATGAGATGTCTTCCGTGTTTCACTTGGAAGAGAGTCGTGTTTCTATCCAGTCCCATATGTCTGACTGTCTTGGCCTCTTTTTGGACTTGACTCCGTCGAGAGACGTGCTGCTGCTGTTTGCTTCGGCATTGCCAAGCTACGCTTCCCCCTCCGTCCCCTTCGCCATGCGGAGCCTTATTCCTTCCCGCCTCCATGTCATTCCATTCCGTCTCGTTCTGGAGTGTCGCTTCTAGCTACGTCTGAGTCGATCGGAAGGATCATAAGTGCTTTCCCTTTGGTGCTTGGAGCATGGCCAGACCCAGCATCACATCCACGACGTCTTTCTCAGTGCGATGGGAAAACAAGAATGTGGCGTGAAATGCTAAGGAAAGGAAGTGCCTCCCCCTCTCAAATGCCCCAGTTTTTCAGAGGAAACGACTTGTGTGTCGATTTCACACGATTCGGGAAGCGGCCACCTCCCGCTCCCAGCGCATGGAGTTACATGCATCTCTCGCATCCAGTCATAGCTAGCACTTGCTTCAGCCTTACGAGAAGCGCGTTTTTGTTCTGAAGCAGTCACCAGCTATGAGAGACAGTGTTGCACGTTGTGAGTTTTCTTCTCGTATGCCCTAGAAAGTCAAGATGAACTGTGTGATGATGAAGTTTGGAGATTTCGAATGATAATGAACTTAGGAGAATGCTTTTATTGGATATTTAAACGTTTGAGGAAAACGTAGATGGCAGACGTAGGGATGAAATGAATGTTTTTTTTTTTTTGGCACGAACCGCTCCTCACTGGCTTATCGACTCTTACATGGACCTCTTGTGTATGCCCGGTGACTCCAAATTAGGCACGCCATCCCTTTGTTCTTCGGGAAGGAAAGTCTAATATAATGAGGTAAGGGTGTGTCATTGAATTAGCACTAGGATTGAGTAGTGGAGGTCGCCGTGCATGCTCGATGGGGCGTAATGCAATCGAAGATCAAATTACCTCTGCTGGAATCGGGTATCTGAGAACGGGGAACCTGCGAGCGTTTCTCACGCACGAGGCGTTTTCGTTTTATTCATTCCCGTGTCATATTGACTTCTTTCCGTATCACCAGGGTCGGGTTGGTCGAACTCGAAATCATGTTTTCCTCAGGATATGTGAGGGTAAACGAGTGCCCCGTTCCGGTGTCGAGTGAGTTTGCCCTGCCTCAGCCAGGTGCACCTTTGGCCGTGAAATCCCCATGGAGGCAAGATAACACGAGGAGAATGGATTCGGCGGCACCATTCCCTCTTTTCTTACCTGGGGACTGGAGTCCATCACCTAGGGCAATGAGGGCATCCTCTCCCAGTCATCAGGCTCAAGTGTCTGGTCAGTGGACTGCAGTGGTGAATTATGTGGAGCAAGAACCTGTTGGAGTGCAGAATTTCCTCGAGCATCCGATATTACGCCGTAGGCGAGGGTACGTGGGTGCCCCATCTTCATCTAGTACTGCTACTGGGAGTTCGGGATGGAGCCGTGACCATGACCACGATCGAGATCGGTATCGAGCCCGAGGAGGTGCGTATTATCTAACTCAATGCTGTGGTGGGTACGTGAGAAGTTCCTCTCCACCTCCTCCGCCTTCTACGCCGGGCAGCTCCTCGTCCACTACATTTAGTTATCCCCCGTCCATCACGACGAATCACGATCTTGATCATGGTCGAAATCATTCGCACCATTCCCCGGAGCGAGAGACGTCTCCCTCTTGTACTCCCTTTCCATCCTTGTCCAATGATTGCCTTGGATATCAGAGACAGAGACATGTTCATGCCGTCAGCAGCTGTAGTGGCAATAATCATGGAAGACGAGGGAGCCTGACTGTGACTGGAGGACGTTCTCGGTCCACGTCTCCTCAGATCCCGATTGGTAAACCCCCTCGCCCAGGCCCCTCACCAAAATCTCGTTCCTTGCCCCGAAATCAGACTCTGAGTGATCCACAAGTCGAGAACCAGGAAACGGCCCGAATTTCTCGGAGTCCTCACGTCGGATTCCGATCTCCGAATCATTCCCCTCAGTCTCTACCTGTTCCTACATTTACACGATCCAAATCTCCGGTTTCATTCTTCCGGAATCGATCGTGCAGCTGGGACAATATTTGCTCGGGGTCCAAGGAAAAAACAAAGAAGGAGAGTATCAAGAAGACGTTGGGGTTTAGTGGTCGACAGCTCCATTACAAAGTAACCACCAGTAGCACGTCGGGATATGGAAGTACTTCCAGTTTGCCAGAGACGAGCCTGAACAGGAGCTTCAAGGTTAGTTTAGTTCTTCACCTCGTATCGCAGATATACTTCTTGGATACTCAGTTACGCGTAAGCGTGAAAATGAGAGTGGGGAGAAGACAGGCTAGGAAACAGTAACTGCGGCTTCGACCTATCCATCACAAGTCTATTCTTGGATCCACTCTCTCCCCTCTACATCGGTATTAATCATCATGTCTCCCCTCAGTCTTTCTCCGCATTTCAGACTATTTGATAGGTCTTCGATCATTTTCACGGACTGAATGTTTAGCGCCTAGTAGATATTATTGGGAATTTTCTTATAAATGCGATTGCGCACGTCCCAGGATGTTAGTTGGATCCGCCTTCTGCCTCTGTAGATTTCCCCCCCCCCCCCCTCTTTCCCCTCCTCCTCCATGAATACGTTGTGCAAGGATACATGGCTTTGGTTTGGTTTGTCCGGACTTGCTTGTCCGAGTGCCAGGAACCCACTACTTCTCTACTCGGCTTTTCTTATTGGCACAGCCGTGCAGTCTTGTCACAGGCCGTCGACCGGTAGTCTCGTTTGTGATCGATCTTCTGTAAGGGCTGCTCCAATCCACTCACGCATGTCCCTTATGTAGTGTCGAGTGTCTGGCCATGGTTTGAAAGCAGAATAGCCGTCGGGACGATGGCATCAAGGCGTGTCCTCAAGGACTTCGACATGCAAGGTGTTGTCAATGGCAAAGCTCGGGACGATGAGAAAGTGAAGAATGATGGCTCCTCCCGGAAAAGAAGACCTCTCAGTGCCGTAGCCAGTGTCTCGAGAAAGAATGAAGGTGATGTCGGTGAGCTCAAGAAGACTCGGGAAGGATCAGAGAAGGGAGAGGGTGTACCGAAGACAAGAATTGAAGAAGGTACTGGAATAATTGGTTCTCCCCTAAATAGTCAATGCCGACTGTTGCGGTGCATTCAAAAAAGGATCATGAGGTGGGAGATGACAGAGGCAGCTGGATCACAGGTGCTGCTGGCTCAGAAACAGAGGAGGTGGGGGACCAGGATATGTAAAAATAAACGCCCCTAAAAAACCCAACCTGTGAGAATTCTGGCCTCTTTCCCAATTCCATCAAGAGCAAACCTGTCTCTCTCTCATCTCCCCACGGGCCACTGGTCTCTTCACTCCTTAGAACGGCTAGGCTTTGTTTTTTTTTTTGTGAAAGTTGTGGTGATGGTCAGTTTGATGGATTTCTTAGGTCCAGATGATGAGACGGGATCCGAGGGACCACGCCGGTCTTTGCTTAGTCAACTGATGACTTCGGAAAGTGAATCGTTGACGTTGATAAGCCACAAGCCCCCAACTGGGAGGCCGAACTCAGCAATTAAAGAGAAGAGAGTACCAGACAGCATTCTGCATCCTTCATCACCACCATTATTCCAAGGATCGAGAAGCTTGGGTTGTGACAGACCTTTCTCTCATCAAAGGTCTCCTTCCCCTTCTCTCTGCTTTCATGGGGACGAGGACAGCTACCTAAATTCTTTGTGGAATCCTCATTGTCAACAGAGGTCTCCTTCCCCCTCTATCTTTCTGGAACAATCTCATGGTGTCCACTGTGCTCATTATTGTTCCAGTGCACCTATTTGTTGTCTGAAACCTCAAAGTTGTCATCAGGAAGCATATCTACCGTGGCGTAGCTCCCTTTTCTCCTTGGATTGTCGCCCCTTAAGCTGTTCCGCTTGTATACATCCTTATCATTCACGAAGTTGGGGTTTTCCTAGTCACCATGAGAGCTTGGATCGACTCCATCGTCTTTCCTCACCCACTTTGCATCCTGATCCTCTTGCTCCACCAGGGCTTTCACATCATCATTTGACAATCAGACCCACTCAGGTGATCTGCAGTAATGGTCTGCTGTGAACTCAGTGAATCCCTTTAGCTTGCATCAATATGCCAGTGGATGTATTTAAAATAAGAACAAATATGCTTTCTTCTTCAGAATGGCAGATTGGGGTTGGAAACAAGAGTTCAAAGATTGGAAGGTGACAAGGATTCCTTGCAGCTTCAAGTATGCATGACTCAAATGCATTTTCTTTTACTAGGAGTGATTATTATATATCTTGAAATTTTATGCATTTGACGTGCCCTTTTAGGTATCTGTTCTTCAGGAGCAAATAGAAGCACAGCAAGAGAAGATAGGGGACCTAGAAAAGCTTCTGGATCATAAGAAAACCCAACTCATTAAGACTGAAGAGGCTTTGAAGAAAGTGAGAACTTTTCCTTAATAACCAATTGTATGAAGTATGTCACTGTGCTAATGAATAATGGCTTCTTTTTTTTAACTCTTTCACCCCAGCAGCAGTCTTTACCGCCCATTCATCCTGTCCTATAATGAAAAAAGACAGAGGTACTATAGAAATTGAGTTATGTATGTCTGTGTTTCTCATTGTCCTGGAGTTTTTCTCACACTGTTAAGAGTTAATTGTTGAAATTTGGCATGGGACATGGTCTTAACAGCTGGACCTCCTATTTTGAACTAATTAATGTCAAGCTGAAAGGAGATCATGTAAGGTCAAGTCATGGAAGCCTGTGGCTGAAATGAACTGGGGCAGAGACAGGGGAATGGACCACAGGAGCTGGAGGCATGGCAACCATTGACCAAACATAGGGATACCTATACCTTTTCTGTAATTGTCAGTTTTAAAGTCATTTCGCCAGCATGTAATCTTAGTGTAGATGGAAGACATGCATTTATCAATTGTAATAATAAAATTTAACCCTGTAACTACCAGAACTCAGATGGTCATATGCTTAACTCTTTGTTTTATATCTTCATTCCCAAAAAACCTATTTAAAATTCTTTGAATAATTACTGTCACGTGTCTTCACAAAAATACACTTTACAAGTTTATGGTGCAGCCTGCAAAAATGGCAAAAATTTGTATCAGGGTCCATTGGACCCAGGATTACAGGGCTAACATGAAGGAAGTTTAGTGATCAAGTGATTTTTCATGTTATGAATAACACAGAATAAAGCAGTGGCAGCACATCTGGGCAGCCTTGCCTGATAAGAACCATATATGACATTGCATTTTTTTTCATATATTTCTTCATTGCAATGTGATGGACTCCCAACACCCTGGGGTTGATTAGGGAGTCACATTTGAATGAGTCCTCCCCCCCAAGGGATGATTGTATTTGAAAATGTTATCTGCTTCCTTTTCTTTTAGGACACTGTCAGATCTCAGATTGCAGGAGAATGACAGCTTGAACAATTATGAAATCATAATGAGCTTCAAACACCTCATCTTCACTCTTTATGCAGGAACTGTCAGAGAGATCCACCCTGGAGTCACAGAAGTTGAACCTTCTCACAGAAATTGGGCAGCTAAGGGTGAAGCATTCAGCTCTTGAGAGGGAAAACTTCAGTCTCCGTGATAAACTTTGGAAATCGGACTCTGGCAGTACAAAAGCTAAGGTCAGTCACTGGCTTGAATCTCTGACTATTGGCTTTTGTAGTAGTAAAACATGATTACTTTTTAATCAAACCTGGATAGTGATGTAGACCAAGATATCAGTAACTGGGTACCTTAATTTATGGGCAGATACTGCAAATTTTAGTATTTCATCCTGTTCAAATGAAAGAGTTGCTGCAAGAGGTTACTCCTTATCCTACTATCTAAATTCCTCTTTCTCTTTTCTCATAGAGCCCTGGTGACCTGGAAAGCCCAAGAGTGAATTCACCCCCTGGTTCTTCCACACCAGTTGGTTCCTTTTCTACCATCTCTGAGGTTTGTTCCTTCAAGAGTAGTTGTAATCCATTTACATAAGGAAAATGATGAGGTTATGTATCAGGGACATCTTGAACTCCTGGTTTTTGTTCCTTGTATTTCCAGTCTGGTTTGTCTCCAATCTCTCCATCAAATCATAGTGCACGTCTTCCCTCGAGAGATCTTCCCCCCCATCCCAAGGTAACACTTCTCTACCTTGCTTGATGAAATGAAAAGTATCAATTGCTCAGAAACTGCTTTTTTATGGTTTGCAGACACCCCCAGCAAGCACTAGGCATCGCATTGATCCTTTTTCTTCGCTCCCTCGAAATCGCAGTGGAAGAAGTGGAGAAGAAGGCTCCAATTCACGCCGTGGGAAAGGTGGTGGAGTCTTGTTTGGTAAACCTCTGTCCTTCTTTAAGGGATCAGGGGAGCGCAGCTGCTCTGCGCCTAATTTAGGTGAAGGTTCTTCTTTCCATAATGCATGATGGCTTGCTCTCCTTCATCTGGCATCTAGGCTCATCTAATCCATTATGATTTGATTTGACTTGACATTGATGGAGAGAAAATAATACATCTACTCATACTAATTCATGCACGCTTTGTTTAAGTGGTAACTGCAGTGGTTTAAGCTCGAGTTTAAACCACTGTTTTTGGTGACATTGCACATGATCACAATGATCATACTAATTGCAATGTTTTTTTGTTGCAGGGGATAGGTATTTTGACCAATAGCACCACTTAGACACTATCACGAGCATTGATTTGACAATTCGTGGCTTATGTCATAACTTCTGGACTGTTCTAGTAGAGTTCCCTTAATAAGGACATTGTTTGCCTCCTGAAAGCTTTAAGTTGAATTTTGAGTTGCCCAGCTTGTTCTTTATTGCAGAAAGCATGCGATTCACGTTCTTAATGAATTGTCCCCTTATCACAAGCAATTTGCCATGTAATGGTCTTTGAGTAGTTTTATACCCAAAGGAGCTTACTGTCATTCAAAACACCACTTATCTTACATCTCTTGCAACCAAAAGCATTGCCATCATTATAGTAACATGTGTGCAGTGTCATTAAAAGTACTGCTAGAATTTCAACTCTTGATGGTGTAGCAAGTATTGCTTGATACCCTGTACAAGATAATTCTATCTCATCAGAACCTTGAATTGTAGTGAAATTATTTTGTTTGGAGTATATGTAGATACTAGCAGTTAGTGACTGCAGAAGAATGCAGTGTTCTATTGGCTTTGTGGTGCATGATGCAAGGCTTTTGGTTTTGTGGCTTTTATGAAAATTAGGTTATTCCTTGTGTCTGTAGGTAGAAAGTGCCAGAGGCTCATTTGGCATGCTGGTCTATGATTTCCTTACAGCAGAGACAGAAAAGCCTTGGATGTCAGAGGAACAGAGCAGTCCAGGTAGCTTTACTGCAGCCCAGTCCACTCCAACTGGTACAATGCAGCGAGGAGGAGATTCTAATTACAAACAGAAAGGCATTAAGAACATCTTTGGGAAGTGAGTTCTGATCCTGTATCTAGAAGTATCTAAAGATGTGAAGTACCATTATCTTGGTCTGTGACTTTACTACTTTGCAAGTCAGTTCATTGAATGAAATGGATGGCAAATAAGAATGATAGCAGATGTAACTAAAGACAACAAGCATAAATTTTGCAAATGACACTGATATATTTGTTGCAAGACACCATTGTTGAAGTGGACACTTAGACTAGGGGAAAACAACTTAACTCGAACGCTTTGGGAAAGTGCAACTTAACTCGAACGCTTAGGCTAAAAGTATCGACTGCTTGTTCGACGTCCTCTTAGGTGATTGAATTATCTTGCTGTAGTTTCCCTGTTGTATCGAAGATGCAGTGGTTTTGATTTCCTATGATATTTCGATAGTGAGAAGAAGTATGAGTGCAAAATCTTTGTCCACTCAGATTTTGGATATTCAACCATGTTTCAGTTGTAGAGCATCTTCAGGAAAATTGTTCCATAGAACTACCTGTTCATGCACAAAATTAGTATAAGAGTTATACTAGAAATATGTTAATGGCAGAATAATATCCCATCAGTTTGGATTGATTATGTCATGAGACATAGACCTGAGCGCATGTTCGGTTTAACGTTGCAAATCCATAGGTTGATGCAAGAGTTGAACAGTACTCTTGGTTTATGCATGTACATAGTGACCTGGAGTGTATCAGTGTGCAAGCTTCCTGTCAGCAGACTTTGATGTTTCTCTTTCAATGCAGAAGAACACAGACCTCACATTCTCATGACTTTCATTTACACCATCATTTATGGATATCACCTGTTCATTGTTTCTGCCAGCTGTCGACTACAAATACAAGATAATTGGAGTTTATAAGAGAGCTACTGGTGTGCACAATATAAAAAATAAGGAACAGGAGTCTGCTGCTGGGATCACCTTACTTTTTACGTTCTTCCCTTCGCAGAAATATTTATATTCACGATGGGATGACTTCTTATTGGTTGTACCCTAAACCCTCTTGAATAGTCCAATTGTCATCCAACTTAGCAACATCTGCAGTCTTAAAATAATTTTTCCTGGCTAAATTGGTGAATCAAGTGGGAATCATAATTCATGCTTCCACCAGAGTAGGGTGGAAAATTGTTTAAGTGGTCCCATATGAGCTACAGGTCTTCTTCAAGTCAGAATGGCTCCATTGGGGAGCATTTCCCTCAAGAAAGGGAAAAGTAATAAAGCAGCCATCAGCTAAAAAGACAAACAAAGAGATGTCAGCAATCCAACTACACTTTCAAGGCTTTGATGGAAGCAACCAAAGCAGTGAAATCAGGGAGGATGGGATACAGAGCTGCTGGCCATTGATATGATATTCCTTCAATGACAATTTTTGATAGTCTCCATGGGAAAATTGCAGGGTTTGGGAGCGGAAAAAAGCATTGCTCATCAAAAGTGAGGAGATGCCTGAGAAGTACATTCTTTCAATAGCTACAAGAGGGTTAGAACATGTTCCTTTTATGGGTGGTTAAATTCATTTTTTACATTTCTTGTAATCTCTCATGACGGGCCCACTCCTATTGTGAGGTTGGAAAGCAGGATAGTGAAATGCATAAAACTGTTTCACTGTAAGAGCCTTTGTTCATTTAGTGCACCAATTTCCAGTCAGACTAAGATATGACATGTGCTGTTCCCAACGAGATAATTGCCTAAAAATGCTTGTAGCACTTTTTCCTGGGGTCTGTCTTCCTATAATTCAAACAATAAAGCAAGCTTTGTTCGACTTGAGGTGCATAAAGTTGGGAACTCTGGGGCTAAAATGACAAACAAGTTAGTCAGAATACCAAATGACTTCCATATGGGCCAGGTAAATGGGGGGAGAATATGATGATGCAGATATTCATATTCATATTCAAGAGAAAAAAATTCTTTGATCCCTCGTATGTTTGCTTTTCTCTTATGGAAACAAAAAGGGGTGGCAGAATGTGCACACAGATCTGGCAAACATTAGTCACTCTGGTAGCTGAGGCTGGCAGTACAGATTATGGAGTGAAAGGGAGGTATTCCTTGTTCGAGTCATGGAACGCATCCATTCGACTCAGAGTGCAGCTGTTCGACTCGAGATGCAGCACATGCGATAATGGCATGCCCCATTTTGAGGGGCCATGCTCATCCGGTTTCTGTTGCTGAAGATTTATTCCTACCATAACTTGACCCTTGAAAACAGGTAGTTTTAGAGAGAGGCAAAACAAAATGGTCATCTCCAGGGTTGGCCATTATGTGCCGAGAGAAATGCTGGCTATTATTATTATTATTATTATTAGTTATTAAACTGGACGGAAAAATAGTTTGAGTTTTGTTGTTTTCCCCTAATTCTAAAGTTTCAGATTCACCAGGAATGAATTAATGGAGAAAGGTGAACAACACTGGGTCTAAACCAATGTATCATCATTGTATTTATCTGAATTTTTAGAAAGTGAAAATTGGTCCAATTCCAAAGCAGTTATTTACATAAAAGGCATTTCCACATGATGTGTTGCTGTAGCATTGAACACTAATAATTTAGGGCCACCTTGAGGTAGGAACAGTGAAAGTTGAAAAGAAAGGTGAAAGAAAATGAAACCTTGAAAAGGTGCTGCATTTTTGAAGTTATTTATTCTTGATTTTCCTGACTTGCTGATAGAACCTTATTGAACTGATGTGACAATATGTATGTACATGTGGCAATTAGCAGGGACATCAAGAAATTGCTTAGTGTCATATGATGGCTCTCCCCAGAAAAAACTCACCAAACTTATAAGTGTTAGGGTGAGATGAAGCATGAGGGAGATGTTGATACCTTAATACTAGTTGATTTCTCATCAACACTTGTGCCATCACTGTCTTCAGTTGTAAATGTAGAAGTACTGTTGCTTGAGGCTGTTTTGCTAAGTTGACCAGCTCACTTAGGTTAGGACCTATTTAGCTCTTTTGCTGTGATGTTTGACTTTAGTCAAACTGCCCCCCCCGTGAAAAATGTCTGTATTTACCACCATTCACACATCCATAAAGTAATGTGCAACATGCAAAATAAACAAAATAATTGCTCTTATGATATGAAACTGGCTTGTAAGTGGCATGGTTACAAAATTTCAAATATGGACTAAGAAAAAAGTAATTCTCACCTAACAAAGTATCACTACAATATCTCAACTCAACACTTATTGATATTGCTTTAGCTCTCGATGTAAATAATATTTTTAGATGATATGGTAAAGCATAGCACCTACAGGAATACTCTTTAAGAGAGTTGGTAACTCCTTTTCAGAAACAGCAGGGAAATATTTTGAAGGCCTTGGACATTTATGAAATGACTTTCTGCCATCCCATGAACTTTTGACAGAGTTAAATCTGATAAATATTTCATAACAGAAGCATTTAGTCTTTTAACGAAAAGCCATGCACTCCCAGTATCTCTAGAGTTGTGATGATTACCTCAGTGGTTTTCTTTTGAAAGGATGAAGAGAAGCAACTCTGGAAGCTTGACTGAGGATCTTCCTCCAGGAGAGTTCAAGCGAGGAGGAACTAGGGCTACTGCAGGTCCTCGACTTGACTGGAGTCGCCCTATTGATACACCAAGGATCTAGTGAGTCACTGGAGTGGTTTTGCTCAATCATAGATTTAAATTTTAACATTGGAACTTGAAGGCTAGAACGTTAGTTGATTGTGATGTTTCTGGATTGTGTGATGCTATTTGGTCATTATCTTCCCTGCATGCCTTCCATGTGGTTCCTCTTATGTGAGTGAGTGTCTGTCTTCAGTTTGGACTCATACCTACTGGAATTTATATTCTCAACCCATTGTGCATTAGTGAAGAATGCAGATTTGTGTATGCCTTCCATCTGCCAATCTCATTGATCATGGTTAATTGATAGCTTGCGGCAGCCAATGGATCGGTGGGATTCAGAAGCTATATCTCAGTGGCTTCAAGATATGGGACTTGGGATGTATGAGACCAACTTCCTGCACTTCACAAAGTCTGGAGACCAGCTTTCTAAGCTCACTCCTCATGATTTAGAACGACATCTTGGTGTCAAGGTGTTGTATCAACTCTCTTGTTCCTTGTGATGCTCTGTATCATCATGGAGTGGGGAATATATATATTTCGGTTATGTTCAAGGTTGCACTCCATCGAAAGAAGTTGCATCTGGCCATCCAGGACTTGGCTGGTTCAGAATGTATTGAATTAACCTCCACTGGACAAATGGATCATACATCTGTCATGAAATGGCTGGATGACATTGGACTGCCTCAATATAAAGAGTCCTTTTCAGAGGCTCGGGTTGATGGTCGAATGCTGGACCATCTGACTGTAGATGATGCCCTTGCCCTTAAATTATCCAATCTCCTCCATCTCCTTTCAATTAGGCGAGGCATTCAGGTCTGTCTTCCCTTCAACTTTTTTTTTCCCCTGAATCTTTTCCCAAGCAATGAGACAATGAGGAAAAAAAAGTTCATTTTTATTCATCATGCATGATCAGGTCCTGAGGGAGCATGATTTTGACTTGAGCCTTCTGAGACGACGATCAACCCCAGAAGAAGTTGTGAACCTGAGCAATGGCAATCAGTTGCAGGTGACTCCAGGTGAAGTCTGTCTATGGACTAATCATCGTGTCATGGAATGGCTTCGCAACATTGATCTCTCTGAATATGCTCCAAACCTTCGAGGCTCAGGCATGCTGGATTCTTTTTCATGTTTGGAGTATCACACTGTTAAATATTATGTTTGACTAATTGGGTACTCATGTTATCTCTATGACAGGTGTTCATGGTGGCTTGCTTGTCTTGGAGCCTCGATTCACCTCTGAACTTTTGGCAACACTACTTTCAATCCCTCCCCAGAAAACACTTCTTCGTCGACATCTTGCAACCCATTTCCGAGAGTTGATTTCCCGAGACATTCTCCTACAAAAGAGAGAACTGGAAAATTCTCCTAATCATGTCCCTCTGACTCCTCTCACCAAAGTCAAGGCATGGAAGGGTTCCATGTCAAATTCATTTCTTTTTTTTTTTAGCATACTGTTTCACATATCAGTTCTTATTCTTTGTGGCAGGTGTCCAGAGGTCATTTCACTTTGATGAGGAAGCGCAATCGATTTGAGTTTGATCCTGATGAATATGTTTGCCCGATGGATTCCTCCAGCATATATGAAAAGGATAGGGAGGTGAGATGGATACTTTTTTGATACTGGTAGGACCAGCATTTTTTCAGCCAGGAATGAATGGGATGTTTAACTGCTGTACCCTATTTTCCAGGGTGAGAACCATATGAGTATATCTTCTCGGTTGAGTGGGGATAGCAGTCGGTCAGGAGGAAGCAGCTGATAGTGCCCTGCTGTCTTTTCTCTCTGTACCTGACATCATGATTGCATTTCCAAGCTACCATGTTATTTTCTTCTAGTATCAAATGCCACTTTGATACTTGTTTCTCCTGTTTTCCTGAATTGTGTTCACAAAAAATCAAGATATTGTTGCATGTCAGACAGTTCTTATTTCCATTTCCATGCATAAGCTCTCTGCTCTGATGGAATTCAGAATTTTCTCTTTTCCTTGTACTCTCTGCTGTGAATCTTCTGTTTTCTCTTCCTTCCTTGTCTCCCACAGTTCATTCAAATGTCACATGGTGCTGAGAGGTGGGAAAATTAGCTTCCAAACAGTGTGGTTATGCTTAATTACTGTCAAGGGTCCACTTCTGTGCCTTTACTCCATGGCTGTATTTGCAAGATACCCTGTGGATGTGCATGATAATAAAAAGCCCATTGCATGTTCACAAGACCATTTTTATTACCAACCATGACCAGTTTTTTGTTATGAGATTTAAATTATATGGTCAGATCAGAGAGAATCTGAAGTTTAGCCTTAGCATGCTTGAACAGAAGTTGGACATGCTGTCTCAACTTAGGGAATCATGAAATCCCTGCAAATTCTCTGCCTCTTGAGTCTTGGTTTCAAGTAGTTAATGCATATTTAAATCAGGTGGGCTTTTTTTCTATTGAGAAATCCCTGTTTAGCTAATCATTACCATATTTAAAGTATTGTATTTGTGCTCAGCGGGTTGTGCAGTAATTAGTGAAAATTATTAGTGTGGATTTTTCAAGAATATGGGTACCATTTTTAATGAGAATGGGTTGAAGGTTGGCACATTCATTGAATGGACAATGCTCTCTTCCAAAAAATACAGTGATAATACCTGCTTTTGCCTATATAGCCTCATGGGCAGGTTCCATTTAGAAATATTAATAGACAATAAGAGCCTCGAGTCCTAAAAATCAGTACATATTCTACTCTCATGGAAGATGGGTGCTCTATGAAGGGAAAATTTGGATATAGAAATCCAAGTTTATTTTTCTGTCATTTCTGAAGTAGTCATGTGTAATGGCTGTGCTTTACTTATGTGCTGTAACCAAGGATCCTTTTGTTTTAGGTATTGCCTGACAGTCACAGTGCAATTGCCTCAGTTTTTTCTCCTTGTTTTCAGTGGACTGCTGCATAGTGCCTATGAATTCCCTCCCAATGAGCTATGAATTTTGGTTTGTTTCACATTTTTATTTTCCTCTGCATTACCTGTGTGAAAGGCATACGAAGATACACAGAGAAGGATATCAAGGCATTTCGGTGAGTTTAACTAATTGACCTTACTTGGCATAGAAAGGCTGCTTCTTTGTGATTTTTATTGACCTTGTCTTTGTGTTGTTCCAGGGATGATGTGAGGTCCATGTTTTACCATGCATACGATGGGTACATGGAGCTTGCATATCCTTATGATGAACTACGTCCAATTACCTGTGATGGTGTTGACACATGGGGGAGGTAAGAGAAATTTCTCATTGCTTGTTGTTTGTTGAAAAAATATATTCATGGTGATGCTTGTCTTTGTAGCTACTCATTAACCTTGATTGATGCCCTTGATACACTGGCTGTTATGGGGAACTTCTCAGAATTTCGCCGAGTAGCTGAGCGCATCATCTCAGAGCAGAATAACTTTGACTCCAACATTAATGTCTCAGTCTTCGAAACAAATATCCGTATTGTTGGAGGACTTCTGAGTGCGCATTTGTTATCAAGGAGGTAAATATTCTGTTTCATCCTAAATTCATTAAGATGTAAATCCTTAAATATTTTTAAAGGATTAATTGATTGATCAGGGCTGGTATGAAATTGGAACCAGGATGGCCATGTGATGGTCCTCTGCTGAGACTGGCTGAGGATGCTGCCAAAAGGCTCTTGCCTGCATTTGACACTCCAACAGGTCTGTTGATCTCAACACTTGCTATCAAAAGGGGTTTGCTCTCTGCTAAAAGTGAAAAACTCCATTTTTTTCTCTAAGGAATGCCATATGGAACTGTGAATCTACGATATGGGGTTCCATTGGGTGAGACGACCATTACCTGCACTGCTGGTGTTGGTACTTTTCTGGTTGAATTTGGCGCTCTTTCTCGACTAACTGGGAACCCCGTATATGAGCAGGTTCTCTCTTTTACCATCATGGTATATTGAGATATTTAAGAAGTAATAAGATCTCATGAGAATTCATTTACTTATCAATCTTGTTTTCCAGACAGCATTGAGAGCAATTCATAGTCTTATGAGGTATAGATCTTCAGTGGGCCTATTTGGAAATCACATTGATGTTGTAACAGGGAAGTGGACAGCGCATGATGCTGGCATTGGTTGGTTTCTCTTTAGTTTTCTTTTGCAGTATTGCTGCAGTATCATTAAGAGCTAAGAGATTTTGTTCTTGCCAGGTGCTGGGGTGGATTCATTTTATGAGTATCTAGTGAAGGGAGCCATCCTTCTACAGAGACCAGAACTAATGGAAATGTTTAATGAGGTTCGGGGTCCCATCGAACAGTTCCTCCGCTTTGACGACTGGCACTTTTGGGCCTCCATGCAGAAAGGACACATCTCAATGCCCATCTTTCAAAATTTGGAAGCATATTGGCCTGGAGTCCTGAGTCTGATTGGTGAGGATAGGAAAGCTGCAGCTACTTGTGTACCTTATAATGACCACAATTTGATATCTTTTTTTTTATAGGGGACTTGGGCCCAGCCATGAGAACTCTGCATAATTATCACCAAGTGTGGAAGAAATATGGGTTCCTGCCTGAATTTTACAATGTCTTCAGTGTGAGTATAGGAGATGTATGTTGAGGACATCCCTGTAGAGTCTCATGATAATTCAGTGTTATGTTTAGGGTGAGGCAAGTACAAGCAGGTCAGGATACCCTCTGAGACCTGAGCTGATTGAGTCCATCATGTATCTGTATCGTGCTACCAGGGATCCATCTCTCATTCAGATGGCAGTGGACATCCTTCAGTCTATTTTGCACAGCACAAAGACAAAATGTGGTTTTGCCACAGTATGTCATTATTCCTTATCTTGCAATCTGCAGAAATTTTCATATTTTTTAATTATTGTCCATTCTGGTGTAGGTGCGTAACGTGAGGGACCATCAACTGGAAGACCGAATGGAATCGTTTTTCCTTGCTGAAACAACCAAGTACTTGTACCTGGTCTTTGATACTGATCATTTCCTTCACAATACTGGTGGATATGGGACTCTCATTGAATCCAGAGGAAAAACCTGTGTCATTGAGGCTGGAGGATATGTCTTTAACACAGGTCAGTGAATCCTTATGTGCCCCATGGAGTGAAGAAATACTTTCATTGATGTTGCGGTCAAAATACATGGTTCTGTTATGCAGAGGCTCATCCAATTGATCCCGGAGCTTTACACTGTTGCACGGGAGTGGGGATTTCCGAAGTGTCAGACTACCTCAAAGACCACATTGTGGATCTGATCGAGCCAGGTGCATTTCATCAACGTGGGGGCATCCCCTTAGAAGAGTACAGGGACAAGTCAAGACGAAGAAAGAGTTCAAAAAATAAAATGGAAATGGAGGAAAACAATAAAACTGAAGAATTTGATGGCCAAAACAAAGGAGATCAGGGTGGTAATCAGGATGACAAAGCATCTCAAATGAGAAACAACAGCAATGCTGCTGATAAAATTTCCTCTGAGAAACCATCTCATCTTACCACAGAAGAAGTTAATGAGAACTTCAACAAAAAACCAATCATGAAAACTGAGCACATGGCACAAAAGGATGTGTTGTCATTCACAGTCAAGGAATTCATCAAAGATATTTTCAAGCTAAGAGAAGAGAGTGGAGGTTCATATGACCCAGATACATTTGCCAAGAAGGTGGAAGATGATCTCAGTACATATAACATGACTGCAAGCCATGATGCCCTGATATGCCATGCTCCTCCATATGTTCAGAGGTTTGGGATTTGGGGTTTTGTTTTTGATGAGTCTTAAAGGACACTGCATGTGCTTGTCTGTGATGCATTTTCTTTGTAGTCTGCTCAGTTGATACTTATATTTTTTCATTGATAAAGAATTATCATTCTTGAATGACATTGTTGAGGGCTTGCAGTGACCTAACTGTACAAGGTGTGATAAAAATAGTTCAGGCCTGATGTCAAAGTGACACTTGTGATGCTTCAATAAATTATATGGACAGTGTACCAAAATGAATCCAAATTTCTTTTGTTCTCCTAGTTCCTATTAGAAAACCATGCTAAAAGGTTCTCTAATGGCATTTGGCATTTTACATGTGAAATCTCCATGATTATATTTAGTTGGCAGTACCTGGTTGTAGAGTGGCCAGTGGAATGGCAGATCTGTATCTTGACTGGTACTCAAGGTTTTGGTGCACCAGGTCAACAGCAAAGATTTCTAACACAGGTAAGAACAAATTATTTACCAAATGTTAACCTTAATACAGTACTTCAAAAGTTACCTGAATTTGAAGAAAGATAAGAAAGCAGTTTCACAGAAGTCTTTAAAGCTTTTATCAAATTAGTCTAAAAAGAGGACAAATTCTTAATCCTACAATTCATGACATATGAAAGCCTTGGAGAAAAATGTCAAATTTCTCATACATTTCCTGAAAGGTTCAAAAGTAAGATATTAGCATCAGTCTGCTTAAATTCTGCCATTTCAGGGCAATTTTGGGTGTTAGCTAAAATGGAAGAAATTTGCAAAAAGAGAAAAACTACAACAGATGGAATTGGTAAAACCTTAGAGAAAGATGTGAGATGAATGTATGAGACTACTAATACATGACAGTTTTTTTTAGACCTGAAATATAATAAGTAAAAAATTAGAAGCTTGCTACAAAATAAAGCAAAAGATATGGTAATGACCTGGTATTAGTTTAATATGCTCCCTGTTGGCAAGAAATATATGTTTAAAAAGTTTCAATGTTCTTCCCGATTGGGAACATCAAAGATGTCTCAAAAATTCCCCATTTGCACTATAGTGAGTCTTCAGCAATTTTATATAAAAATTATTCTGGTATGTTCCTTATCTGGCACACTATGCAGAGTAGTTGATCAAATGCATTTAAACTATGTTTTCCTTTGCAACAGTCTTGAGACTCTGGTAGAAAAGAATTGTTAAGTAACCTACTACCCACAGATGCTAATGGACTTACTTTCAGCAGCTTGATAAAAATATTTTTGAAGTAGTGAATTATGGAACACTACACATAACATCTGAGATTATTTGTCCTGTTTAAAAAATGGGAATCTTACCCAAATGGATCAATATGTGCATAATTTGAGTAGCTGCCATTGTTCATAGTACAACATAATTCCAAAGAGTATAGCCCTTGAGTTTGTATTGAGATAAGAGGCATGGGAAGAGGACTCAGTTGTCCTGATGCTCCTTTCATATTGAACTGCTGGTCTGTCATGAAAATGGAAATTATTTTTTGTTACTTTTTTTTTATTCTCATGGGTTTTGGTGCTTGGTTCTCACATAATTACATGGCTATGAAGAAATCATTATTGTTGGGTCATACCATAACTACAGGATGTTTCCTGCTTGTCCTTGGGAGGGGCATATATCCCTTGACACCCTGTAGGGCAGTGGTTCTGAACACAGTGGATTGTGAGAGAATGGATTAAATGGAATGAAATGGATTAAAAGTCAAAGAAAATTTAGAGAGAAAGAAACTAGAGAATAGAGTTCAATCATAAGTGCCAATTTAACTACAGGGCAATATTACTTGAGCTCAACTTTCCAGGAATTATCTTATCTACTAATCCAGATTAGAAGGCAGTGCAGGGAGAAGGCTTACAAGCAAGCAATTCAAATAAAAGGCAAACAGCTATAAAATGTATTTTTAATCATTCCTGCTCTTAACCTTAATCTCCAGTCAACTACTTGTCAGTGCAGTTTTCCCTCTGGTTCCTCAGTGCTATGGTTACGGGTGGTGCTGTTTTTGTGGTTTGTGTGTGTTTTATTCATCAGAAAATAAAACCAAATTTAATTTTCTCAATTTTGTGTTTCTGCTACCTGAACTGATATACAAGGTATTTCCTTCATTCTATTCTCCAATATTATTGGAGTGGGGGAGATTTATGAAGTTCATCTCATCTAGAATTTCCTGTGGTTACTTATCTACAGGGTGAGTCAAAAGTCCCTGAATGACACTGAACATCTCAGCAAGGATGGCATTAATTTGCAAAAAAAATTTTTGCATATGAGTGTGTGCTAATCTACCAAACAACATGAAAACTTGCATGAAATACTAATAAGAAATGGGATGACAAATGGAAAAGCAACATCTTTTTCAACAGAAAACAGATATTCTGAATACAACAGATTGATGGTTACTTTGTTATTTTTGCTGCTCCAAACAGTTGTCTGATAATGCTTGCTAAACTTTCTTCAGAGGAGCACATCACCATAGTTTGTTTGTTCTCTATCTGTGATGGAAACCTCTGAAGTGAAGTGTGGTTTTGCAAGGATGTTTTGAGATGGCTCACCTCCACTGTGTGATCGAGCTTAATGGTGCTCAATATCATGGCCAGTAATTGCACTTGTTTTTACACTGATAAATTTTTTTTAACATTGTATTTATAAAGTGCATGCAATTTTGCATATGCATAAAAAGTTTGCAAATTAATGCCTTCTTTTGCCAAGTTATAGCTGTTCAAAGGCATTTGGTGACATTTGACTCACCCTGTAAGGTTAAAATTTAAATGCAAATGGAACATTTCCTGATAAAACCAAATGCAAGTGGTACTTTTGGTAGTGCCCCTGGTGAAGTCACTGGGGCATTAGTCAGCTTTCCTCCAGCATACAAGTCAAAATTAGTACCAATCTGGAAGTATAATGATTCCTACCTTCAGTGTCAGTTACACAGTGTCTAAGTATGAAATCAGAATGCATAATTTGTGGAGCTAGCCAATTAATCCAAAAACCCTTCAAAATTGAGGTGTCTATTGGATCGAAATCACTCAAAACCAAAGGAGTTCTTTCAGAGGAAGCACAAAGAGATAAAGAAACAAGGAATAATGAAGGATTCACCTGTGCTGAGCACAATACTTGAAAGCATAATTCTGTATATAAAGCTTTCCCTTAATGTTTTTGAGTCACATGGCTGCATAACTTTTGGACGTTTCTAAATCTGTGGGTCACATGAACATGGGAAGAGGACTTGAAGGGTTGCAACATGGAAAAGATTGAGACCACTGTTGTGGGGGATAGTGGGGCAAAATGCAGTCCCAAAACTTTATCCCAATCATGTCTGACATCAATAGGATATTTATTGTAACATGAACCTCTACAATGGCTTTGAGGTTTTCACTGTGGCAGCACCCTACAAAGTTGTTTGCAAGCACTCAGGGAGCAGGAAAAAAAATTTTCTTTAAAGTTCTTGATCAGCAAAATGAAACAGCAAGGAACTGTTGGAGGCATCCTCTTTTATCACTAGAGGTGAAAATGTGAGCTCTTATATGAAGCCATCATTTATTGTGTATTACTCATCTTTTTCATTAGATTCTGTCATAGACTGCTGATGGGATAAACCAGGGATGGGTGAAATAGTGTCTGGTAGCATTTAGAAGATAAACACTGAATTACTCCAGCAAATTTGAAGCTCTATCTTCCCCAGGATACAGAGAAAAGAAGATAATAATTTTTGGCCTGTGTGGATTTCTTTCTGGTATTTATTTCTCTCTTCCCTGGCTCCAAAATAAGTTTCAGTTATTTAAGCTTTTCATGTGAGCTCCAGTCCCCAACCACTTGATGCTGAAGTTTTGTCAATTGATGAGAGTTTATGCTTTCTGCTGTTCTAAATTAGTGCCTGAATCATCCTCTACAACAGGGGTGGCCAAACTTCCTGACCTTATGAGCCACATCACAAAATCTTCAATTGGCTGAGAGCCACAAGACAGACACCACTTTAAACATGCATTCTTTAACATCAAAACTCCAATTTTACATAAAGATTCGTATCCTGTGTGAGTTAAGTGGTAAATTTGAGTGATCATGCCTTTAGGCAGAGCCCATCAGTCAACCTTGTTTCCATCCCTATCCCTATTTCTCTTCCTTGATTAATAAGTGAATTCTTGCAATGCAGGATTATTAATGTCAGTGTAAAATTTAGACACTTGTTCAGCAAGTTTTAATGTCAACAGTGTCTGCATGTAAGCCCTATCACCTTTACAGACTTCCTGAATCTACCGATATGCATGGGAGTACAATCACTCAATGAATTGGAAAAAGCACGGTTCCAAGTGAATGTAGTGAAAGCTAAAATCCTCTAAGAGAGATATCCTTTGTTTTCTATGCTACATTATATCACATATAACAGGGTATGCACGCTTTCAAGTCGCCTATGGTCCCTAGTTTTGGAATGGTAAGTATTTAATTCATCACCAAATTCTTATTATCCTCATCAAATGATTTCACCATCAGACTTGATGAATCTAACTGCAACTTCTCCCTCAGTGTTTTCACCAAACACCATGAAATGATCATAAAATGTCATTGAATATGCACCAAATTATCGCCACATTTCACATCCCAAGAGAAAATAAGTAATTTCTCATTTGACAGTCCTGGAGGGCAGATGCAGGGCCTTTGGTCTTCCTCTCATTTCTGTCTAATTGGAAAAGATCCAGCTTCAAAAGGAATGGTGACCTCTAGGATGTGGGTTTGCATTCCCAGTGAAATCCAACTGGACAAGTGCACTCTAAATGCAGGGTCTTGACAACCCAGAGAGTCTTGCTCTCTTTTCCAAACCTCAAACCTAAAAGTTGCTAGTAGCCATGTCACCTCTAATACACAGAAATGCAGAAATTGTAATTCATTGCCTTACTGAACTTCCACACATGTTCACAGACACAGGAAGACCAATTATACAGGTCTTCCCCTGAAGCTCCTGGAAGTTTGATAGGATTTTACAATCTCATCTTGCCATCATAGGTCTAACCAGAATTGAAGAATCCATTCCTCAATAGGGTCACAATTGCTGAAAATGTTCATGTTATTCATGGAAGCATATTTTTGTATGGGCTCATACAAAAAGCACCTGTGATGGTACAATCATATTTAGCAAAATAAAAAATAAGAATTTGGTGATTGGCTCCAATTTGGAGAAGATTCATTGTGATCTGGTGATGGAGCAAATGATTCAGCAGGCTTTTGTGAAGAGTTCTTTATTATTGGTGGGTGATATGTCCTGTGGAACATGAGCCACCCTTGCTCTTCACCCAACAGTTCACAGTGAGCTGCACTTGATGTGTCCAAGAGCAGTGGTTTGGCCACCATTGCTCTATAATAAGTTTTTGTGCAGCATTCATAAAAGGAGGTGAGAATGAAATAGTGGTTAGTGGTAGTTGATCTATGTGATGCATTATGGATGTAGGCCCTAAACATGTAAAACCAATCTCATTTTGTTAGGTGTGGATGCTTCATTGCTGCTTCTGTTGTGTGACCTTTGTAAATAGCAAACAAAAATTATGCAAGACAATATTTGGAAAGGCACCCCATTGCTGACAATTTCAAGAATCTTAAATCAGACAAAACCATCTCTGCTATCACCATGAAGTTGAATCCTAGTGATGGGTAATAGATGTGAAATACCCCACACCAATCTGTAATATTCTTCTTCTTGGTACATACAATTGACAATTTTGCTCATGTGTCTCCATTCTGCCCCACTGTACCCTGTAGTACACAATAAGACTTTACTCCATAGGATCCATGGTTATTGTCATCCATTATAAATAAAAGGGTGAAAGGGAAACTAGTCTATCTTTATATCTTGGATTCTCAAGTTCCAATGGGAAAGAGTGAATATTCTACTGATTGTCTTTTCAAAAGAAAGAAAAAGTGGCATATGCTGATGGACAAGTTTTTCACTTACATAAATCCCACAAAGGACTTCTCATTGTCCTATTTGGTCCAGATCACAAATCCCAAAATAAGGAGACAAAACAATAGAGAGAATTTCAGTTGTGATTAAACAATGAGGCTTATTCATGATACAAGAGCAACAAGAAAAATGACAGAAACTAGTAGGGAAAGAAAATGTAACCAAAGGTGAAGTGATGGTCAATGATATCTGACTGTACCTACTCCACAAAGAGCTCAGACTCTACACAAAGGGCCTCCAATAGAAAGAAAACCATAATAGCTAGAAGAAAAAAAGAGAAACAATCGACTCAAAAAGATCAAAGGACCTTTGAACAAGATTTTCAGGCAGCTTGCTGGACATGCACCAGAGGACTTGCCTCAGTCAGAACATGAAGCCTGTCCAGAAAAGCAGGCTGCCTCTCCTGAATGATCTCCAAGTACTGAGTTTTGTACTGTGACCGGGAAAGAAATTCATTGAGTTCCTCCTGACTCTCATCAGAGGCCACACAGTGCTTACACACATGAACACAAAATTCCCTCAAGACATCCAACATGTTGTTAGCAACAACAGAGGCACTTATAGCCTGTTCAAGGGGAGGTGGACTGGGCACAGGCTTCTCATCTTCATCCACAAAAGCTTTTGTCTGATGGAGTGCCTGCTGTGTGTGATCAAACAGCTCAAGGACAAAATGCAGGGAATCCATGGATGGAGAAATGAAGGTGACACGGGAGAGGACATTGATAATGCAAATCACACTTTGAAGACCATTCTGATTCAGTCGCTGGACAGTGGAAGAGATCTGATGTGAGAGATGATGCAAAGTGGCATTCAGGATCTTGAGGACATCATCCCAACATGCACCTGTATCACCCCAGGACAATGATAAGTTGTACATACCTTAACATGGCAGGTGAAAGAAAGCTGAGAACATCATATAGCTTACTGAGAATTTCAGCTGATTCAGGAACAGAACAAAGGGCAAGATTCAAGCAACAAAGCAGGCTCTGAATGCCAGGCCATATCTCTTCACATATCCGTTTGTCAGATGTGATTCCAAATTGTTTCATGGCCTCAAGAACTCCCTGTACTAGATCTAAGAAAGAAATAAAATTACAACATGGTACACAAATTCTCCAAATACAGAAAGATGTTGCAAATTAATGCTAGACTCACCAATCCTGAAGAAAAATTTGGCCTTTCCTTCAAAATTTAAGATGGCTGCCAGTAACTGACTTGTCTTAATGAGAAGATCCTCTGCATAGGAAAAGACAAATGTATGCACTTAGATTAGATGCATCCCTATACTGTAACCAGATAAAAACACAACCATGAGTTTCACAGCACACCATTGGTGGAGCTCTTGAGGATAAACACAAGTGCTTGATATGCTTCTTCATTATAGAGAAGATTAATCCACATAGAAGAGGGTTTATTGGACTCAGCATTCCCCTTTCCAGCTTCCTGCTCCCTCCACACAACAGCATAAAGTAGCCTAATCACTTCCACAAGAGTTGGAGAATCTGTACAACTTAGCAAGGCCACAATCAACTGCATTAATTCTTGTTGGTCTGCCTTCACCTTCTCCAAACCAGCTTCATGACAGCAGATATTACCCAGGATCCCAACAGCTATTTCCTGTTGAAGAGTCAAATCATCCATTTAATTCCTTGATGTAGACAAGTTCCACTGCAGATAAGAAATGACCAGACTGTAAGACGTGGTGAGCAGGACTTGCGAACTGTCTCTGTGATGACATCCAAAATGCCATGTTGAATGACAAGTATGGCCACAGCTGGCTCAACTGTCATATCCCACAAGAGACAGATATTGCTTTCCAGCTCCTTCTCCAGTTCCATAGGCTCATCTTTTTCACTACAATACTTTGGAAGTTCCTAGAGTATAATTAAAATCAAATCAACAGAGGAAAAGCAAAGTAAAATAATCACAAATGAACCAGTTACAGTAGAAAAACAGAGGACAAACCTGCATCCATGATATGATGGTGTTGATTACCCATCTTTCACTGAAGGTTGTATTCCCTATGGCATCCCCACGAATCACTTCCTCCACACTAACAGGCAACTCATTAGAAGGGGGTGGTGAAGGATTCCGGTCTGTCACCTCCATATTTTGCTTATTCATGAATTCATGAGGATCAGTCTTCTTTTTCTTCTGGTGAAGCAATCATCTTCCTACAACATATGAAGCTCCTCCAGCCAAAAGAGTTTTCTGGTATGATTTACAGCAGGTATGATTGATCACCAACAGAAACATCACAACATTTCTATGTTAGAGAGGAACCATTACTCCTCCAGTTAATGCCAGCATCAACTGCCAAATCATATCACACCAGAAGTACCGATAAGAATGAAATCATGCCCAGATCCAAAGGTTCATTCACTGCACAATGATGACATTGAGACTTAGTGAAGTTCAATCACACTTCTTAGGACACAGTTAGGTCCATTCACTTTCACTCAATCATCACAAAAGGAGTCCACAATGGAAATTTAACTGCACTATGATGTTGCTCAAAAGGTCTGAGATACAGGGTAAATTGTGCCAGAATCTCTCTCAGACCCACAAAAACCTTCATCAGTAGAGGAGAGGTAGGAGTATGTAGCAGTAGGAGAGGAAGTAGGCAAGGTGATGTCCAAAATCTTTAAATTTCACAAGACAATTTCCTGGCAGTAAAATCCTGTATCAGTGACCATACCTAAAAGCAAAAGGAAACATCAATGCAATTCTTGGTAATTGCAATAATAACATGCAATAAATGGAACTCTTCCAATTCTCACTTTTGAAACTCCCAATCTCTATTGTCAAGGGGGCAAACCTGTCGAGTTTTCAGCCAGCGAGAAATACAATGGAAGTGGAAGGCATGCTGAAATAAGATAAGACAAAGTTGCTGAATAAGATGAAAAAGACCGATGCAATGATGATAGAAAGGGCTCACTCACATTGCAGACTCCCCATGCAACAGTACACTCCTCACTTGTGGCTGAAGCCTGATTGGCTTGACATTCAATGCATAGATCCATTATGTGGTTACGGCAAATGGCACAATTGTCCACTACGATATCTAATGCACAAAAACTTGGTTAATAATAAAAATATATCCTCCTGCACATGTAATCACTGGATGTAAAATAAAAATGAAGTCCATACCCCAGGCCCAAAGTGCCACTGCATTCCACTATAAACATAATGAAACATTGAAAATTCCCTTGTAAGGTAGGTCACAATATTCCTCATGCAAAAGTAGGAAGAAAGCCAAACCTTCTTGACTTCAAAGCGCTTCTTGTCTCCCTTTGAGGTGGATGATGAGGGCATCTCCACCTCATCTTCATCCACTTCCATTGCTGATGCCATCTGGGATGGACTCATGAAAAAAAAACTCAGTTATACTCCAGGATAAAGGTAAGAAAGAGCACCTTGAAGTTCATTTAATGGAAATGATCAAACACTGCAACAGAAGTCTTAGAATGCTGGAAGACATGCTACAGAAACATGGGATTCTGCAATGCCTTGCAGTAATTTCTTCTTGGACCATGTACAATACATGCCTCAAACAGCAAAGAGCTGAGGTGGTCACATCATGGTAATTACATGCCATCTTTGTTCCTTAAACGTCATTATAGGTTTTCTTCTGCATGATAAAAGCTTTGTGTCCATATGATACATAATATTGGCCCTGATCATTATATTTTATTCAATTTGTCCTGTGCTTCTAGCCACTTGCACCTTGCACATACAAAAAGGTATGCTCTCCTGAGCTAGGAGCTAGGAATTGGAGTTATGGAGAAGATGCACTGACTACAGTCAGTGCATCTTCTCCATAACTCCTATTTTACTTCTGCCAGACAGTTAAAGTCATCCTTCATAAGAATCACTACTGCCCAGCCAATTTGAACCCTTTGGCATCTGTGCCCAAGTTATCTTGTGCTGGCCTAATGTCAAGAATGGAAAAAAATCTAATTGAAAGTGCCGACATACTCAAAATACTTGGACACCAAAAGGTTAAGGATAAAAATATACAAGGTGGTCCTTTTTCTAAAGGCTGCATCTTGGCTCCCAGGGGAGCAAACTATGTAATAATATACATTTTTGCAAAAGCCCTGGATGAATTGAGCATATTCTTGCTGAAAAATCTCTAATCTGGATGAAGTCACAGGCATTATTCTGAAGTTCAAGCCTCATTTCATCAAAACTAGTTTTTTGTCTTTGCCCAGAAAGTCCCCCAAAAATGCTGAAAAAAGTAAATGCACTGACATCTGGAGTAAATCTTATTAGAGCAACAATGCTGGTTTCCACTATAGTCACAAGTACATCAAACAGTGAATTAAAGAAGTAATCAAAGTCTTTGATTCTGACAAAATTTGGTTCCAATCAGCTTTTGGTGACTTGAGGGCTTGATGAGAAGAATGTGAACTGGATGAGAATTGAATGAACATTAAATTCATGTATTTGAAAACCTGTTTTGAAGATAAGGGATAAAGCATCAGGAAAGTGTATGCAACTTCATCCAGATGAAAAACTCCAGCAAGAATAGGCTCATTTGAAACATATCTAGGGCTTTCCAAAAATGTATAAAAGGTGTTTAAAAAAATCGGTGCCAAATCATTTTCACTAATAATGATAGTACATTTCATCAGATCAATGCAATTTTTTAAACACTGCATGTACAGAAGATATTTACAAATTTTAAGAAAATTGAGGCACTGTAGCACATTTTATACCAGTTCAAACTTGATAGGTAAAAATATGTGCAAACATACAAGCCCACTGGTGTGTTCGCTTCAGCCAGTGAAGTGAATGGATGCCTGTGCATGCCTTACCAAACAGCCAAAGGGGCAGAGGGTGTGGTGTTTTCCTTCGTTGCCTTATTTGGTGAGAAAATGTTTGGCCAATATGATGTATGAATTTCCTTTGAATTTGGCAAAAAATTCATTATCAAAATAGGTGACGAAGGGATAACAACATGACCTCTGCCTCTTTGATAAGACATGCAAACTTTCCTTTGCTTCATTGGCTGAGGCAAATGCACCAGAGGACTTGTGCAGCACTTTATTACCTATCAAGTTTGAACTGGCATATAACGTGATACAATGCCTCAATTTTGTTTAAATTTGGTAATTACTTTTACTCTATTCAAATGCTATGTTTGAAAAATTGCTTCGATCTGATGAAAAGTACTGTCATTATTAGTGAAAATGATTTGGCACCGATTTTTTGTAAGCACCACATATATCCTTCTTAGGTCTGCCTCAATAAATGCAAAGATATTTCCTCTAGAAAACAAATTGTTTCCTATGGACCACCCTGAACTACAGCATTTTGGTCATGCATTTGTGCATGGGGTGTGGAACCTCCCTGTCATCTGTCCCATATTTTTTTCCCATGCTCATTGACTTTCGCCATGGTAATAATTAAATTTGTGTCAAATTCAGTTGAATAGTTTGACATGAGCTTGAGCAGAAGTGAGGTCAAATACAGTTGACCCTTGCAGAACCTAGGGAATGAACAATCAGACTGAGATATACAACAGCCAACTCCTTGATGATGGTGTCAAGGATGACGATTTGGACAGATTTTCATTTTTATTTTGATCAACATCCTATCAACTCTGACTTCTCATGGAGATTCTTGATCCTTTTGGAAAGTATCTTGCATCAATTCTCATCCTTCTTGTAACTTAAAACTTTCGATTTCATTTCAAGAACTGGACTGCTTACAAGTGCTACATGTATGAAAGCAAATGACTTCCATGAAACTTTTGAGGCCATACTTCACAGTCTGCTGCAATGCTTAGATATAACAAAGAACTCACTGGAATCAATATGCCAAAATAAAAGCACTAAAGGCAATCAGAAGAGATTGCCTGGCTGTGAATATCATCAAGCTGAAGGATGCTAGAGTGCTGAAATTTCTGCCTGAAAGGAAAAATTAAACAAGTTTTTTGGGGATCTGTGGACTACAGTTTCAGCTAACTTCTTGTCTTTGCAATTTTAATGGATTTGGAAATGTTCTTCATTAAAAACATAATTTCAAAATGTTTTAGTAAATGTAATTTCAAAGCAAAAAATGAGCTTTACTTCAAGGGAGAAAAGCATGAAAATATTATATTTAAGGTAATGGGTCTGATAAGCTCCTTCTCTCTATCAGACTTGTTTCTCAATCAAACATATGCATGCCACATGTAACAAAGGAAGAGAATCCAGTCAAGAAACAGAAAGGTAATAATAAGCATGGAAGATATTATAAGGGGAGTGAGGGCTTGAATTTTCAACTTTTCCAATCAGGATATGCTGCAATGCTTTCCCATCCTATTGCCCAGGAAGTCTGTGCACAGGATGGGCTCTACCTACTTTCATTCCCTATATCATAAATCATCATATCAATATTGTATTACGCAAAAATTATATTTTTTTTATTCAGACACTATTTCAGATGATTCTGGCATCCATCTCCAGCACTTCTCATGCTTTGGTTTGAAGTAAAATGTTAAAAATATCCCGTTCAGCTAAGCTGAACTTCTGGGACAAGATTGGAGGAAAGCAGATATAACCCAGAGAGCTAGTAAAATCTTATAAATAACAAGATCAAATTGAATTTTTTTCAATGGAGGTCTCAGAACATACTCAGTTAGTTTTCCATACTTCAGGAAGTATCTTCAAAACTTTCTTTCACTCTTTCAATCATAGCATCACAACTTCTTTACATTTTTCTTGCCAGTTACTCCATCATCAGTTTTCCCATCTTCATCACTCAAATCCTCTTCACTCATTTCCTCCTCATCAATTCCAATACCAAATTTGTCTAAAACACCTTTTTTCTTTGGAGGAGCATCTTCATTATCATGTAGAGATGGTCGCTTTACACCAGAAGTTGCAGGTGCATTTTTTTGGAAGGCTTGCTCCACTGCATCATGAATCTTGTCAGGTATCTCTGACCGTGCTTTGTCATAATTGGGATCATTGAACTCATGTTTAGGTTCAACCAGCATCCTCTGTAGTCGCTGTCTCCTTCGCTCTTCTGCTTCTTTTTCTCTGCAAAATTATTCAGCCAATAAAAACCTGCAATAGCAAGCACTAGAAATTGTCTGTCCATCATCCTACTCTTACTGGCTTCTTCCTTGTACAGAGTATCAATGCCGAAACATACCGTTCTGCCTGCTTCTCCAGCCAATTTTTCAATTTCTTCTCTTCATTTATGTCACGTAGACGTCGACCACTGAGGTCACGACACGCTTCATGATTAGTTGTCTTCTCAATCTGTGCACCAATGGCTCTGAGCATGGAACCAAAGCCTCCTTTGCCTCCCAAAGTGCGAAAGCACATCTGAATTCTGTCTCCATCTAAAGCAGAGATTGATGAAAAGATATTTAAAATATTGCATGCTATTCTTCTCAGGCTTTCTCACTAGAAATAAACCTAGAAATAAGAACTAAAAACCAAATCTGACTATAGAATTCTTTTTTTTTTAATAAGTGTTATAATCTCACCTTCCAATGGAGTTCCTTCTGTTAGAAGTTTCCCATGTTTCATGAAGAAGGCCTGCTCAAGGAGTTTTGCACCACAGACATGTTGTGAAAGATTCTCTTTCAGATGAGGTAAGGAAATATGTTTGTTTGATTCTTCAATGACGAACTCCTCCCTCAAACCCTCCAATTTCACCAAAGCTCTCATGTCTTTATTTGGCTTTGGCTAACTGCAATAATTGTCAATGTACAGGGCATCCATAAAGTGACTATCTCTGGATAACATTACCATTATTGACTCTGCAGTAACAATTTAGTTTGTAAGCATAGATGATGATTATCAGTTGACCTAGGAATGATGTATCTTTCCTCCTTTTTTTCTTCAGCCAGTGAGAATCAAAACTTCTGATCCTTGTTTAAAAACTGAGGATTAAAGGATCTTGGCACTCCTAACCCAGCAATTCTCAAACTGTGGTGCAACCCCTAGGGGGGGGGAGCAACAGATCATAGGGGTATATTTTTTTGCTATTTATTTATTGATTTATTATGATGTGCAATTTGAAAAACTATGCCTTTATATGATTTTTTTTTTAATACTGAAAAATGTCCAAATTTCTTAACAGCCTTGTGAATATGCTCAAAGAAAGCAGAGTTATGCAGAGTAGCAGGACACAAAGCAGCCCTTTTTCTCTGAAATACACAAGACCAAGAACTTTCTGGCTCCTGGTTCTCTGAGTGTATATTAAATGAAAGCAATCCCCTAGGGCAGGCTTTGAAATTTGATTTTTTTTCTAATAGGTGCTCATATCCATCAGTGATCCAAATCAAGATGGCAAAATGTATTGAGCATCTCTTTGTGCTCAAACTCAAATACTTTGTGTAGTATTGATACACTTTTTCTCTCAATAAATATTTGAAAAGACTAAAAAATGTGGAGGAGCTAAGTTCCCAGGTAAAGCAAAATGTCAGAAGGTATTGTTTAGAATTATTTAATGAGCTTTGTGTAGCTATTGTTACCATCCAGTCAAGATTCGATCATTTTTGGGCCCAGAAACATGTGAGCATCATTCTCAATAAAGATAGCAACTGATCTAATTTGTAACCGTGACCCAGTCCTTGAACTGCTGCAATCCTTTATCTTTTTTTTTTGCAATCATTATACAATGAAAACATAAGGGATAGACTCCATTTCCTGGGACTCTTTTTTAGAAGGAAAGAGGGGCACGGCATAAAGCCAGGGTTGCTAGGGGAGTGTAAACTTTTTAAAAATTGAGAACTGCTACCCTAACCCTTTCAGAGTGGTCAGAACATCTACCCACCTTTTTATTTCACATTTTTATCCTGAGGAATAGTGGTCAAAGACTTGCCACCACCCCTCAAGAGTAAGCTCATGAGCCATCTAGCAATGGACTTCTTGAACACTTAGCATAAAAGGGAAGAACACAACTTAAACTTTATAACAGCTAGCAACAGCTGCATTTTAGGTTTAGGTTAACTTCTAAATCAAATTGCATGTCTCAGGGGGTTAAGAGTTACAGCAAGGTAAGGTTCTTCTAAAGTATTGTTGGATCCTCTGAAGGAAAATGCAAATCAAGGAAATTATTGCCAAATGTTAGTGGATGCATTTGTTTTGCAACTGAAACATCAAGGAACATGCCTGTTGAATTTTAATTTCATATCACTAACAACTGAGGGTATGATAAAACACCTTGTTTGCTTGCTTAAACCCAACAAGGGTCAGGGAAATTAACTCTTATGTGCATCTAAATGAAATGAAAAAAGATGTGACTTCAATCTACGGTCTATAGATAATGAGGCTCAAATGCTGAAACCTCATTTAGCTGAGATAAAGGGCCCTTTAGGCTAAAGAGCTCCTTTTGTCCCATAGGAGTACATAGTATTCCAAAAGGAACATTTATTAAAGGAGGTTACAACATACAGGCCTAAGCTTAAAATGCAAAATAAATGGATACCTCAGATTAAAAAACCACTCAAAATGACTTTTCTGGGCCGATATTAACAAGGAAAATGGAAAATGGGCATAAGTATGAGGTGTGAGCTACCGCGCAGCAGTGATCTTTGCAGCGTATGAGGTGTGAGCTACCGTAAAGGCTCTTCCCAATATTTGTGATAGCCCTGAAAAGGGCTGTTTCGTTCTCTTTTATCGTTAAGTTCAATTTCTGAATGTTAGCGCCATATCCCGCAAGAAGGTCTCGAATGTCTTCTCCGGATTCAATCCTCTCCACCATACCTCGATAGTTAAGTTCAATTTCTGAATGTTAGCGCCATATCCCGCAAGAAGGTCTCGAATGTTTTCTTCGGATTCAATCCTCTCCACCATACCTCGATGAGGTATCGCTCCTTCATATCCTGGGTCGTGCCAAGCATTTCTTTGAGCACCTTCAACTTCAGAGTAGTCCACAAAGACTCGATCAGCTGGGTGTGCGCACCGCTCTCTGGATCAACGAAGTTCTCCGAGTGGTTCACTCCTTCATATCCTGGGTCGTGCCACGCATTTCTTTGAGCACCTTCAACTTCAGAGTAGTCCACAAAGACTCGATCAGCTGGGTGTGCGCACCGCTCTCTGGATCAACGAAGTTCTCCGAGTGGTTCACGGTTTCGTGAGCGTACCCCAGCTGGTCGATGCCCTTGTATGCAGGCCATTCATCTGAATGGAGCGTTGTACCCAGGCCTACTTCTGCCTGCATGATGTCATGCAGTGTCCTCTGGACCTGCCGATTCACAATGAAGAATCGACGTTCCACGACGCCGCTGTCCAGCTTCATGGCAAGTCCAAAGACCCAAGGACCTTCAATGCGCCGTCCGTAATTTCTCCTTCCCTCAGGAACGTTGGCAACGTCTGCAACCAGATCTGCATCCTCGGAGCTCTCGTCGCCTGCCTCTGGCTCTCGATAGCCAAGTAGCAGACGTCCTTTGTTCGCTTTCTGTTTCCCTCGAAGAAGAGTCTCATCCATTTGCACGATTCTTCCGGGTCCACCCATTTTCTCATGCCTGGTCCACATACAGGCAGGGACATCACGACATAGGTTGAACCAGTCAACCACAGCCTGATGGCACAGTCCCATGGTGCTCTTTACCTGGATTTGGGACAGATTGTGGCACCAAAGGAACACAATCTCCAATATCTTACATATTGAAAGATTGCTGTGGGCACAACCCCTTATGTCCCTGTAGGTGAAGAAATCATTGCTGCGCCATACAGATTGCATTCTTTGGCAGCCCTTCTTCACGTACCGAAAGCAAACGTAGGAAGCCTCGCTGCCATCCGCCTTCCTCTTCTTTCGCGTGTAGAGCCTGGTCTCTCCTCCACAGCCTTCTCAAATGCAAGCGGGTGTGGTAGCTTCGTCGTCAAGAAGTCCGTGCTCCCTCAAAAATGTGGCAGCACTCTCTTCACTCCAGATAACGGAATAAAACTCCGAGAAAAGCTTCTTGAGCAACTAACTGTTCTCGAGAATTTGATGGGTTTATATACTTAATTCGCAGATAAGCGTGGAGAGCATTATGACTTCAGATTATCCGCAAGGGTAATCTCCCTGGCTAATCCGCAAGAAAGGACAACTGCTTGAGACATAATTGCAAGCAAGGATTATGCCAGATTAGGCATACCGGCGCCAGGTAGGCCACCGAACCGCATATAGCTCATACCTCATACTTGGGGGTGTGTGGAATACTGGCAATATCAGTGGCATGAATTGGTGTGGTAGCTCACACCGCATGTGCCGCATAGACCACTGCGGCGCAGTAGCTCACACCTCATACTTATGCCAAGTTTTCCTCTAGTTGTGGTATTTATATATACTACAGTAAACAAAATATATATAATCAGAACAATGTGTACACTTTAATGAAGATGCATATTCCTAACTCTGTATGGTGTCGATAACAAGTTGAATATCATTAGGAAGAAGTGTTTTAGACTTCAACTAAAAACCTATTGTGGTGCTTTGCATTGCATCATATTTTTCACCATGTATTGTGTGCAGGGTGATATTGAAAAGAATTCCAGGTGGGAATATAATCTGGATAGTCTAGGTAAACACACAGCCCACTCAGGTAGTTTGCTTATCCAGCTGCACCCATACCAAATGAAGAGTTTGCCCCATTCTTTAATTAATAGAAGACAACTACCTCAGCCAGGTGATAGCAGAGTGCTTCTATTTTTTTAAGCAATCATTTGAACAGCAATGCTTGGAATAATTTTTAAACTAAGGAGATGGGAATCTTTACCATGAGTTTGTATAATGCTGTCACACCTCTGTGCACATCAACTTGAAAACTTATTGCATGATTTTTCTTTTAGCATGTATGGCTGTGACTGTGCCACATATATACCTTCATGTGTATCAAGTTTGGCCTACTGAATTTGGACCTATGCTTGTGACCATACTTGCCATCATGTATTACTGTATGCATTTAAGCACAGCCTGAAGCAGAGCACATAGCACACCTATATCCTGAAGCATGAATACCAGGCAGATCTGTAAAAGGGATCCTTTTTGAAGCACCTGTTAACTTAGCTTTAAATGTGATCCCATGAAGCTCTAAAGACCACCTCTCAAAATGTATATCTGACAGGGAGGCAGGGTCATAGGAACATGCACTGCTTCCACAAACTAATATCCTACCAGCAGAGGCATTGTGTTGGGGGGCGGCATGTGCCCCCCCCCCCCCCCCAACTTTTCAAGGAAAAAGCTAAAAGAAAAATAAGGAAAACACCTGGAAATGCAAGGTAACAGTATTCCAGAGTTCCCATGCCCCCCCCCTTTTTTTCCACCCACGTTATGCATATGCCTGCCAGCATGTTCTCCTTGGGATTCATCCTAGCCTAGTTTTCCTCATATAACTGTGAGGAATTTTGAACCTTTCTTGGAGAAATCCAGCTCCATCAATGTGGAAGCCATGCATTAAATGCTTATGCTGTTGATAATCAAGGAATGATGTCAAAAGTTTTGAAACCTTAGCTCAACAAGAGAAAGTAGAGAATGGGATTTTTAAAAAAAGGTAAATGACTGCATAATCTGAGCCAATAGGGATGCCAGTTACAAAATGTTTAATACTCCTTCATAACAAGTTTTTAAAAAATTAGAACTGGTTTATTTATGAGACTATTTTGTAGCCTCTACTACTTGAGCATTTCCAAAGATACAAAAGGAGATTTCTAAGGCATTGGCAAGTATTGAGAGATTGTAGTTATTAAAAGAAATGGTTAATAATGCATCATTGAACCTTTTGAAAATCCCTCATTGTAATCTATCACTCTTCTATAGATGAAACCACAAATTTTATCTGAATTTACTTCAGAAAGGTACAAAGACAATAAAGGTACTGTACCATGCTTCATCTTTATATATCTGTAAAAGGGGGAGGCAAAAATTTTTTTATGGCTTGGTTTCATTGTGCACAGATAGACACAGCTGAGGAAGTGACCCTTGAGGCACTGCTTTTCCTACTCACGTTTCACAGAAACAACATGCAAAGATATTGGTATTGCATATTGCAGCACGAGAGGCATGGATGTTGAATGGATTGGTGGACTACTTTTTGTGCACTGGCTCTTCACATTGCCTGGAAATCATAGGTGGTGTGCGAGAACCACATGACAAGCACCTTTTTGATAAGTGAGTGAATACTCAGCTGGCTTTCCATGATCATGAAGTATAATACAATGTGGTTAATTTCCAAAACTGTTATGAAATGTGCTTTTTCCTTTAAAAGGCTGAGTGACTGCCTACGGCATGCTTCCCTGCGTTCAGAAGCCTTGTCACTGTTGAGCCATGTTGTGCGACGACAACCCTCATGGCTTTACAAAATATCTCAGCATTCCCTCCTCAAGGACCTTCTGAAGCTTCTCAAGGTAAATAAGTTATTGATCTTGATTTTACATTTTATTTTTCTTTTGCTTTTTCCTAAGATTCCCCTAGAAACTTTTTGCTTTTGAATTCCACTGGGTGGGGAATGTAAGACAAAGAAATGTCAATAAGTATCGAAGAATGAGAGAAGTGCATTGAGATGTATGACACATAAGATGAATGCAAATAGTCTACAAATAGACTTCTCACTAGATCAGACATGAATTGGATGCCCTTGAGAATACCTTTGTTTCAGTGCTTAACCTTTTTGCTGATTTCTCTTTCCATCACCAAGACTGAGAGTTTTTTTTAACATATGTCTGATTGTCAGCAAGTCTGAATCCAGTTTGTTCTACAATTTTCAATTGCTTTTCTCTTTGCAAATAATTTATTGGTTCTTTAATTTTTTGCCATTTCCTTTGCTGCTTGATGAGAAGAGGTGCAGGCTTGTTTACATGCAGCTTTTCTGGAACCAAATTCATCCGGACGTGATTATTGTCTTACGAGGAATATTATTTTGTTGCCAGATATGTTGAGGATTGAAGGGAAATAGGTTCACTTTGCACTGAAAGCTATTGGGTTCAGAAGTTGTTTGGAAAACTCATAGAAAGGTGCTCTGTGACACTTGTGATTCTTCTCTTTCACCATCCAGGCAGCAACTTTATGAATTGTCATCATAGTTATCTGTTTTGACCATTATTCCGTCCCTTTGTGCACAGGTTGAAAGTGATGCTGTTGTTCTGCTGAGTGCACTTCTTATTTTGGTCTCAATTCTCCCTGTAATTCCATCCTACATAACTCCATACCTCAATGACATCTTTGACATTTTCAGGTGAGAATCATCTCCATGGTGTAAACAGGAGTACATAAATTTATGGTCAAGCATAAACAGGAATGTTTGATAACATGATCTGGTTTTGGATGTTCCAGTCGAGTGGCAGCCATGGTGAATGAGCAGCGAACTGTCAGTCCTGAAACCCACCCCCATCTCCATGTGGCATTATATGCCTTTTTCCAACGCTTATATGGGATGTACCCGTGCAATTTCCTATCATACTTGCGGCAACACTACAGTCATCGCCAAAGCCTTGTTGTGTTCACTCATATCGTCAAGGTGGGTTTGCAAAAAGTCCTTGGACATTTGCAAGTGCAAGATTTGCAAATTTTTCATTCACCCTGTATTTTATTTCTGCTAACTTGATGGGATTATATGTCTTCACTAGACCTACAAGGAATATATTTTTACATGGCTGCCAAAGAGGTAGTCAATGTCAATTAGCCTAATTTTAATCACCCCCATAAAACCCTCATTGAGCCTACAAAGGATGTATGGAATTGTGAATTGAGTGACATCATGTAACTCAGAATGACCCTATGTAATATCACTCATGTATCACTCATGGATACTGGCTTTGATTAAGAATTTATTGCCCCCCCCCCCCCCTTTCTTGGATAAAATCCACAGCACTAGAAACTTAGGACTTATTTGCTAGTAAATAATTGCAATTTTCAAAGCTGCAATGAGTTAATCTATTCATTGTGATATTTTAAAATCTTTTCATTGTATATTCTAACGCATTTTACATGCAGACATGGAACTTGTCAAAGGCATGTCTAACCTATGCAGCATCAATTGCTCTTATTTGAAGTTTTTTTTTTTTTTTCAGAGTTGAGTTTGGATACAATTTTCTTGACTTGATCCATTGATGGCTCACATTGCAACATATGTAATCTGAAGAGACCCATGCTATTACTATTACATCCTTTCTAATCCAGTGAAGTTGTACTTTTTCTATGTAATTATTCTACACCAATCACAGCATACCCCAATTGCTTGATGCACTCATTCTTCTTGTGTGTTTGGCCAAATTTGCTCTTTTCTGATATTCCCATTGTCCCATGATTATCTTTTGCAAGTGAACTCAAGTTGCCTGCCAGTATGAAGCGTGTTCACCAGTTCAAATTCAAAGGTGGCCCACATGTTCCACTTCTGGTTTGAGATTTGTAGGAACATCCAGAGCATGGTCTATTTACAGCAGTACAGTTTTTCAGTCTTTAGTGACAAGATATTATGGCACTAGGTAACATATATTTGGAAATCTTACATCTCTGTCCCCATCATCTTTACTTGAATTGGTGAATGCCACACTTTGTGCAAATTGAGTTCATTGAGTCTATGTTGAGCAATGTGCTGTCCTAAGTTCAAAATCTCATCCATTGCTCTTTCAATTGATGTAATATAAAAGTTTGAATTTTAAGTCTATGGATGCCTTTTAAAGAACTCAGAATAACAAGTTACATTCTTTGTATATTATCCATTTATTGTTCCTTTTTTTTAAGTTTAAAATATATGAACTGATGTGGGACATCAAGAATGCCTTAATGTCATTGGCAGTGGTGACTTGCCCCACTCAGGCACTTGAAATTAGTTGGTAGTATCTACAATGTTTGTTCCCAATCTGTTTCATTCCCTGGTCAATCTATGAGTGTGACCATTTTTATCCTAAATTCATGTTATCAAAGTTCAAGCAGAATAGTTTTCATGTGAGAGTGGAACTGAACCTGCCTCCCCATGGGCATGATTTATCAAATGTGTTATACTTCTTCTTGCTGCATTTGTTGGTCAATATTGTCATATTTTGACCCAGTTTTTTGGAAGAGTAATTCTTCAGATGTAGTATTTATCTCAATTCTCTCCTCCAATGGCACAGCCAAGGCTTCCTTTTTGTCTGAATGTTCATTGCTCTCCAGATTCAGCATTACCTTGTTTGAGGGTCACCCAAAAATAAAATGCCTTCTATTTTTTTTTCTCAAAAACCTTTTATTGTACAGGAACACAAATTTCACAGTGAATGCATACACCTTTTGAAATCCATCAGTTATTTTTCCTTGTGGCTTCCATCCCTTTTAATACATTTTTTGCAAACATTGAACAAGGCCTTGTATGCCAGTGCAGTAAAAGAACTTTTCTGCCTTATGCAATCATTTTCAAACTTAACATTTCCATGCATCGTCATCTTCAAAATGTTTTCCACACAGACCATCCTTCAAGGCACCAAAAAGATGGATATCTGGGGGCACCAGATCTGGGCTGTATTATGGATGAGAGGGAAGAGTCCCTCCAATTTTTGCAATCAGCCATGGCAATGTTCTCTCCAGTCACAGCTGTCGCAGGCTGCCCAGTGTTGATTGCAGCCTGATCATGAAAGTCTGAGGGACTCTTCCCTCTCATTTATCATACAGCCCAGATCTGGCACCCCCAGATGTCCATCTTTTCAGTGCCTTGAAGGATGGTATGCATAGAAAACATTTTGAAGACAAATGCAAGGAAATGTTCAGTTCAAAAATTTCATAAGGCAGAAAAGTTCTTTTACTACACTGGCATGCAAGGTCTTGTTCAATGTTTGCGAAAATGTATTAAAAGGGATGGAAACCACATGGAAAAATAACTGAAGGATCTCAAAAGGTGTATGTATTCACTGTGAAATTTGTATTCCTGTACAATAAAAGGTTATTGAGAAAAAAAAAAAGGAGGCATTTATTTTGGGGTGACCCTTGTAGTTCTGGATGTAACTGAATATCAGTATTCTGAATGCGATATTTTTCTTGGGATTTAGACCATCATATCCATCTTTAAGACTATGTAGTAGTGTATGTTGTCAATCCCACCAAGCAATTCTACTCTGTCCAGGTTGAGTACTTAACAAGGTTTTACCACAATAGGATTATTTTTATATGTTGTAATAGCTTCTTGCTTGCTCAATATGATTATGCATTCTTTCTGGTTTCAGCCTATGTTGGACAGAGTCCGTCTACACCCACTACTAGTCACTGCATCAAAAGAAGCTGAAGCTGGCCTAACCCGGTAAGCATTTACAGTTCAAAGTCTGTCATCTGAACAGTGCTACTTTTCAAAAGTAATTCACTTTATAGATATATAAAGTGCTTTGGACATTGGCCTTGTGGAAGGGGGAAAATTTGACACAGGAGTGAAATAATATGTATGAGTTCCATGGCAAAATGAGAAAAATTTCTATTGCAGGTGGAAACACATGGAAACCCATGACATAGTTGTTGAATGCGCTCGGATATCTTTGGATGCTGGTGAAGCTGATCACCCTTCTCATCAGCTGAGTTTCCTGTCCCAGCTTCCATCATCATCCTCATCAATTCGTTGTAGAGGTTTGTTGAATCTAATTTTTTCTCATCCTGTCTTTTGTGAGAGAGGGAGAGAGATAGATGGTTACAGTATATACAGCATGTCTCAAGAAAAATTTAGCACTGCAAGATTGTTTTCTTATATCTTACCACTTTGAGATTATCTGTCATTTTAAAATATGAAAAGTTATGCTTTTTGAATTGGTATATGATAGACTGGAACATTAAATTTGTGGGAAAAGTTACATTCGCTGGTATATCACATGAATTATTTGTGCCATATTCATTAAGTCTTACTCTTTGGCAATGCCAATGTGAAAGCCTAGTTATACCAAGAAAAATGTAGCTCATTTATTGGTGTTCAAGTCATTCACTGGAAATTTCCCTGCATCTGTGCATGGAAAGGTGCCAAAGCAAACTCCTTTTCTCTTTGGTCAGCATTGACAATCAGGGATCCTACATATAATATATGCTAAGAGTGACTTGTAAAAAATCCCAAATAGCCAATGGTTAGAGATGGAGGAAATATGATTAATTTTGGCTGTCATGTTTTCTTATTTTTTTGTTGCTACAGTAAGCCTCTCTCTTCTAGATGACTCTGGCAGCATCAGAAGTTCTCACTCTTCTCTTGTGAGAGGGGTGGGACCAGCACCGGGTTCAAGCTTATGGACACCTTCTTCAGGGATGCTCAACACTCCTCCTCCTTACTTGTTGGGTTCATCAGAAGCTCATGAAGCTTTGAATAGGAGGAATTCCCTCTCAGTGCCACACACTCCTTTACCAGAGGTAAGGCTACTTATTTGCTTACTGCCATTACAGCTACATATTTTGGAATGTGTTTACAAACAAAAAATACAGAAGGAGAGGGGAATTGAAATTTTCAAACTCTTGCCTTATTGAGTGTATCATCTGGACTTAATTTTAGTTCCCATTTTCATGGTAAAATTCTGGGTGGCCCAGTCAGAACTGCACATTTTGATTTGCATCAATAACTTGGGATGAGGATTACAAGCTCAAAATGGATTACATGGCCAAAAAGCCCTATATTCCTCCTACATGATCATGAAATTTCATTTAAAAAAACCAGCTGGTTTGCATGCTATAGAATCTTAATTGTAACAGCACTTCAGAATAATGGAGTAACCAAATCCAATGTGGGAGCATGTGACCAAATGGCTACTTTCAGGCCAAAATGTAATTTTTTTATGTTTTAGAACATGGCATTCATGTTCAGTCACAGACAGTTTTTAAATAGTGCTTAGTGTTGAGTGTGAATCAGTGATTAAAGTGGGTTGGGAAGGAAAGGGCTGCAGGGCTGGAGATAGTCACACTTCTTGGAGTCCTACTGGATGCAGGGTGCCATTGCAACATGAGAATGGCTGAACCAGTTGAATTTTTTAAAACAAAATTTCTTGAACATGTAATGGGAATAAAGGACTTTTTGACCATGTAGGACAAAATAAGTCCAAACTTCTCTGATCTGGGTATTGGAAGGAATGATAATGTGCCATTTTGACTGAGCCACCATATATTTGAATGATTTGCCCTGGAGCAAAATGAACCTTTTCGACATTGATATTCCAAATATGTGTCCTAGCTCACAATGAAAATTATTGATTTTCCAATGGTAAGGAAGGCATTCATGGTCATGATCTTAATGGTGGAGGTCTGGCGACTTCCTGAAACAAATGAAATGCTCTGGTGAAATACATTTATGTCCTACTGTTTCCTTGTCATAGAACTGAATATTGCTGCAAATGATTGTAAATGATTCACATGACAAAAATGTTAATTGCAAAAAACTGCTGATGTAAGTAGTTTTTTCATGCACTTCCAATGCCTCTGATATAGGCCAGATTAACCCCCTCTTTCAATATCAAATTTGTTGCACTCAGTCCCTGGTAAACCAACTGTGGTACACCATGTTTTGATCATTTTCATCAGTAAAGTTCAAAAAGACAGAAGTAATAGGTAAAAGACCATTTCAAGCAAAGTAGCAGCTCCAAAGGTCTATGCCAAGTACCTAATGTAATATAGCAACATGGAGGCATGTTTCACAAAACTGCTCTTTTTCTCAATCTTTCTTAAATGTTCATATTGCAGCTTTTGCCATTTTGCTTCTTTCTATTCCCAAAGGTCCAAGGTGGCATAAGTTTGAGCTCAGTACTGAGTGCTCCAGCTACTCCTGGTGACTTTGATTCACCACCTGAAGCAGCAATAGAGGCAACACCTGAAAACACACCACTATCCACCCCAAATAGAGTGAGAAGTTAATCCAGATCTACATGTGTATTTTTTCCCTATTTGTTGATGGGGAACATGAAAAACAATCCTGCTTTGCTTTGTTTTTATTATTATCAGGAACTGGAACGTAGTGGAAGCATAGGAACAAAGTCCAAAGGTATCAGTTCAGCTGCACGGAATCTTCAGTTCTCTCTAAACTCTGGGAGAACTGAGAGCTGGCAGGCTAGTGCAGTAGAGAAAAGGCTAATGAAGCTTGCTCACGAGAGACAGGAATCTTTTGGTTCCCGTTCAATCTCATATGAGGGATCAGAGAGGAGAAAGACTGACAGCATAGACAATTCAGAGGCTCTGGAATATCTTCCACTTCCTTCATCAGAGCAGGGCAAGTACCTTGTATATTATGTAGCCTTAAGCCAAATATTTGCTTATCGTAAGCTCTTTATCTCAAGCTTAACCTTTTTGTGCCAAAGTTGACCCTCCTAACTTGGATGAGATTGGCCATAGCCATCAAAGGATGGAAAATGCATGTTTCCTACATTCAAGCCATTCACTTATACAGCAGAGTCTCTGGAAAATTTTTCATTGTCTGGGATTTAAGAATCAATCATAGATTCCTTGCATCTGGAAAAGCAAAAATAAAACACTAGGAAATGAAATGCTCTCACTTCAATACCACATTGATGACTAAACAACCAAAGTATGCCTGAGGCAGGCAAAAAATTATTTTCTTACTTAGATTACACAGGGATTGCTTACAACTGGAAGAGTGTGGATGATTGTGCTTGGTATGAATCAGATGAAGTATTGGCTCAGTGCAAGCATTTGCAGAGAAGGGTAGAAAACCCTGGAGTGGTTTTTATAGAATGGCCCACAATTTAAGCTCCCTGAGTCAAGCTCATGTGAAAAATGTATTGACATTTAAAGTTTTTTATTTTTGGAAAGTACATTTAGTAATGAGTTTGTAATGATAAGCAGAATTTCCACACACTTGCAACCTTTGATCTCCATGGGTATAGTATAGAGACCAGAGGTTTTCCAGCCAGGCATCTCACTGCTGTTCTTGAGACATGGAGGACTACATTTTCCTTTTTAAGTAACTTCTCAAGCTTATCTCCCTTGAATGCAAACATGTAGAAATGTTCCAGATGGACATATTGAATAATGAAGGCACATCTGCTAGCTCAAAACTAAATGTGGTTTCCAGATATATAGAGCTTTCTATGTTGATACTATATCATAAGGGGCTAAATATTGTGTGCCACCCTGCATTTGCAGTCCATTTGTATGGAAGTGCCTTCAAATAGGGCATGTATTGCATAAAAGTTGTTTGAAGCTGAAATTGTTCTATGCAAAGCCAGAACTTTGGGGTAAACCAACTAAGTAGATCATTTCTTTAGCTAATTCCTGGTTTTCATTATATCCAAGTTTGTTATGCATGAATTTTACAATATCTCAAAGTCTAGATTCATTTCTTCTATTGTGCTCTCATACCTAAGTAAGGATTGCAGCTTTTCTAGAAATAGAAACTTTTCTAATAACTGCCTTAGAAGGGAGATATGGCTGAGATTGCTATTCAGTCCAGGTTTGCTATGTATAAGCTACTATTCACAGGAAAGGCTGCAAAAATGTAAATAGACTGTAAGGATTTTTTCCATGGGGAAAAAATATTCTGATGTTTCCCCAGATGTTGATATATTTACGTGTCCATAATTTCTTTGTTCCCTTTCCACTTCCCTTCTTGTCTCTTCTTAAAGGTTACATTATTTAATATGCACACATTTACCAGTCCAAGTGCAAAGGAGGCCTTCTCGTAACTTGTGTCAGACATGGAGTCCAAGATGCATCGTTCATCAGATTCGGCTGTATAAAGTAATACTATGAAACCATGCCTATTACATTGATTCATCCCAATTTGGCCCATGTGTATTTTGTTGCATTTGTTGTTTCTGCACATTTGTATGACGTCCATATCATGTTTATTCATATGCAGGAGTTCTGAGTCCAGTGAAATTCACTGCAAGTGCTGCAAGTGGCAGTGACAAAGTTGCTCGTCCAGTGCCAACACCAGCAACTGCTAGGAGCCTCACATGGACTAATATGAACGAGGCTATCTTTCTAAAGGGCATTCCAGATACCTCTGAGGAAGATGCAGAGGTTTGTCACATCATTGGAAACCAGCCTCAGCAAAAGGTTGAGAAGGCTGCAAGTCAAGAGCACCACCAGTCTGAACAATTGCAAGCTTCTGCAACAACTTGCAGTGAAGTACAAGTAAGATTTTCAGTTTCCTGGATTTCTGGCATGCATTGAGTGTCATCAACATATTAGGGGTTTGATCTGCAATTGAATATGTCAGTGAGCATCCTCTGTCTACTGGAAACTATGTTACTGACATGACCCAGTAGTGCTTATGGAACATCTAAACAGTATAGGTGAAAAATATTAACTTGCATGGGTCTTTGCATCGAAGCTAGAAACATCTGCAATGCTAGTACTTGTAAAACAGAAAAAATTATAACCCATGATGCATGATCTTGAGAAACAGATTTTCAAAGATATTGTAGCTTCAGAACTAACACTAGTATAAAGCCTTCAAAAATGGTGTAAAAATGATTTTTTCTGTATATCTCTGACATTAGTTTGTGATTGTAATATAGTGTACCATGGTAGACTGTAAGTCACATGGTAATGCAGGTTGACCCTAAAGTCACACAGTCAATTTGTCTTCTAGGAGGAGTTCAGGTATTTAAAAACTTTGAAGAAGTTTTCATGCTATGAAGACATTTGGACAAAATGGATGTAGCAGAACTATGTAATGGTGAAGCAAAACAGACTTATTTTCAGAATAAAGTATTGAATTACACTTTAGCATTCCCTAAATCTCATTATTGTGGGCATCCACCACTTGGATGATGCCTTTAAGCAAGATGCAGTTGTCCCAATCATATATATGTAGGACTGATATCTTATATAGTAGCATGACATCCAGTACATCACTATTTTTCTACTTCTGGGCAGAAGTAGAAATTTCTATCATTTTGACCAGACACCCTGGTCAAAATGATAGAAATTCACTCTGATAGATGGTGTATGAAATATAATAAATATAGTGTTTGGTCTGACTATCACATAGCAAAAATGAAAATTTGTTCATGCTCCAGGATGAGTTATTTCTTTTCTCATGGACAGCGGCGAGGAGAAGCGGTAACTGTGAACCGATGTGATAGTGTAATCCATGACAAGACTGGTGGTGGAGAGATTGAAGCAGGAGATGGGATGGATGGGAATGGATCCCCAGAACCCCTTCATGGTCCTCCTTTAGCTTTAGTTGACCTCATGAAGAGAATCCACAGACTCCGTTGTCACTCTCATTGTGTGCCATCTGCTGGTGAAGAGGAAGATAGTGTGCATATTGCACGTAAACATTCTCAAGAAAATACAGGTTAATATTTCTTCAGTGTGTGGTCTTCCTTCATTTTTACCTCATAATTTCAAGGTACTAATAAGCATTTTTCTCTTGTGACCAGGAGAACGTGGTGGCCGATGTCGTGCATTGTCCAACCCAGACACACTGTTTGAAAAGAAGCAAGTAAATGTAGAAAAAGCTTATTTTCTTTCCCTCTTGCAGCAGAAAAGTGAATCCAAGAAGACAGTCCGCCACTCCTCAGGAACTCAAACAGTGGAAAATCAGGGTGGCATGGCATATGACCATCTATTTCCCTTGGCATTACCCCCATTACACTGTCCACGTTGCATTGACAGGGATTCTGTCATGCCAAATATTTCAGAATTGCTGGACAATTACCTCCGTTCTGCTGTTGAAGCAAATTCAAGCTTAACTCAAAAGTCATCAAGCAAGACTGCAGCTGGTGTGTTTCCTTGAATGCCATCATGGCTTTGCATGAAACCTTACAGTTTCATAGCTACTATGTTCACAGCACCCTTTCCCCAGTACAGTTATGGCATTGTAGTTGTAATTCTTATACTCTTATCAAATGGGGCAACAGAAATTGTCAAGGTATGTAATGTGTATGATGCATAAGATCACATGGAGTTTTTACTTGGCAGTTATTGGCCATTGTAAAGCCAGGCCATGTTTTGGTTGTTATATAAGTTGTACATGCACAAAGGGTATTAAAGTAAATTCCTTGTCTCAAGAAGTAAACTAACAATATAAGACCAAAAAAGCATGCACTCTCTAATTCTCCTGTTTAGGGGGAGATTCATCAATTTTCTGAAGTGAACTTAAACTCAATTGTCTGCTTCTGTGTTCTATGAAAGACTCATCAAACATGTTATTTTACCGAATTGTATTTGAATGTCTTGGTTTTGCAGAGGAAGCTAAAACCTTGAGGGAAACTATACAGCTCTTACATATTCAACTTCAGTTTGAGAAGCACAAGAGAGAGCTGTATGCAGAGCGTGCTAGACGTCTTCAGGGAAAGGCAAAGGAAAAGCATCTCCTGACAGAGCAAAATGCAGCTCTTGTAAGTCATGTGATGTGCATGATGTTCCTTTGGGGAATTTCTGTGCAGACCGGAGACTTCCTGACTTTTTGATATTGTCTGATGCAGCTCCTCTTGCAACAGGACTACTTAATGGACTAATTACTAGATTACATAATGATATATATATACAGTGGAAACTCATTAACTCGAATCCTGATAAGTCGAAATTCTGCTTATCTCAAAGTTCAATGCTTGGTCCTGGCGGAACCCTGTAGGACACCATGCTAAAAGCTCTGTTTAACTCAAATTCGCTTATCTCGAATTTCCGGATATCTTGAATGAAATTTTCACTCCCTATAACAATTTTCTCACGATTAACTCAAGTTCAGGGTGAGAAGGGGGAAAAATTTCTTCTCGTGAGACTTTTAGATTTTTGAATAGAATGAATGAGAAGAAACCCTTTCAGGAGGACACTCTTTTGTTTTTTTTTTCTGCTTCTCCCTCCTCCCACTCAGATTAAACCTGAGAATTAAAACCGAAAAGCTTCAGCTATAAAAAAGCCTCCAACATTCGCTCCGTCAATCTATCACTCTCACTCCGAGCCATTCTGTCCCCTATGTCCCTTAACGAGTTTTTTTGGGGGGGGGGCGGCGATTCCTGATAACTCGAAATGATTTGCCCAATCCCTAAAAATTCAAGTTAACGAATTTTCACTGTATATATATAGTAATGAACCTAATATTAAAGAAAGATATTGGCTAAATAGGCAATAACAAATAACTTCTCTTACTCTATATATATATATATATATATATATATATGTATGTATATAGAGTAAGAGAAGTTATTTGGTGCCAAAATTGTTCGAAACTACCCAAGGGCAACAGAAAATGCCCAACCTTTGGACCCAGAAGCGTGGGACTTAGAGATGAGAGTCCAAGTTATTAGAGAAGGATCCTATCCTAGAAATTTGTCAGGCAGCCTGTGTCATCAGGGGGTTGAGGCCACAAGTCTGACTTACAAACCCTATCCAGAGAGTTTCTGCCGTCAGGTGCTACGGCTGTAGAGGTAAATAGTAGAGGTAATCGATTGTTTAATTGTGGCACTGGCAGATGGACTTAAGCCGGGATTGCTTCTGGGGCATTTAGTACTACCTCTACTATTTACCTAAAAAACCCTTGAGCATTCCTGAGTTTTTTCTTTGTGATTCCAGCAAGATCAGTTGGCTGCAAGTGAGCGGACCATCCAGCAACTGAAGGTCGAATTGGAGCAACTGCGACAGCAAAAGCATCAGCTGCAGAGAGCAGAGCATGATCTCCAAGTCAATAATGCCCTCAATTTACAAGGCATACTTGGAGAACTACAGAGAAAGAAGGAAGAATTGAATACTTGTGAACATATGATTCATGCAAAAGATGAAGCACTATCTCAGCAGGAGAAGGTAAGGTTTGAAATTGTTGCAGACCTGACTCCTTTTACCTTTTGACTGCTGCATAATTTTTTTTTACTCATCCCTATGCTGGGTTTTTTTTTATTCTGATGGACCATGGTGTGCTCTATTTGGAAATGCATATGTATATATATATACATACCCTCATTTACCTTATTACGTTAATGTATAACTGGACTGATACAGATTGTCCAGAAAAATCTCAGGTATATCTACTGTAAGAAGAGATACTTCCACAATTGATTTAAGTCATTCATAGCAGTGAAAGGGTTAATGCAGGCAAAAACTCACATCAGAACAGCAATGTACAAGTTTCTCCTGGTTATGTAAACATTATCTGGGGCTAAGTTTTACCTTGCTGTTAGCTCAATAAATTTTCCTCATATGTTCCTGTGGTGACCTTTGTTATATGCTAAGCAGATAAGTTTTTTTTTAAACAACATTCAAATTATTAGAACCCCATAGACCAGTGTTAGCAGGATTGAGGCCCTCTAAGAAATAAATATTTTCACAGAGGGAAAATTTTTCATTTGGATTGCAGTAGTGTCTCAATTTAGAGAAGGAAAAAAGTGACTAAGATCTCTCTTGCCCCAAACCTTTCAATTCACAGGAATGGAGCTGTTTGGAGTTTGTATGGTGACTTGAAATGATCCCCATCCTTAGCCCAAACCAGAAAACTTATGCAGATTGTAATTTGCTTTCAAAAGCTTACTTATTTCTTTTTCTTCTATTTCATGTTCCAAATGGTGAAGAATGATTCTGGGCAAGCACAATTTATTGATTACATCCAAAATATCAATATCCATGAAGCATTTAGTGCTGCATTTGAGTGGCTTTCATGGTGCAAAGTTGGATTGGCAAAAAAAAACCAAATGAAGGTTGAAGAAGAAAAGAAATTTTGTTAAGAAGAACTACAACAGAAATCCCTTTGATTGTAAGGCCAAGTTAAGTGCTGAATTTGCCTCACAGTTATTGGAATTTCAGCATTTGCATAGCAAAAATTGGTTGATGTGCATGGGCAAAAAGCATGTCAGCGGCACTGCTGACATGTTGCTGCTATAAGCATACACATTCAGAAATTGTCATTGCCATTTAGAAACTGAAATAGGTGAAGAACCAAAATAAAAAAAACTCCTAAATGGTGTTTGCATAGGTTTTCCAGTTCATTCTGTGGATGGTCAGTTGTTGAGTCATCCCATGTGTGGATAATCTTTTGTTTCAGCTTGTGAATTCCCAAACCTTTTCTGATAGTGACAAACATGTCCTTCCCACAGGATCTGCAGAAATGTAAAGCAGAATTATGGAAAGCACAAAGAGACCTGAAGAACATGGCCAGTGTGGCAGAGAAGTGTCAGAAACTTGAAAAGACCTGTGAAGAGATGGAGACTCGGCTGCTGTTCCAGGGAGAGTGGGAGCTGGTGCTCCAAGATCAGATTGATGCCTTAGGACAGATATTGCAATCCCAGGACAGTCGTAATCATGTTTCCAAGAATGTGCGCAAGGATGCTGCATCTCAGGAGGTGATAGGTATGTGGATACTGGTCATGAGTAAGTGTATCTCATGATTGACAGTCATCACAATCCTATTTCCTGATGTGGAGGCAACCATGAACTTCACACTAACTTGAACCATTCTGTTTTGCATCTACTACAGTGCTGAAGCAGCTCCTTGATGCAGAAATGACCAATCATGCTGCTACAAAAAATAGATTGACAGAACTGGAGAATTCACTGGTGCAGAAAGATATCACTGTTGCCAATCAGAAGCGTCTCTTCAAGAATGTGAAGGAGGAATCCAATGTCAAAATCCAGGTAATGGTTCTTTTTTTTTTAAGCAAGTAGTTTGATATCCAGTGCTCTTAGCAGAGTAGAATACATAGTGGCATTTGAATGAAATCAGCCAAGGCAGCCTGTTACAGTAATGGAAAAAAATATTCCATTTCATTTTCCTGTCTATATTTGTACAAACTTCACACACCAGACCAGATGCAGTGGTTATTGATAGCTCAGATGTTATACTGTATTCCTCATATTCCTAATATGATAGAGGCATGATGAATATCCGAAGGAAATTGGTTTCTTGGGGGTCAAGCCAAAATTGTTAAATGAAAAATTTGGCCAAACATTAGTGATCTCTGTAAGGCATAAGGTCACCTGGGGATAAAGCTACCCAAAATTTGTTCCCTATCCTATTCTTTATGTTCACTTCCTTATTAAATATATCAGTAACACCTCTGACAAGTACTTGCAAATTAAGATTGAGGAATGAATATATGGAGGAGTCAGGCCAGTTTATTTTGGTGATGGGGCTACTTATATTATCTTGTATTACATTTTAGGCATTGGAAGAGAAGTATAGAAGCATGTGTGCCATCAACCAGACTCTTGAGTCTCAGCTCTTGCAAGTCATGCATCGACTGGATACCACTCATCGTTCTCTGAAACAGAGCTTCCGTAACAAGAAGACACCAAGTTCTGACAGCATCGACACAACAAGTCATGTGAGCAGTGAGAATGGAGATCTTGGGATCCGCATCCCAGGTGCTCCTTCATCAGTCTCCCCTCCAACATGCTCAAGTCTTCCCCTTTCTCCTGCCCCTTCCCCTTCTGTTCAAAGCCCCACATTCACTGTCACTGGCTTGGTGCAAAGGACTGTCCCCATTTTCAGTAATACACCTCCCTTTGAGGATCTGGAAGCCATTGCCAGTAAGGAGAGTTTATAGTTTCTCATTCTAGCACTTCCCTAAAGCTTGCCCAGGCAGGTTGTATCGGCTTCTTTTGCCTCATCCAAAATCGTAATGCGATGCGCCCCATGTATCCCTGGACTGGTGCAACATTTCAGCAATTTGATATGGTGGCTTCATAAGTGACTGTCTGTTCCAAATGTCGAAGTCTTCATGCTTGGGTGCCATTCTGTCTGTTTCATATACATGCTCATTGGGCAGATGGACGTGCTCTTTAGAACCTGTCTTTCATGAGGAAATGTTGAAGAGTTTTTGTGTTCTGCTATGACTTGATCTTACATGAAAACTATTGTTTTATATTATACCTCCAAGCCATTGAACAGTTGTCAAGTCCCTTTATAATCTTCTTGTAGGTTGGGTTTTTGTAGTTAATGGCAATTTTTTCACCTTTAAACATTCTTTCTCAAAGAAAAAAAAAATTTCCTAAAGGGAGATAAATGGGAAACAAAATATATACTAGGAGTGCATGGAAATGAGTCGATTGCTATGGAACTCGGTGATTTAATCATTATAATCACTCAAATTTTTTGCCTGTGTTACACCTTGATTTGTTTTTCCTGCATGGTTAGTGGTTAATGCCCTGTTCATTCTTCTGCTTGATAGCATGTCTGCAGAGTGCATTCTTTTAGAGCATAAGAGAAACTACCTTCAAGGCAGCGCACTTGAGAGTCTAGTGTGCCCACTGAATGAATACGTAGATGTAACATCTTGATCTCCATAATGCTCTGTATGTTATTATGGACCACATTTTTCTGCATGTGGATTATTTTTTCTGTGGGTCAGTATGGATGTGGAACCCATTAGAAGCACAAATTATTGAAGAAAAAAATTTTTCCAAATTCAAGCTCAACCCATTGAAGTAAAATTATCTGATGCTCCTCTTCAAGAAAATGCACCTGTGGCTGTAACTTTATTGGTAACAATTTTCTGAGTGAGCTTGCAGTTTCTGGGAAGTTTATACCACTGTTAGTCTTAGTCATGGATCAGGAACATGTCAGATTGTCCTCAATCTCAAATCTATTTTATTAGTTGAAATTGATAGTCTAAAGCCTTCCACTTTAAGTAGCAGATTTCACTTCCTTCTCTGAAATTTTTACATGGGCATTATTGAATTTATTATCCTGAAAATTATGGGTATGGAAGTGTATAATTTGGCATACTTCCTGCACTTTTTCATCCTTGCTACACATATTTCTTGACCTTTCATGCATAAAAGTGTGGTCTATTGCATGCATTCGTGCCAGTCATAATGGCTAGGTTTCCATCACAATGGAAAGAATCCTTTGTCCTCTGATATGAAAAGCTCTTTCACATCATAGGGAGAATAATGTCATGGAATGCAGCTGTAAATGAAAAACCTAAAAGATACATCACTTGAAATCCTTACATTCTATAGAAATAGAAAATGTAGAAGGAGGTGTCCAGATGATAGAAATATCCTACCACAAGGATGCATAATGCTTCTGTGAGGAAACTCTTTTTCTTTTGGCATTCCTCTCACATGCTCATGTATTGCCATTTTGAGAAATAGGACACCATGAGAGCATCATTCCTCATGTTGTGACTTTGCATTCTCTCTGACATGTGTCAAAGCAGTGGGGGACTAGTGATTTTTATTATCATGACTGGCATTCTCTGTGATCACTCTATTTAATTATTCAGGAAATTTACTATGCTTCCTCTCACACTTCCAACATGTTGTCTTGAGCGTGCTTGAAACCAGAAGAATGCAAGGACGCAAAAAAATATTGAGTTAATACTGTTTATATCATTTACGTCATGGTCAAATGAATAGTGAATTGGGTAACCAGATCATACTCAAATAAAAGTTATATTCATAATGGCTCTTCCCACAAATCTAGAATTTATAGGTCAACAAGGACTTGAGAACTGATTTTTAATAAGCCATCTATTAGAATAGTTATAAGAAATCTTAATGATACTCAGTTTGCTGAGGGTTTGAGATTTCATTAAAGGACCACATCCTTTCAATATGAGTTTTTACCTATCATTAAGTCTGGTTGTCCAAACCTGGGTAAGGTTGATTAAACCACTTTAATGGTCTGGAGAGAAGATTTAGCATGCTTGAAAAACCTGATAAACTTGGCTAGTTTTTATATGCAGAGGATAACTTGCACAAACTAGCCGTGAGGCTTGCCATGAGTTGCCCTTTGGTTCAAATTTTTATGAGGCTGCTTTTCAAGTCACACTTTAGTAGGATGCACTTTGAAAGTCCCAGTACAAACCATTTGATGAGGTACTCATGGTGCCCCTCATACTATGATTGCAAAACAGGATGCATGATTTTTATGATTCTTACTGAAATTGTGTTCCATCAGTAATTTTTTCTGCAAAATTAACCCAGCATATTCAATTCTTTAACGAGGGAGTTGTTTTCTTAATGGGAAACATCATGAAGAGACAATGGAACATGGAAGTGTGGGTTGCTGTTTTAGCATTTTTCTCTGGAAGCTTACTACCTTTTCAGGTTGTGAGAAAATTCAGACTAAGCCATGTGACAAATCTCTTAAGAATGAACTAAGTAACTTTCTAAATTCCAATGAGCAGAACGGTCCAAAGCATTCAGCATAGGAACACCATGATTTGGGAGGTAACGAAGTTGGCTCAAATGCTGACATCCCCATTGCACTTGACTCGTTATTGGTAACTCTTATTCCTTTGAGGAGAGATTCCAGGAACCTACCCCAACAGTGGAGCAGCTGTCTTTCCCTTTATCATGCTACCATCTATGATCAGGATCATGTTTAAACTTTGGTCAACTTTGCTTGCCAGAAAAAGGTGAGGCAAGCCCTTGCTTGGGTTAACTGGCTTTGTGTACCCACTCATGCCTTGCTTACATGAATTTGCCTCGTGTATTAAGGTCTTCATACCTGGGGACAGATTGAGGTGGTCCAAAATGAGTTTACCATAACTGGCTCAGGTAGCGTGAAACAGCTGAAAACTCATAATGTTTATGCCATCTACATTGGGTTTACCTATTTCTTTAATGGGTAATAATGCCTACTGAATTACAATATAATGACATTTTAATAGTCTTGCAAATATTTTTTTTTTTACATGTCCAATACAACTTCAGGGTGACTGAATGAATCATAAGGGGAAGAATCTGACCTGGGATCTCCAGGAATCCAAATTCCAACTTTATTCAATGGTGGGTTTTACTTTTTTGAGGTGACAAAACTACAGTCTTTGAGGAAGTCATCATTACTCATTTTCATACTACCTCTGCTAGTGCATTAGTGGGTGAAATTCCATTTCAGTTTTCACCTGATCTCACTTTTATGCATTAGAATGGCACTTTTCCAAATACAGGAACTTTTACCTTTGAAACTTATGAGCTCATTTATTGATCTGCAACTGGACTTGATTGCTACATGTTTAACTTGGAATGCAACTTGAATCCCTTTGATGCTTTCTGCTTCTGGAAAATATTGTTTTACATTAGTGAGCTCTTGCTCTATGTGCAGGAAATCTATGTTCCTCCCTGTTTAGACTCCCATCTATGCAATATGGAATTTGTTGTCTTATGAAACTGGAAAAGAATTTCACCCATGAGCCTATGTCTCCTCTCATAAGTCATGCCAAGTGGATTTTGATCAGGCTCTTCAGCAAGTAATTTTCCTTTTTTTGTGTAATCCATCATTAATACTCTGCAGCCTTAAAATGTAACCAACTTTTTCAGCAAGGGTACATCCATGCATTATGAGAGTGACTGAAAGGTTTAGGAAAGTCAGTCATTTGAAAACCACCTCATTTAGACAGTTACATGATGTACCAGGTCTTAACTACATTGATGCTCTCAACAGGCATCAAGCCCATTAGAAGACCCATTGTATTGTAGATTCACAATGTAAATGCTATATGAATTCCATCAGAGTATAGTCAGGAGTGCATATTCCTTCAATAGTTTTAGTTATTTTGGAATTAGACAACCTGAAGAATTACTACATAAGCTGTGATACTGATAAAACATAGCCCAGATTTAATGTAGGCCCTTGCTTCCAGGGAAAGTGAACATTTTTAAAAGTCAGCCTTTAATTTTTAAATCGTATGATGTTAGCAGAGTATTTTTTTGCATTTGAAGAGGGGCCATTTTTCAAGTTCTTCACTGATGCTGCTTTTCTGAAGCAAAATAATCTCTGATTTACTTTTTTCTAAGCACTGATGGCTGCAACATCTGAATGACCTGTGATCTCTTTCACTCAGTTGCAGTTTCTGTTAGTGCTCCCTCACTTGTTTACTTTTCACTGTCTCCCTGCTCCCTGGTGTTTTGTCTTTCTCTCATTGTCTCTCTTGGCCAATTTAAAGTGATCTGTGGAAGTGGTGATATGCACTTAGCCACATTCTTATCTGCCTGTTTAAGTGTGGTTCTGTTCATCATGCTTCTTTTCCTCTTTTGAAAATATTCTCATCTCAGGGTCCAATGAGCCAGTGAAGATGTGAATGTTTCATGGTTGCTCATTCCCAATCATAGGGCATTTACAAGTGAATTGGCATCCTTTCAGAAGTGTGCCTCATCTTAGTCATCCATCATCCTCTCTTGGAAAGACAGGCATGGTCCTTCAATGCAGTATATGTCAAATAAATGAATATTCCAGCCATCAATTGGCACCTTGCTGTGGGTATCTTGCTTTCTGTGTGTTCTAAGTGATATTAGGTGACATTGGCACAGGAGTCACTTTTGCTACTTTTCTGGTTCCTCCATATGGCCATGCAGTATTTGCTTTCAGAAAGTGGATTCTGTGCATGCAATATGAAGCTTGGATTCTTTCCCCTGCCCTTTCATTTGTGATTGTTTGGACTTTCAGCTCCATTCATGAGAGAATAAATTGTATTTCAAATTCAAATTCAGTCAATTTCCCAAACCATATTGTAAACATTGTCCTTGGTTTTGATGCATGAAAATGCTGGGATCAAGAAGGCAATTGACAAGACGGTCTAGGTATCCCTCATCCAGTCTGAGACCTTGCAGGATGGAACTGATGAACTTCTGGCTTTCATCAAAATCCCCTCCAAGCAAGACATTCTGGTGTCTCAACCTGCAGAAGGAAAGATGCCTATGTTAGAAGTTACATACACATGTAAATGGAAGAGAATACTTATTTATTTATTATGACCTAATAACCCTTCCTTGGCAAAATGATCAACACTAACTACCTTGTTTCAATTGATTGTTGTGTAACATGAGTATAGAGTAGGAGTAGTAGTAGAAGACTACAGGTGGAGTCTTCAACAATATGGAGGTTGTAAAGAGTTTTCTTCCTCTAGCTTTGACCAGAAAACCATGAGCTAGATGAAGTTTTCAAGCGAATCATCTGAACCAAGGAAGGGAAGAGGATTCTCATCTCAGATGGGGAATAGTTGTTAATGAGAACTCACATTCTCAGAAGGATGAGTCCCAACAATTGCCACTGAGCTGGTTTCAAGTTGATGTTCTTGGATGTAAGAGAGAAAGTTGACACAAGTGGTTTCAAGGTATTAGAGAGATTTTCTGGGGGGAGGGCTACATTTCCCAGAAAGCTTCTCAATCTGTTGAAAGATGAACATACTAGAAATTAGGTATCCACCAAGTCACTTCCCTATAACCAGTGATTTAAAAAATTTGTTATACCAATAAGAACAATGAAGATATTTGTGAAAGCTCCTCAGTTATGTTAAGGAATTCCCAGCATGACTGAAATTGTGTCAAGAAAGAAGATTGTGTCCAATTGTTCAAAGTGACATGGTGTCAGCTAAGATGATGATCAATAAGAACAATTTAATAAAAATTTGCATTAGTATTTTTATGTAGCTTTCTCCTTTCTTACCCATGAGGGATCACACTGAACTGAAACATAAGCAAATATAGTGCTGCAGGGATTTCATTTTGTGCTTCCTTAGAGATGAATGTATTAGGAGTCAAGGACTAAAATTTACTAATACAATTATTATCATATGATAATAATTGTAATATAATCTTATGAACTTTTGATTAGAACTTCTGCATAGGAGGGATTATAATTCTCATCTAAGAGGAATTACAACACATACTTAAACTCTAAGGAAGGTGGGGGCTTTCTTTTTTCATGTGTGGGAACAAAAATGTCTGGCCATAACAAGAAATTACATTCTACTCAAAAAAGAAAATTCAAATCCCAGCCCATAACCTACACTCTAAAAGGAAATCCTAGAAATAAATTATCAACATGGAAGTGACGTAAAAAGGATATGATGTAGTCAATCCTCGATTTAACACCTCATAGCTGATATTGGCACAATATTGAACGAACTGCAGCATGCTAGTGGTTATGATACCAAAATCTCTGAAGGACAAATTGAGTAAATACATGTGAAGCTTATATTGCCATCCTTGGTTCCCTCTGATACTCTACCTTTGTCCTATGCACTATCCATTCCATGGCTGAGTTACCTGTTACAGAGGCACCATATATTTAACTGTATCTAGTACTGGATAAGGGTTGCAGCACATGTTACTAGGTGCAAAATCAAGGATTTATATAAGAAAAAGCATGTTTGTATAAATGATGGGAAGATTTGTTCTCAGGAAAGAGTTAGCAATAAGCAAGGGTGGCAGTAAATTGAGGGTTGAATGTATTATGATATGGAATTTACTATAGTCATACGAAGTCACTCAAACAAAGAGACCTAATGCAGCATGATACAGCTGCTTAACCCTTTGAGGAGTAAGTTTCTTTTCTGAGAGCCCAATTTTTCCTGAACACCTCACATAATCACTCTAAGACTCTGACAATCCTAATCTGAGGAGACTCAATAAAGGAGGATTTCTTGTGATCCAGGAGTTACGTTTAAACTCAAAAAATGATGCCTAATTATCAATCTGGACAAACATTGTCATCAATTACATCAAGTCCGCTCACCCAGAATTGATCTTTTCCAGTACTATTTTTCGGCGCAAAGTCTTTTGCGCCTTTGAGTCCACTATTGGAAGGGAAGGTTCAAATACATCATTATCCTTCTTAATGTCTGGCTCCTGATACATCTCTTCCATATTCCCATGGAAAAACGCTTTGACTTTCTTCAAGTTTGCATCATGCTGTTTCCAAAGAGAGTGGCCTTCCTTCATGGCATCAGAATATCCCTTAGACTGATGAAGATCGTCAATATCCATTGCTTCCAACCGATAGCAGAGTAACTGAAGTTCTATCTCACTCTGAGGACTCCACTCATCTCCACTAACTTTCTCTGCAAAGGAAAAATAAGAAATTGGGTTGAAACTTTCTAGATGGAATTGGTTTTGATTAATTATCAATTTTCAAAAAGAAAAAGAAAATTTATTATTATTAATGCTTTTCAAAAGTTTTTTTTCATTCATATAACATGGAAATTCTGTTTCCAAGAATTTTGGAATGATGATAGTTGTAGTCAGGAATCTATGCTTTTTCACCCTTTCTCTAACCACAGGACACTGTTATATGAATAACCATACATCAAGCTTGCCAAAGCAAATCTGAGTGAATACTCATGAAGGTCTACAGCCTATTTCACTTCCTATTATTTTAGGAAGAGGATCCTGGATCTCTATATTCACCCTTCGGTAGTCTCATCCCCATCTTCTCCCACAAGGGAGAGGCTCACATTGTGAGCAGGAATCTCAACTTCTAATGCTAGGCCTAATTCATCCAGTTAACATGGCAAATATGCAAAACACTGGAAGAAGTGGTCTCTGGGATCCCACCTTCCAGTGTTGAGAAAACAAGCTCAGTTTGGCCACTGAAGGAAGACTTCACACATACACTGGGTGCAGCATGTGGAGACACTAACTGCTGTATGGGATGAGGCCTAAGTGCTTCTCAGCTCCCAATACAAAATCTAAGCCTTTTTTGGCTTAGATTTTGTATAACACCTTGTTTGATAAAAACATACCATTTATGCATGTTTGACCTTCCTATGAGAAAGAAGAGTGAATATCCATCACTCACCATATTTTCTTAGCATTTGGCATAATCCAAGTGTCCTTCAAATATATTTATTAGTATGTTATATAATGTATTGGTTCTGGTCGATACATTGGAGCCACCCAATATCAGGTGACACCTATAACTGGTAAAATATTGATGCATCTCTAGTATATACTCAGAGATGAAGAGAATGAAGAGGTGGATAATTTTCTTAACTGCTATAGAACCTGTTACTGAAAATTCAAATGGGGAAGTACTGAAATTTCTCAAGCCTTCAAGTACCTTGCTGAAGAGTGTTTCTTAATTCCTGAATCTTGCTGGCAACCACATCCCTGCCCTCCAACAGGATGAGGGTATCAACTGTGAACCACTCCAATAGATGTCTCTCTACCTCCAACATTGGATTATCCTTGAAATCCCCCATTCCCACCACTTCTGCTGGATCTTCATTGTTAGCCTTGAGTCTGCTGGTGGCAGCAAGCTGCTTAGCATTCTGTCGCTCTTTGGTGTTCACTTCAGTTTCTGTCACACCAACAGTGCTTGTCCTTGGCTCTGTTTCTTTGATATTTCTATCATCCACATGCCTGTCTTTGTGTTCATTCTGGGGTAAGTGAGATTCACCAGAAGGTTTGGAACTAGGTTCATCCAAAGGATTGTGAAGTTCATCAGAAGGCTGGGAAGTGTGGAAAGGACTTGATAAATTCTGCTTGGAAACTACTGGAAATTTCTCCTCAGGTTGCCACTTCGCAGGATGTGGGAAAAGGACTTCCTCCCCAGCTGCACCTCTATATAGAGAGAAAGTTTACAGAAGACATTTAAATGAGATTCTACATTCAGAGATTTATCATTTAAACAGATAATGTTTAAAACCTACTTGACTTTGTCCAAAGGCAGAAGTACAATCGGTGTACCACTGTGTTCCTTCTCTCCATCCTTCAACCAGACAGCTGTTTTGGGCAACTGTTCCTTCAAGTACTTGGATGCCTCATAGCACCTACCACTGCAAAATTTCTATAATGAAGGACCACTGGTTCTTATTACTTGTGTGCTAGAGGGATATCAACCATATATTTCTTATCTTAAAAAATCTGCACCTTTCTCTCCTGGATATCGTAGACTTTGCTGGAGCGTATTGATATTTTATATCTTTGGTTTGGGACTTCCCCAATTGACTGGGAGCAAAGAGGATATCCGCACAGATCTGTGAGAGCCCTTTCTTCCACAACATCTTCATAGTAATTAAGTGAGAGAGTCTGGATCTGAAAACAGATTGATATCACTGGATGTAATATCACCTCAGACAGTTTCTGAATCTTCAAGGCTTGGATTTTTATTACTTAAGTAATCCACAACATGTTTATAATCTCTGCATACAGAATGAAAATGTAACGTTTTCCTTCTGAAAACATAATCAGAATCCCATCATCATCACCATTAAAATTTGTATAAAAAGTTGTACAGGCTCATGCTCACTGAATGATTATTGCTTTTTTCAAAAAAGCTTTAGCCTCATGATTGAATTTATTAAACTGAACTGAATTAACTTTTTGAATCTCAAGATGTTTCACCAGTCTACTAAAAGACACAAAAACTTGATATATATGCCTCATTTGAACTCAAGCTAGCATTTAAATGGATAGTGGACAACTGTGATGAGGAACTCCACATGACAGCACAAAAACAGCCAAAAAAGTACTAGTGAAAAAGTTAACCATGTTGTACATCAATGCATCAAGTCTAATCAGAACCAATGCCCTATTTTAATCTTAATTCAACATCAGAAGTAAAACCATTGTGTCAGATACAATCAACTGTGTCACTGAGATCTAAATATTAACCCTTCTCCAGTTTAGAAATCTCAGGCAACTTTCAACAATGTATGTGTGTATGGCAAAACTGTATTATTCCTTTTCTATATATTCCCCAGAAAATTTTTATTTGCATTTTGCTAAGAACAAGGCAGACAACTTAACCAAATTTTGGTGTATTGATCAAATGACAAAAAATTAAAATATAAACTTTTTTTTCTAAATCTGGTCCTCATGCATGTTTCAGAATATATTATTGTTACATGAATATTCTCCCTAAACATATTTTTCTTGATTTTACAAGGCAAAAAAAAATAGAGACTAGAGAATATCTCACTATCTTTCAGTCATGAATGTGTCAAATGTAAACCCCAAGAAATCCCAGAAACTTCAGCCAATGTGTCATCTGACATTAATGTTGGACACCCTTGTGTAAAGCTGGATTTATATCAATCTCTAGAGAGAAAGTAAAGCAACTAACCAGTAGAAGTAGTTCTTCTTCTGAGACAGGTTGGAGAAGTTTATAAACAACCTGCAATGCCATGGACTCTTTCTCCTTGATTTTTTCCAAGTTTTTCTTCATATTCTGAAGTCTGTCAATGAGGATATGGAATTGTTATTTAATGATCAGACTGAGTAAATCAGAATGTACAACAAAAAAGTATATATGAATCTGCATATAAAAATCAACCAGAGAAAGACAGATGTGTAGATGCAGATAATGGAACTGAGAAGCCAGACTGCATAAGGACAGATGTTCAACTGCAGATTGGAGACAAGAAGAATACTAAATACAGTCAAACTCAGTTATAACATCATCGAAGGGACCAGGTAAAAACCGTCGTTATATCTGAGGTTTGTTATAACCGAGGTTGCCTTTATTGGCACTCCATTTTCCTGTATTCAAAATCGATGCTATATAACGTTACAACTCCAGTTTACATTGGTCATACTACACTAGCCTCAGTTTCGAGATTGACCCACTAATTGCGATGTTCGCACTTCTTTGGACCTTGAACTACTTTATACTTCAGTAAGGCTTCATCGATGTCATCTCGACAGACCTAGGAAGTTTCTTGTTTTGTGACATGTTCTCGTTAGAACGGATGAAGCTGTCATGATTTTCCCAAATTGTGGAAACAGATGAACAGATGTCCATGTTCACGAGCAACGTTAGCTTCACTTCGAACCCTTTCTATTAAGCCAATCAAGCACACTTTCCTTTCAATCATGAAGGCTTGCCTCTTTCATTTTCCATTGGCCATGTTGTCAACGAGAAATGCAAATGGCGACTGAAGATAAGGTGATCTTAGTTACTGGGGATTATCCCTCCCTAACATTGCTCCAGCCATACCCATATGACTCTCAAGGAATGCCGAATCCAGGAAATATAAACTTATGGCTCGCCAACGCTAATTTTTCCAATGGCAGAAATTTCAGTTAAGAATGATGGATTAGGGACATGAACGTTCTCGATTTCGTCTGTGGGACCTTCAATGGACTTCGTTATAACAGAGTTCGCTATAACTGATGTAAAATGTAACGTGCCTTATGGGCTCTACGCTGGGACCTGGCACTTTCGTAGTTATAACCGAGGTTTCGTTATAACCGAGTTCGACTGTACATTAATACAACCTCACTTAAGCATGAAGACAAAAGGCATGTCCCACAGCATCACATAAAAGAATGGCATTGAACAAGCTCCCCTTAGGTACTGATTCACTCATCCAGGGTCTATTGGTCTTTAAATTCCAGAATGGAAGACATCTTGAATGATACATTCAGTTCCTCTCTGTTCCTTTTATCTAATGCAGACTCATACATACCTACAGCATCAAAAACTGATACATTCAAGTAGTTACTCTATACCCATGACAGACTTCCCCCTATGACTCCTTGGCAATCTCAGTCTGGGGGTTATCAATACCAAAAGCATGCTGAAGTTGCTGCTCAAAAAGAGAACACACACTCTGAGTTCATGAAATTTCCATTGTATCAGCCATTTGGAAATCACATAATGATTTGCATATCAAAATACATTTGAAAAAGTAATGGATACAATGCCCTTCCTTGTCAATGTTAGTAACTTGCTTAATATCATTAATGACTATTATTACTGTTGTTAAGGCTATTTAGTTTTTCAAGATTTCCCTAGGTAATCCAATAGTACAACCAAGGCATAGTGAAGTCATTTTCAATACAGTGCATTAATGGTATACACCAGAGGTGTATTAGGTAGCTTAACTAATAACAACAGGCCTACTGTCATGCCAACCTTTCATTTCCTGTGCTTTTGCCAGACTTGGAGCCCTGACTCTGGAGTCTCTCCTTTTTCCTTCCCCCCGTTCGGCAGTCTTGACTTGGAATGCTTGACTGCATCTTTTAGGTACTGCAGATACAAGTTCTCACAATCAAAAAATCCAAACACATTATGTAAAACTGTCACTTGATCAACTGCAACTGGCTTTCATTCCAGATGAACTTACCCTATGACTCCTTGAAAATCTCAACCCCAGAAACTTCACAATGACATTGCCCTCTCTTTGGTTCAGCTTGGAGGCTCTGATGTCTTGATTTCATATATAACATTCAACTTCTATACTTCTACTTGGGCAACATCATATCTGCTGAACTACTGCATACCTAGACAGATATCAAATATTAATGTGACTTACACAACTGCATAACTAATTCAAGAGTGGTAGCTCCAATATCATAGATTGAAATCAGTTCATCCATTGTGGCTCTTATGCACAGGCCTAACTGTCAAAAGAAGCTCATGAAGGTCTATGAGTAAAGTCTAACCCAGGTATTATCCACCCAGTAGATGAGCCAGAATTTGAAAGTTAACACTTCCCCTGCACAGCCTTACTTTTCTTCATCATGTTACTTGCACAGTGGGATTCCTTAAATTGCATCAGTTGAATACAAAGTAAGAATAAGCAATTACCCTCTCTAATGCCCCAAATTAGATCCACAAACAACCAGAAGTCACATTTTTATAATGCACTGCTTTACAGAAGGCTGGGATGTGGAGGACATAGGCAGGAGAAATATAGTCCATGCACAGGAAAAAAAGGGGGGCTTTTGGGTCAGACTTGACCAATCAAATGAGGACCAGTGATTTTCAGAATAGCTCATGGATATTCTGTCTCTGCAGGATAGGGAGCAATAAATAAACCATCCTTTAATGGTCTTCTCCATCTTTACTCCACTATTATAAAGTGAAGCAAGAGCCATCAAACTGTTACCAAATGTAACAAACAACTCAGTGTAAGTGCTTGTGCATCATTTCCTTTGATAAACTGTTACTACTTTGCTAGGGATATGAATGGAGATAGATGTAAGGAAGGAGTTTTAATTGAACAGTTGCAAATTAATCAAATCGCAGAGAACTTCCTTTAGGCATGTTCCATTTACGCCAGTACAATGCCATTGTGTTTTGTACTCTCGCATGCAACTTGGAGGCGGTGCAGGTACAGTGCAGTCAATATCATGTTCCATGTAGATGTCATAGATGGTCATAGGTTGCACTGCCTCTGTGTGATTATCTCTGTTCCCTCCAAAACCATCAAAATCCTTGTATGATAGGCTGATGCAAAAGTCTGATTTGGCCATTGGGAATTCCACTGGCGGTTGTCTGGTTCGTGGGGTCGATTGAATCATCGCCAAAGTAGTGAATAAAAAAAAAAGGCACGAGGTCCAGTCAATGCATAGATCCAACGTTTTCATCCAGCTGCTTCTACCCAGAGATCTACGCTTATGAGCAAGGTTGGCCCGTAGCTACCTCACATCCGTCTGGTGCCTGAAGGCCAGTCCTGCCCTTAAGCTTTTTGAAGTGTCCCTAGCTGATCACATTAATAATAGCATTTAGGCCTAACTCTTAACTGTCCTGAATCTGGGCATCAGCATTGGCCTATTTCGTTAAAACTTAGCTAGGTCTACCATCACGGCGGGAAGAAACTCAATAACCATAGGTCTAAGATTCGCAGCCCGAGAAGAAAAATTTACCACGCGGGATCCCAGGAGGAGTGGAAGGCGCCACCTTGGGCCTCGCAGTGATCCCGGCCGGAGTTTAGCCTAATTTCGTTCCTGAAGTTGACGGTACTTGGCTGATGCCAGAGTTGAAGTGAAATGTCCATTTCTTGCAAACCCTTTCCTTTCGAGATGCACAGACCCTCGCGAGGCTAAAAAATTCAATTTCCGATGTCTCCATACAAAAAAGGTTAGAGGTCAAACGCGCGATTAAGTCCGACTTTTCTAAACGGGCTGCCGCAACCGACGGTCGTAGGGCGCGTTTTTCGAGACATGCTCGAGAAAGGTCCCGAAATTGCGTGAAAGAATGCGCCTCCTGGGTGAATCTAAGCGCGACTCGGAACGTTCCCGTCTCCGTCTGGGCGTTTCTGCTCCGACAGCCTTCGCGTTCCGTTCGTTCCGTGGCTCTCGCTTCGCTTCCGCGTCTGGAGACTTCTAGACGCGTAGGTGGCGCTCGGTTCGGCCCCGTGCGAGAAGTGCTTTCCTCTCGCGGCTGTCAAGGCGACTGCCGGCATGCAGGGCCGGTCCGACCGTCGGGCCGAGCCAGGTGTACTCGTGGAAGTCCTCGTGCTGGAACGCGTCAGTGTCGGTCGGTCGGATACCGACGCGGTCGTAAAAGGGCGAGACCCCTATTGGCGGGAATCTGAGGTGGAATCGGAACGACTCGACTCGCCAATCGGTTTCCATTCGATCCCGCCGTCGTGTCGATGCTAGGCCGAACGTGTCCGGTACACCTTCGCTATTCGATGCCAGTGGTCTGTCGGAAGGCACGAGAGTACGAATGAACACCGGGAAATCGAATCTGAGTCTCCTGCCGGTCAGGTGTGCTACCAAAGGTTATTGGTGCCTGCCAAAGGTTAATGATGGCTACTAAAGGTTAGTGGTCAGTCGCTGCACCCAGAGACATGGTAAATATATCTAGACAGGACAGACCAATGGAGAACGCCCCGCATCCGCACGCCGATTAGAAGGGTCGGTCGTCATCGCTCATGGCTTCAAGTTGCCTAATAAACGCATAACTTTCCGATTCATGACGTCACACTCCACTGTGAGTTTTGACGCTCTCCAAGAAGGGCTACCCGGTCTTCAGTGACGAAGTATGGTAGTTTGAAAATTGATTAATGCTACCTTTTCCGTCTTGAGGAGTAGAACTCGTCTTTATTTTCGTTGCACTTATAATGTGAGGGTGCAAAATCAGTTTCCCATGCAGTTAGGCGCAGGGTCTACGTGGGGCAAAGAAAATCCGTCACACCTAAGGTTAGGCCCCGCTAAAGGGTCAATAGCTATCGAGAATAATGTGAGGGTGCAATGTCAATTTCCCATGCAGTTAGGCGCAGGGTCTACGTGGGGCAAAGAAAATCCGTCACACCTAAGGTTAGGCCCCGCTAAAGGGTCAATAGCTATCGAGCCCGATTCATCATTGTAAGACTTGATACCCGACTCACTCAGCGGTCTTTGATAGCATCCGAATCCTGAACACATTGGCAAAGACTACCGTGCACCTCGGTGAATACCATGCTTCATCGTCTCGTTGACGCCATCAGTAATGGCCGCCAGCCCCTCAAATCGGCGTGAGATCTTCGACCGCCATGTCCAGTCTAGGTATGTTTACCAAGTCTCTGGCTGCACCGCTCTGTGCCGTTCCTATCGCGTCGTCTCGCCTTTTCCACGGGTTCCGACCAGTGGCGTAGCCAAGTTTTCGTCAATGGGGGGCTAAGCGGAACGTTGGGGGAGCTAACTTCTCCTCGTCGAGGTGGGGCGGGCGCATTCCGAACAGAGTTGGGGGGGGCTGAAGCCCCTCCCCCCCTTTGCTACGCCACTGGTTCCGGCGGGTCTCCGCCGAGTGTCGGAACGTTCCGAGTCTCGACATCCGAAGTCCGTTGCTTGGGTCATTTCGCCATCGGTTCTGCTCTCGGTCTGCCCTGGGGGCATCGTGCGGACGATAGGCGATGGCCGGTGTGAGGCCGACCGACTCATCGACGACTTTTGCGGTCCCGATCGAAGGTCGGGGGAGAAGAAGCACCCGCCCTCCAATCGATCCATGAATTACTTTCAATATATATATATATCTTATTCTGCGAGCGGTCACTTCGGAACCCTTCCCGACTCATCTGCAGGAATGCGATAGGCAGCTAGATGACGTTCTCGTGCTCTTCCCGGGAGGACGCTTCCGCTTCGGGGAAGTCTCTTCGTCTTCCGCGCTTTGCCCAGTTCTGGTGGAGGCGGTGGGGCGTGGTGGGGGTGGGGTGGGACGAGGAGCGGCGAATGCGATGACGGTCGCCTTCCGTTCTCCACCTCCGGCGGTTCTGGCGGGTCGCGTGGGGGCGAGGGTGGCTCTGGATGACTGGATGCTCGGCGGGTTGGAGGAGGTGGGTTCGCGATCGTGGAGTCTCTGGCAGATTTCGTCGACCAGGACGTCCCAGTCCACTTCGAAGCGGGTTTCGTCTCGGCACACTCGGATCGACCTGGGAGGGGTGGGGTCCCCAGTGTCGCCTGGGGGGGATTCGTCGCAGGGGGAGGTGGGGTGGGTCGTGAAGGGCTTGGATGGTCGGGTGCGGTGGCGTCGGTGGCGTCGATCTGTCGTCGGTGAGATGGGGGTGTGGGGCTTTGCGGCGTCTTCCTCGGTTGGGTGGGGTGGGGGGGTCGGTTGCAAGGGGGGGGATGGAGCACCTGGAGTAGTAGTTTCGACTCTAGGGGGGGATTCCAGGACGAGGACGTAGCAGCGACTGGCACCGGGGCCGAACAGATTTTTCAGGGTCTCTTTCGTGCTCTGAGGGGGGGTCTCCGGTGTCGTGCCGCCCGTCCGAGGAAATCCATCGTTCCGCCTTGGCGTAGGTTTGGATGCCGTGCCCGCGGGTCGACCGCGTTCCTCGGGCTCGGAGGTGTCGTGGGTCGTTCCCGGGTGATGACCGACTTCCGCGAAGTAGCAGTACTGCCTCTGTTCCGTCTGCGTCGGACGCTTCTTCAGGATCCTGTCCACGAGTCCGAAGGGCCGAGCCGCCAGGTTGGCAGCCTCCCGAAAGAAGGCACTCACAGCGTTTGTTTCCGTCTCGGCCGCTTCTCGAGGTCGCGAGGACGCGTGCGTCTGCATTCCACCGGAGGCGCCGTCGAGCCCTCGTGTTTCTCTAACTTCGGGGCGAGAAAATTGTCGAGTCCCTGTCGGAGAAGGACGAAACGAAGCAGAATGGTGTTCCTTGAGTCGTTCCCTGTGGCGCGCGTCGGGGTGCGTCGGTTTCAAAGAGGTCCGCGGTGTGTCGCAGGAGTTCCTCTCGACGATGATGACCCCTGCGTCAGACGGCTGGAGGTGGAAGACGGGGATCTTCTGAAGCGGCGGCCCCCGCCCCGTCGAGCATCCCCCGTCGCGGCGAACCGACGACGACGCCCCCCTCTCCCTCCCCTTCGCACCCCTCGACGACCGAAAGGACCCCCCCTCGTCCCCACTCCAGCCGCGCTCCTCGCTCGACGACGAGGTCTCCCCGCTGCTTTCCATGTCATCCCGGCACTTCGCGGGAAGGGAGACTCGGGACCTCGGTCATCTCCGCGTTCGTTGCGGCGATCTCCCTCCCGACCCGGCGGCAGCCGGGGTCCTCGATCGACCAGGTCCGCTTCTCGAATCCGCCGAACCGGTGTCGGCTGCCCTCGGTCGATCCTCGCACCCAAAGACAACCTGCGTGCAGATTGCAAAGCCCAAGTGATTCACCGACCCGAGTCGAGCTTAAATAGGGAACCGGTGGCGGGTAAATGAGCCGATTCGTCTCGCGTTATTCCTCGTAGATCGCGAACGGCGACGTCTTCCCGCTCCGACTGCTTCGATTTTTGGCCGGCACTTCGCGCTCGAGAGGCGGTTCGCTCGGTTAAAGAGTTTCCAAATCTTTTCCTGGTTCAAATAGTGGTTGTGTGGATCCGGAGTGACCCGACCATTCGATTTGTGTGACGGCCAACAATAAATGAATAAATAAATGGCATCTGTCTTTTTGTACTCTTTCACTTCTTATTCTTGCTTACGCGAACAGATATTTTTCAAATACGTTCGTATCTTCTGGGATAAATTTTTTCCTTGAATACGACATAACTGGTTTTCAGGAATGTGTACATGTGAGTGTCCTGGGTCCCCTATATACTGTATCTTAATGGGGTGTATTGATGTACCTCACCTTCGCTATTGGTCGACGTAGGGCGAGAAGGTGCGAAGGATTTCGTTTCCTGCTGAACGAAGAGAAGAAATGGAAAGGGAAGGCTCCATTGTTGCTCTCGCTTGGCAGGCGGGGACTGTCGCCGTCTCGACGCTGCAGTTGGTTTTGCTTCCGGGGAGGGGGGGGGGCAGTTCGAGGGGGGTGGGTGAGTCCGTGAGTTCAATGGCACGATTATTTATAATAATAAAAAAAAACCTTCCCCCCCCCCCCATCCTCTGAAGATATTACGGCGGTGGATCGGAGTAGATTCATTTGGCAAGAATGGGGTGGAAAGGAGGGGAGAGCACAGAGCTGGACCGCGGGACGAAAGCGGAGACCGAAAGATTCGGGCTTCGAAGGAGGTCCGCCGAGGGGCGTCCAGGCGTTTCCCGTTCGCTCCAGGCGGCTGGGGCGATCGGCGACGGGGTCGGGTTCACGGGTTTAATGCGGGTTTTTCGCGAAAGGGAACCCGCTTCCTTCGCGTCGTGCTCGTTTGCGTCGCTTTCCGAGTTCGAATTTCCTCTTCGACCTCCGACTCGACATGGAAGCAAATAGATTCGCGTAGGAGCGTGAAATCGAATCCGCGAATGCGAGTGCCTTCATCGTGTGCACGATCCTCCAACTTGGTGAGAACTTCGTCGCGTCCAATTATGTACGTTATGGTTCGCACGAGTTGCATCCTACTCCTCACTTGACCGTCTCGCATGCGAAACTTGGAAGCGGCAAGGCCAGCGGTCTGCCACCCCAAGGAAGGAGGAAGGAATGCAGACAGGGAAACGAGGTCTAGTCACCGGGTCTAGCGGGATGTCTCCCCCCCCCCTCCCCTCTGCCCCTCCTCCTCCTCCCCCTCTTCCCCCTCCTTCCCGGTCCCACTGACCTCCATTTTTCCTCCGCTTCCGCCCGCTTTCTCCTCCGGCATGCGGCTGTCGTGGAGACCGGCCCGGCAAACAGCGGGTCTTGTCGCTCGGCAGCCGAGGGGATCCCAGGGGAGCCGACCCCGGCGCCTCATCCTTGTCTGTTATCTCGAGTTTTGTTCTGTCCGAGTTGATGGGGAGCCGATTGAGTGACATGCACCATGCAATCAATTTATTCTCTTAAACTAATCTTGAAGGATAAACTTGTTCCATAGCAGGTTTAACTCCCTAAACGAATTCTCAGAGGTAACTTCGCATGCAGTTTTGCCGTAGTGGGCCTAATTTTTCTTGCCTCTCATCACCTAGCGATGGTGGAAATGGAAACTAATGAAAAGATAGAAGTTTTTGACATGATCAATCTGCCAGGAGGACTATCAGAGATCGGCTCGATCTTCTTGAATGTGTCAATGGAACCGAATTCGGACAAGGTTTCGTCTTTCCGAGGACGCCGTCGCCGACTTGGTGCGGGCAATAGAGCAGCAGTTGCCTCAGAATAGTCTTCTTTCTCTTTCAAAGTGCAGCCATACCGCCTTTACACGGGTTTAAATCGTGGATAAACGAGTTCATGGAAACAATCTGATTTTCGGTTGTGCACGTCAAAGATAAACACATTCTTTAACTCGTTTTAGTAAATGCGTTTATCTCGTCTTTAAACTGATCCGATGCCAAAAAACGTTGAACATATTTGAACCTGTTCGATTTCTTCCTCCGGATGCGTCGTTTTCACCTGAGCGCTGTCTTCCCTCGTTCACTCGCGGCTGCAATTTCTGCGCCGGAAGCGGATCGAGTGAACAGAGGCTCGGTTCCGTCGGTTTTATTCTTGCAGCGCATCGTGGGAATTTCCGAAATTCGGTCGAGATTAGCGCTCTCGCGCGATACCATTTTTCCATTCACGGCAAGTCCGGACAGAACGGGGAGGGGGGGGGGGGGGGCCTTAGGGTGTCCTTCGCCGTTCGGGACGTGAATTGGACGTCGGGCGAGTGTCATAAGAGGTGGATCTAACGCCAAATGAAGGATCTGAAACCTGAGCCGAGCCAAGCCTCTCGACCTCTCACTTTCGCTTGGCAAATACATCATTCTTAGAAAAAACTTGCCGCTCTCACCGAGCCTGAGTGCCCTGCCTTTCCTCGTTATTTGCTCGAAATTCCGCGAACCGATCACAACGATTTCCTCATGGTTGGAAGGTCTCTTAGTTCCTCTTGATTTAGGGTAAAATCTGTGACACCTCATGGAGTTTCGATAGGTTGATCGAGGAAAGATGGTAGTGATCGTCCCGTCTACTACCTCTCCATCGCTGTTTTTTTCGATTAATTTTGTATTATTTGGAATTATGTACTTGCGACATAATAATTTCCGCGGTTTTTTTTTCCATTTCGTATTCCGGCCCGTTCGGGACCACCCGTATATTGGGTTTCCGCGACCGAAAAATGTGTCACACCCGTAACAAGGACCTATCGTGAATATCTCAAAATCTCTCTAGCAGCTTACGCAGTGGATCGCTCCGCACATTTTTCCTATGTCGATCTGTCTTGGAGCACCAAGCACTTTGATATTCGAGGTCCAAAACGGCACACGGCCCGTCGGCGGCAGATTTTCCGAAATCCTGCAGTTTTGGTGCACGGAATGAGTCAAAAGTGAGTTGACTCGACAGCTGGTATTTATGAGCAGTTTACAATCTGTAATGCTGCATTGGGATTCATCGTGATTACCTGGAACTTGCCGATCGCAATTAATTGCAGTTGGTTCACGACAAGAACCTACCTGCTCGGTTCGCTTCTTGCGTCCAGCAACTTCTGACTCGCCTTTGGAACCTCCAGCGGGAGCGCGAACGGCCGCGGCCCCGGCAGCTCGAACTCCATGAAATCCAACCTGCGGGAAATAACCCAAGGCGTTCCGATCACGACGAGGAACGAGACCGGACACGAAACGACATCGAGTAATTCAATATCTCATTCTTTGGCGCCAAGTATCGTCAAAGGTGAAGCATTTGCTTAGAAAATAAAATGACCTGATCTGGATGACGGTGGGTCGACTTATGTCGACGCGGTAGTCGCACACTTGGGTCAGGGAATCCGACATGGGATAAGAGGGATTCACGAAGTAGGAAACTTCCTCCGATGTGTTATTCCTGCACGTAGATTGAACTGAAACGGGAAAAAAAAGTCAAGTTGACAATCCAGAACGAAACGGAAGCTCAACGCCCCCACTCTTCCCCTTCGAGACCGCGGCGATCGCGAGATGCGCGGCTGCGGACGTACTTCGCCGTTCGTTTCGTCGCCGGGTTCCACCTCCCCCACCACCTTCCCTCCCCCGCCTCCTGCATGAATTTTCTTCGCGTTGATCTCATCAGGATATTACTTCTGCGATGCGAAGGACTTCTTTTTCGCAGTCTGCACGAGTCACATGTAAAGATTGCTCTCATTCCATTCTCGCAGAAAAATTCCCCGCGGAAACATGGACTCAGCATCAACAAATGAATGTAGCAACCGCGGACGCGCGAATTTTTTATTCTTCCGATTCTTAACGAAAGGCAGGATGAAACCGTGCCCGAAATTGAAAAATACTCCAGTGGGAAGAGCTCACAGACGCAGCAGACGCCGAGGCCAGAGGCGCAGGCCGTGTTCGCCTTCCCCTCCTTCCTCTTGCACTCGCTGTACTTGTAGCACGTCCCCGTGTCCCCCGCCGTGTTGTTGCACAGCCCATTCGCAAACGTCATCAGTTGGAAGATGGACGGCATGCCGAAGCCCAGCACTGCAACGGCGAACGAGACGTGCAACGCCACTCCAGACCTCCCTTCGCCCAACCTCCAGACCTCCACTCAAAAAGAAGGTGGAACTCACTCTTAGACTGGCGATCCTCCACCACCTCGCTCCCAGTCCAGGCCAGGGGGACGAAGAGGACGAGCGACAAGAGCTTGCTGCACATTGTTCGCACCCAGACGCCGAGAAACTGTGAGGCCGGAGCTCCATCCCCTCTCCTTTTCTCCTCCTCCACCCGACGGGACCGTTTTTCAGTCAATAATCGTCTCCGAGGCGCGCGGACAGCAGAACGGATCAACGTGTCATCGACCTATACCGGGAACCGGAGAAAGGGAACCACCTTACCCCCTCTGGCAAGGGAGGTCTGGAGTGGCGTTGCACGTCTCGTTCGCCGTTGCAGTGCTGGGCTTCGGCATGAAGGAAAAATGGAGGTCAGTGGGACCGGGAAGGAGGGGGAAGAGGGGGAGGAGGAGGAGGGGCAGAGGGGAGGGGGGGGGCAAGGGGATTTCGACGCATCTTTCTGGGTTGCAGTGTACGTGGAGGTGCAGGGGGGCCCGGGGACGTACCTCAGTCTCATGGCGATCACGGGGCTCAACACCGCGGGGACCGTGACCCAGTATCGGTGGAAGATCAAGATCACGCAGGTGGATCGGCAGACCAGCCTCAATGCGATTGGTGAGAGCGTGGGCGCCCAGTGGGGCTCGTTTGGTGGGATCTCGGGTGCTCACTTGGGGACGTCTGTAGCTCCGACAGGTTGCATGCAGTATTTCACGGGGGCTTCGGGACAGATCGAGTCTTTCAATGCGGGGGGTTTGTACTTCAACAACATGGACTACGCCATATGCATCCGCCGGGACAGGAACGCGTGCCGAATTCGTTTCAGGTCTTCTTTATGGAACCTGGGACAAAGACAAGCCGGCGATACCGTGAACGGAGACGTTGTTTGCACAGAGCGTACGGACTACTTGGTAATCCCGCAGTCGTTGAGAATCAACAACGAGCTCGAGACCGTCGACCGATTCTGCAGGGATGTCTTCACCAGCAGCACTGACAGCGGCGACGGCACTCCCGGCAATCCCGCTCCGACTGACACCGAAGTCGTCAGTGAGTTCCGCTTGGGTCGGGTTCGATGCAGGGATGCGCGCAGGGATGCTCGATCGAGGTTTCCCATCTTTTCAGGTCTCATCAACGGTCCAATCGTGCTCCGGTTTCACTCGTCCACGACGAATGTGTTTCCTGGTTTTCGCCTGAGTTACGAGCAGATCCTGGCTGGTTGCTGATCCCTGTTGTCGACTCCTTTTCAGTTTGTTGCCGATCTTCGTTAATAAATGGTTATTGGAAAGATATCGTGTTTTGGCATGGAACGTCACGAAAGGTGCAGTTGAGGAGTCGTAAAGTTTCCCAACGACACGTACCGAGTATTCTACTTTCGAGTCACACAGATTCACACGTGGCAGGGCTCTCCCCATCAAGGGTATTTTCCGTGGTTTTTACATTCACGAGGAAGCCTGGTTTTCCTTCAACATTGTATTTATATTCTACACATTCCAACATCGATCATTTCAATTGTGGAATGCAGTTTCAAAGTACTGAAGCTGCTTCAGCCGAAGGCCTCCAGGATTATTCTTTTCCTCAACTGTATGTACGTGGGGCGTTCAAAAAGTTTCCAGCCCGAGGCACTTCCAGTTGTAATACACCATTATTTCTTTTCTAATGGGAAGACATATGTATTTGATGTGAACCTGTAAAATCTAATCTCATTGGCAAATGATTGGCAGCTTCAATTACTTTTTTTCAATGTGCAATAAAAGGGTCGGCTGAGGGGGGATTAAAATTGAGAAAAGTTCTGATTAATTTTTTAACCTTGATGGAGTCGATATTCTGGCTGATCTTTCTGCAGCTGAGAGGATGGAGTCCTACTGACCCTCTCCTAAATGATCTGCAAGGAGATCGACACCTTCAAGTTTAGAAAATTCATCACCACGTTCATCTCCATTTTAATACCCCTTCAGGCTCTAGTTGCAAATTTAAAAAAATTCCTAAAAGCTGCCCATCATTTAAAAATGAGATGAAATATTACCATTTCACATCAAATACATACGTCTTCCCATGAGAAAAGTAATAGTGGTGTATTACAACTGGAAGTGTCTTGGGCCCCTCAAATGCCCATTATTATGGTTACTGACCAGCTAGAAGAGGTTCAAGGAACTCTGTCAATAACAACCTTAGATCCTTTCAAATGAGCTGAGAATATATCACAAAACATCCATTGATCGTGGCTTGATCATTCTCCAAGGGACAAGACAGAATACCTCATGATTATCCTGTGATAATCAGATCTTGTAGTCTGATATTAAAACCTTGAGTGCCCTTACAAGTGGGAGAGTGCACAAAGATTAATAAGACAGAGTTAAAAGGCATTCAGGTGCAAGATATTACCAGTAATATAAATGAACTTGTATTTGCATAGATGATCTTAAGCAAAGGCTCAATAAAGTTGAAACTATACCAGCCCAGATGGAGTGTGAAATGCACAGTTTGAAGAAGGAAAAAGTCATGAAAACTTATTGGAAGTCTTCCAGGACCAATAGAGAGGAAAGAGTTCACACTTACAAGGCCTTGTCCTTGTGTTTATGGTTCTCAGCATTATGTATAAATACAAAGATGATGAATTGGTAGAGGGAAGAAATCACAGGGTGACCAGACAGATGAAATGACCTCATCACTTTGAATTTGTTCTTCTGGACTAATCTAAAAAAGCATTTGTTTCTCAATGGTGAACAAATATATATCAATAACATGATCAAACCTGTTTAACAAAAAGGCTGGGAACAGTGAAAATGTTTTCCATTAAATAAAAAAGGAAGCTACAACTGTGAATCAACACTGAAGGTGAGATTGCTGGAATAGCAAAGACAGATTCCTAAACTGTCTCACTCTTGGAATAACTTTGACATTCTGTATCTTGGATGTTATAAATATAAAGTTTAGGTCATGAAATACCAACACAGAGTGAGTGGAACAGCAAACAAGTCTATATTCCTTGTGATCACAACCATGAATACCCAGAAGTGAGAGGGAAACAGGTCTTTTAGAGAGTAAAATGAAATGAACCAAAGAAGGGAAGTTCAGATTTCCCCCACAAGATTCACCAAAATTGTGACAAACAAGAACACGGAGAGATCAACCACAAATTGATGGTCAAAAAGATGAATATCACTCTGCCTAGACACAGCATTACAGTTTGGTATACATAATGGAGTCTCCAATGTGGAGACTGTCTGATGGCCTTGCCTCCTCGCCATCTGGGAGTTCGTCGCTAGGTATGCAACATGGGGCACTTGCACTTTCTTCAGCTCCATTCTCTTTGACTTGATCATTAAGGTTTCCCCTGTGTACACCTTCTGAAGGCTCTGCTTTCTCGCCATGAGGCTGTTCATCACCAGATGTGTAAGATGGGGCACTTCCTTTGGCCCAATCATTGCTTGCATGTCTGTTAACATTTCCCTTTGGGACACTTTCTAATTCTTCTCTACTATGGCTAGTAGGCTCTATATGATATTCATCAGGAGAATTATCACTACTGTGCTCACTCTTCTCATGAGATTCATGATATTCTTCATGAAACTTCCTCAAAAGAGTCTTCCTTAAAGAAGACAGACCTTGGCTGATTCCAGCCTGCAATTTGGAATCAATGACCTGGGACTCTGATGCAGTCCTCATCCTTCCCCCAATCTTCCAGGATAGTGGAGTCCAGGACTCAGCTTCAGAAGCTGTGGAGTATCCCTCGCTCCCATATCGAGCAAACAGATAACGAGGGATGACAAGCTTTGATTCCTCCTGCAGACTCAGCTTTCTCTTGTGTTGATCTATCAAATCACCAGCTTTCCCCAAAATGACAATACTGTTGAGTATCCGGAATGAAAACAGGGATAGATAAACGAGGATGCCAAGCAGAATTGATGCAGGAGAAGATAATGAGATGGATTGGCTCAGGACTTTCATCACCAGAACACTGAGTGGTAGAGGGATGAAACCCATGCGCCTGGCCACCAAATCTGAATGATCTGAGAATGCCTAGGAAGACAAGACATAAGTAGAGGCATAGATGAGTGAATGACTTTCAAAGTACACTTCTCCCCCAATTGATACATCTCATATGCATTGATATGCATCTCAAAGTACATAACAATAGCAAATTATGAATGATAACATGATATAGAGGGTGGCAACAGAAAATGCAACACTAGATTTTACAGAGAAAACAGATTACCCAGCATCAAGTCTAGTTCACACCATACAGGGTGATCAAGAAGTCTGATCAATTTCTTCATCCTCATCATGAATCCTGTAAGATTTCCCAATGGGAGGTTTGATGCATCTTATGGTCTCTTAATTTTTGTTTTATTTAATGTGGGTTGAATGTGCCTCCTATGGTCCCAAATATGAATATCACTCTCATGGATCTATGGCAAAATGGCTAAAAAAAAAATAGTTTTGAAAACTGGGCTCCTCAATAAATAGACTCTGATTTTTTACCTCTGCTATGCATAAGAATAACTGATATTCATTCAATGTGGAGCATCACTCCTCCTCATCATTATACACACTTTTTATATTAGCAAATACCTGGAGAAGAAATTGTTTAACCCCTAAGGCATGACATTTTTCTGGTAGGGAACAGCACCTCCAGTGCAAGAACAGCTTATCCAATGGTTAGTGCAAGAAAGGCATATGATGTCGCACACACTTGAGGGGTTAAGTGATGGCCTTTCCATTGCTAGTCAGAAATCAATATCACAGTACCATAAGCAATGAAGTTTCACAGGCCACTGCCACAGACCCCTCCCTGAGTGAGAAAACTACAACTCAGAATTTGAATTCCAAACAACTGAGTGGCCTAATTTATAAAATGAACACCAAATGAAAAGGGATCCTTGTATGCTCAGTCTTCCTAGGGGAGGAGTGGATGAGAGGTGTTCTAGGCAAAAGGGGACAGGGTGGAACAACAGATGAACAGTCAGTCTAACCTCCTCTTTGAACAGAGGCTTTCATTCTCACTCCAGCATTTATGGTGGCTTAATCAATTAGCAATTTCAAAGAAAACTTTTTCTTGTCCATACATGGTCATAGATGTCATAAGTTTCCATAGCTTTCAAGAACTTTTGGAACAGCAATCTACCAAATGCCATACTTTCACCAATGATTCTGGATTAACCAGAGAAAATTTAAAACTGAAACTATTTATTAGCCTGAGCAGTATGCCAAATTTAGTCAACTCCTCATACTTTGATGTAATTATATGAATATCCATCTAGAAGGGTGACAATACTTTTGCTTTTGCTTAAACTAAGTAATGGAAGAATGATGCAGAGATTTAACTTGAGGAGCCCTATAAAAGAAGAGCCTAGTAATATTTGAAAATTTGAGAAGTTTCATCCCTCTATTAGTGCATATTAAGATCCTGACATCTTTTAATAAAACACTTTCACATTTTGGGTTTGTCACTCAATAGAACTGCTGATGCTTAGGTGCTAGAGTCATTAGTCATGCTTGACTATATTTCCACATATTGCCTCAAATGATCAAACTAGATCATGTATGAGTTCATAGTAATGCAAAAAAAAGACCAAGAACAAATACTGCATCCTCATATGTCTGCATTGAGATTGACTTCCCAATTGTGATTTACAGAAAGCTCACCTTCTTCATCTTTGTAGAAGCAAGATCATATGCAAGGTTGACAGTGTACTCAGAATATACTTCAGCAGGAATCTCATTGAATCTTGTTATAAAGGCATGCTTCAACCAGTCAATCAAGAACTCTGAGAGAAGAACCAGGAGACAATCTGGACAGAGCTCCCAGAAGCGTTCTAAAAAAAAAAGGATGAATCATATCACTCACATTACATTTGCTGGGATCAATCGGTGTCTCAAGTGTGTCAAATAGTGCCTGACAGGTAAGGTCTCCAAATGGACTGAGCACAACCACCAAGGATGTATTAGTCTTTCCAATGAAATATAATCTGGCTAGACCTGGCAAGCAGTCAGTGTGATCACATTGATTTTTTCCCATCTGCCTGTACCTACTTAACCATCACATACCACCATCTAACATAAGTGATGTCATCTTGTAAGTGTGTCAAGAGATGACAAATGGCTCCTGAAGTATGATGTCAGTTGCCTTTTATATATATCCTCTGACACCTGGAATGTCTACTACTCAGTATGACAGATAATGGGATAATACCATAGAGCTTGTATTTGCAAATAAAATCATTCTAGTTTGATACTTCATGATTCATATACCCTACTATTGATGAAGGAATTGTCCATCCAAACACCTAATGCTTCTTTTGTGGTCTCCACCTGACCTCCCAAAACACTGGTCATGTTTTCTTCCATTACAACCAGAAAGGAAATTTTCTAATATTTATGACCAATCATTTCAAGACCCATGGGACAATCCACACAGGATGCATGGTTATTTAAACATAAAGGTTAAACCAACACCATTCATACCCTCTTTCCAGGAGTACTCCTTCATGGTGAGGAGCATGACAAGGAGGAGGAGGATGCAGTAATGAAATCTCTCTCTAACATCACTGCATGATACTTGAAAGAGGTTACCCTTGTCAAACTTTTTGAAAACACAACTCTTCAACTCCACAAACTGCAAGAAAAAGAGAAACTGCAGATAACACTTAATGTCAACATAAAATTGATTACTGCAACCAATTGGGGGAATAACCAGAAAAATATTATTCTCTGTGAAAAATGGTAATAGAGTCCCTGCAGCCTCAACGAGTTTGGTTTGTGTAACAGGTAACTGATAACAATGTGGAATCATATTAGATTTATCCCATAGGAGGTGGCATGTGCTTACATGCATAAAGAGAATTAATCTTGATGTACCAAATATCCAGTGTTTACAGGACTTCCAGGGAAAACTATCAACTGAGGTGCCAGCATTAGCATTGGAACAAAAACCTTTGGTCTGAATATTTCCATAACAAGCAGACACATCAACTTACTATATTAGGTGAGAGGTGGGATTTGAAACCCATTTATATTAAATTCATCATTATTACATTTTAAAATGGTAATTATAAATGTAATTGATTAATTTAATTGCATCGGCAGCCCAACAAATAAGTCTGATGGTTCTACTGCCTTAAAACTTGAAAAAGGGATTGTTCAGGAAAATAGACTCACATTGTTTGATATCATGATGGTGAGAAGGGCTTTGTTGCTAGCATTTATAGCAACATTCAGGGTGGTGGCTTGACATAACACCAGAAATGCATGAAAAACTGTTCATAGTCAAGGGCTAAGCCATACGAGTGAGCATATCTTGTGCTTTCAATTAGAAACATATGTTGTGCCTAGTAGATAAACTACATACATAAATAGCACATACATAAATGATACATAAATAGCACAGAGAGGCCTATGTCAGGTTGTAAAGGTGAAATTTAGACATTTTCCAGAAAACAATTTATTGACAATTAACTCAACAATGTATCTGTATCTGTTGTATCTGAATGTATCTGTTGTAGGTTCACGATAAGCACTCATGCCCACAATGCCCACTGGTCACTCTACTTATACACCTACATAGAAAGTTCTAACATTTTCCAGATTTTTCTAGAAATTTTTCTAGAAATTTTCTAGATTTTTCTAAAAATCGAAATGTCTAAATTTCACCTTTACAACCTGATACAATGTATAATTAATGTATAATGGATAGTACAGCCTTTTCATTAAGCAAAATTGAGAAAAGTCTAGCCATATTGAGAAAGCAGGGATAAAAGAACAATTCCATCTCCTCATATTATTCCTGTAAATTTGACAATAAGGACCAAACAACAATGTAATCCTTGATGACAATCTCCATAATGTCTCATAAGCACAGTACTCAGGTTTATGCTTCTTTGCTGTCATAAAGTATATTCAAAACCAGCATTTCTATACTGCAATGAAGTAATATCATGATACCAACATTAGGCCAGTATGAGATTCTTCTGGCAGCCTGACAGATATTTTTGTGTCTGGAATGTGGAGGAAAATCAATACCCTTCTGCATGAGAGCAGAAGCAAAAGGTGGATTGCTTGTGCCAAGCAATACAAGACTCCCAGTACTTGCACAATATACCTTATTGATAACACTTGAGGGTTGATGTCACATGAAAATGACATTGTCATTGACATGTTAGTAAGGCCTATTGTTTCTGTTGTAGCTATCACTTAGAATAAGCCTCCTCATAATGCCTTAACATATACAGGTGACATCTCCTGATACATAACCATTGTCCCTCCAAGGCCAAACAGTTTCAAATGACAATATCTTTTTCATGAAGCACTGTAGAATTTCTTTCATTGTAGCATTGCTTTCATTACAATGTATATTGCTGCTAAAATTGATAGAAGTGAAAACCTTGTGAAGTGTGCATGAATACTTCATGATGACTTCACTTCTACAGATTCTACAGGATGTCCACAAAGTTTTGTCACCCCAGTAAGATACTGATTTTCTTTTGTTTTTTTTCCAGATTGAATGAAAATGTGTGATACCAGCAACTACACAATTGAAGAATGCATTTTACCAATATGTAAATATGCAAAAAAAGTAGCATAAGTATATATAATGCAAATTACTTCTACATGATGCAGGGGCAACAATACTTTGTGAACACCCTGTAGTTGCAATCCACCTTCTGATACAATCAATCATATGTATTTCTTCAGAATCATTCAATGCAGTCATGACATTTGAACCAAAGATACAGAATAGATTATGACACATCAAAGATACAGAATAGATTAGTCTGGCCATGGTGGGGGAGGGCAATGGCTATGTTTCATCTTGTACAGTGCCATAAATGTATAGTTCAGTAAATAAATCATTCCCCTCCATGTATATTGCTAAGTCTCTTCTGCCTTTCATCAACCCAAGATCTAATCTTCAGTCAGTTTAAGCCACCTATTACATCAGGCAGGTATAATGAACTTTCTCTCACATGCCAACTGAAAGTTGTGTTGAGAAGCATGAAATAATTCAATTGAAACAGTGGAATTTAATTCTTATAGAGAATGGAAGTATCTATTTGATACAAATATTAGGATACAGTCATAGGTTATATACATATTATAGCACAGAAGGGTAAAAACTAGGAGTTACCAACTTAGGAGGCTTTCTTCAAATGACTTGTCTCCTGATTGTATTCATTGTTCAGATAAACAAGCCATGGTAATAGTTGAAGAATCACAGACCGTAAATTACCACAGTCTATATTATAGACCATCCACATCATGAGTAACATCAAAATTTTCATCATATATTGATACTCTACAGCAACTTATATAATGCATCTGCATTTCTGACAATGGCAATGTATGCCAGTTTAAGATTACCCTATTTGTATAATGTGTGAGCTCATATGGTATACATGAAAAGATGAAAAAAAGAAGTACTTCTGGTATTAAAAAAGGATACACACATAGAGAGATGCAAGGAAGAGGTGTGATAGCACACCCAAGTGGTCTCTTCCATGACCCCTTGGTTCAGTGGCTGTCCAGAGCAAAGCATCAATGCTATCTTGTCCAAATGATGAGAAGAGACGGTCTCCCACCTAGTAGAAATGTCTCCATTGGTTTGCATTGAAACCTTCTGAATGGAGATAACAATGGTAGAAGAAGACTCTAACTCACTTCCAGCATGTTGAAGATAATGTACAGTTTGATCACAGACTGACTCTTGACAAGATGATAAAGCATCGAGGTATCAATCATCATCATCAACCTCCAACAGATAATGAGGATAAGGGCTTTGAGGAGATCACAGACTTCAGCAGGATGAAGTGACCATGCATGCTTCTTCTCTCTTCAAAGAAAATATACATAATGCATTTTTTTTTACAGATACAATGTGAATCACCATTGGGAAACTTAAAAAAATCTACAATCTCCCAAAAATATATATTGATAATGTCATTGGATTTTCCTAGAGAGTGACTTTAAACTTTTTGATGCAATATAGTACAAGTACCAATTGTGCTTTAGTCAAGGTGACAAATGAGAGTTTCTCACACTAAACTCTTCAATGATGCAGGGTGGAGCATGAGGTTAGAGGCTGTAATTGTCATAAATGCACTTCAGGTGAAGCATGTGAGCATGTTAGAGCTCTGGCAACACCAGATCATGCCATAGCTGGTACATGCATCAAGTCAATGTCTCCATAACAAAGTCAAAATGAGCAAAATGAATGTCAGATCATTCTGCAAGATGGTATTTGTTAGAAGAGCCCAACTAGCATTTGTATGTTTGTGCTCCTTGAACCAGTTTAGTGCCATGTAAAAGTTTGCCTCATCATATTCAGTGGCAGGTTATTTACAATCAGATTTTATTTGTACTTTTGGAAACATTTTACCAGTTAACAGTTAGCATGACAATTCATACAATATATGCTTATGAAGAAATATTGAAGCATACCTTGGAAAGATTAGATGCCTAAGTAGTCCACTACTGATGAGTAGTGGCTATAAAAAAATAATTGGTCATAAATCCTTGGCAGGTTGACATTCACCATGGTATAAGGATCCTAAGGCCTGAGAACTCCTCTCTTCTTGGGATATATATATGCTCTCTTATTGAAACCTAATTGTTCTATTAGGTTGTTCCGAAATAAATGTCCGATTTTCGAAGTGTAATGTTTTGTCTATCATTATACCTGTCAATTTTGCGATAACCAGTTATTGTTATATACTGTTTTTTTCAGCAAACCTTTCTCTATGTAAGCCACTTAGTTGCTTTTTATTTATCTTTAGCCTAACGTTCCTGTAGCTGCCAAAGCGAACGATGGAGAAACGCAACTTTCGTCCGATTTTTCTTTACGAGTTCAAACTTGGAACTAATGCTGCCGAAACGGCGAATAAAATCAACACTGCGTTCGGCCAAGGATCGGTCACGGATCGCACCATTCGACGCTGGTTCGAAAAGTTTCGTAACGGAGATGAGACTCTCGAAGAACAGGAAGGTAGAGGTCGGAAAGAGTCTCTTGACGACGCCGTTCTGAAGACTATGGTGGAACGTGATCCCCATGTAACGGTCCGAGAGCTTGCGGAAGAATTGTCTGTTGGCATCGCAACCGTTTCCCGTCATCTGAACGACATTGGAAAGACGAAGAAGATGGACAAATGGGTTCCGCACGAACTCACCGCGAGTAATCGCACTCGCCGATACGAGATCAGCTCCGCATTGCTTCTACGCAACACAAACGACCCTTTTCTCGACCGTATTGTTACGTGCGACGAAAAGTGGCTCCTGTACGACAATCGTAAACGATCGGCGCAGTGGCTGGACCGAGATGAGCCTCCCAAGCACTTCCCAAAGCCAAGCGCTCACCCGAAGAAGACTATGGTCACTGTATGGTGGACTTCAACAGGAGTGGTGCACTACCACTTTCTGAAACCTGGTGAAACGATCACAGCGGAGAAGTACTGTGACGAACTGGACACGATGCACGAGAAACTTCGCAAACTTCAGCCTGCATCGGTCAACCGAAGGGGGCCGATTCTGCTGCACGACAACGCCCGACCGCATGTCGCACATCTCACCGTACGCAAACTGAATCAGCTGGGCTACGAAACTCTGCCTCATCCACCATACTCCCCAGACATATCACCTACGGATTACCACTTTTTCAAACACCTGGATCACTTCGTCAAGGAGAATTCCATGATCAGACCTCTGCCGAAGATGCCTTTAAGGATTTCATCGCCTCCAGAACCCAGGATTTCTACTCGACTGGGATCAACAAGCTTGTATCTCGTTGGCAGAAGTGTGTTGAAGCGGATGGTGCTTACTTCGATTAAAAATGTTCATTATCAGCTGAGTTACGACCCTTCAAAGTTTGCGATCGAATTCGGACATTTATTTTGGAACAGCCTAATAGAAGGTCTTCATCTAGTATTAAGGGCTCTTCTATAAGTCCTAGTCTGGAAGTAATCTGGTTCCAGGATTGCTGTCTAAGGATAATAATTGGGAGGGTGTGGGTTAGAGTTGCATACAGCTATGCTTGATCATGGATTGAGACAAACACCTCACTAACATTTTTGGCATTCAAGACACTCCTTTTTTTCTTTCTTTTTTTTTCCACCAGAAGAGAAAATGCTCATGCTGAAATTGAGTTGGTGATGGGAAAAAGCACTGTATAAATTTATTAACCCTCTCAGTATGGAGTTTTCTATGCATGACCGTGTCTCCTGGTTGGGTTTTTTTGGGGGTTAATGCAAAAAAATGTGGCATATGAGATGAAGCACCTTTGAGTAGGAGTGGTTCAAAGTTGCACCCACTTTGGTAGTGCTTTAGGGTGTAGTATTCCCAGAAGCAAGGGTGGACACAGTGAGCCTTATTACCTCAGAGTCACTATGGTTTGTTATCTCTTTCATTCTTTCCAGCATGTAATCAAACATTCCTGGATCCAGCCATGTTGCTCACTTACAGCTTGGGATCTCAGTTTTTCTTATATTGATCATCAACCCTTTAGGTACAGACTTTTGTAGTCATCATCCACACCCACAGACTGAGTTGGTTTTTCAAAAAATGTGAAATTGTGGGTATTCTGTTGATAAAAAATAATATGACATAAAAAATATAACATTCTAATTTATTCAAACTATGTTAGAACAATGCCTTTTGGTAAAAAAAAAAAATTTTTTGGGAAAATTCTAGAAAAAGTTATAAATTACTGCTGGCAGATGACAGCACATCTACTAAAAATTATATTACACTCACATATACACAACAGAAGCACTAGGCATCAGGAACCAGAGATGTGTTTATGTGTTCACAGTATTTAACAGGTTACACCACAGCAAGAGACCAGATTTTTTCATATACAAAAGTCAAGGAATTATTAAAAAATGGATCCTTTGATGAAATTTGAATGTTGCTTGGCCAATAGAACAATACTGTGTAAGGTTACATTTGACCAAGAAAATTAATAAATTGGCATTGTCATCATTTGATTATAGAGACTGGGGTCATAAAATTTTAAAATGATTCTCATAAATCTACAACCACTCATTAACTGTCACTATCACTAACTAGAGCATGACTATGACTATATGCAATATATGAGCAATAATATGACTATTTATGGACAATTCTTATTATTATTCAATCTGAAGTAACTATTCACATTGTATATGTAGACTGTCCACTTGAAGAAATTGGAATGATGTCATCTTTCTTTCTTCCACTTTTCTGTGACTGAGAATATATTTTTATGATCCTTGTTTGAAAATTCAAAGGATTTTCAGAAGCCTCTGCATTCCTGAAGTTATAGCCAGGAGTAGTGGATCTTCAAGGAGAATGTAAATCAAGAAAATTATTTGCCAAGTGATATAGATCCACTTATTACATAACTGGAAAATTGAGGAACATGCCTGATGAATACTGACTTTCTGTAGCCAGCTACCAATGGAGGACATGTTGAAGCACAGTGTCAGTTCACTTAAACCCAAACAAGGATCTGAGAAATTAGTTCTCAGTCACAAAAAAAGTGGAAGAAGAAAAGATGTGACATCATTCTGAGACCTACAGAGTCAGTCTACAAAATCAAAATTAACATTTCCTCAGATTCAACAAAGAAAAAAAGCATCCAATATCAACTCATATACACTCAGTACATGCATAAAGTAGTTCAATATAGCTTACTTGAGGAGATATAGGGGCCAGCAGAGCAGATTCTTCAGAGCCAGAAGAAATCTGATAGGTAGGAAGGTGAATATAAATAGGAAGGCATCAGCACACTGTTAAGGAAAAAGAAAAGGGTTAGGTTTCAACAAATTATATACATGAACCCATTGTATTCATCAATGGGTTCATCTTGTGAACACTGAACACTGCTTTGGCAAAAATCTATGCAACTCCCTTTATTGAGGCCAGAACTCCAAGGTGTCACATTATAATTAGTACACCTGTCACCTGAGACTGAGGAATTGTAAATGAAACTTCATAGCATGACCTAACATAGGGGATTTCTCATGTGATCCTGAGATTATTCAGGACTTTATACTATAAAATATTCATATTTAACTTCATTCATTACTTAATCCCTAATTTCAGATTATTTCCTACTTGCTACAATAAGCTAAATTGATAATAAAATTGCAGGTATCAATAGAAGATTACTAAATCTTGCTGAAGTCTATGCTACTTTGAAGCTATAACTTAATCAGCAGGAAGAATATCAGTCACAGAATTGTCATTGAAGTCATCAGAAATGATTGAGTCTGGAAAATAGGAGTTAGCAACAAGAAGCCAGGATCTTACATGGTAAGTTAGGCTGATATTAGCTGAAACCTGCCATTATGTAACTGAGAGAACTCCAGAGCATAAAAAAGTTGCATGCTTTTGAACATAGGTACCTGAATCAACAATACACTTTCATGTGGTCAACTGAGAATTCATTTGAAATAAACCCCAGAGTCAAACTTTCTGGATTAGTACATCAACTAAAAGCTCATACCTTATAGTTTATATTGCTTCACTTATTTTTCATAGCTAATAGTTCAGTAATACAAAAATTTGCCAGGATGTGGAACTCTTTTCTGCCCTTCACCATTACAGGCACAGAGCTATCAAACATTTCCAATTGGTATGCAAGTTCAGCAATTAGAAAGTAAATAATAATGCTCTATGCCTGTTTTGTGTCCATAAATACCTATAAAAAGTTCTAATACTATTTATTTCAATATTTACAAAGATGTTTTTCATTTAATATGGAATATACAAGGAAAAGCATATTCATGTATGGCAGAATTCACATGAAACTTACATCATATAAGTTATTGCTTTTTAAGAATAGTTACATAGTCTTTTTCCATATAGCCCACCTGAAAGAATCCATATCCCATAAACTTCTCAACTTCTCGAGGGATTTTCATGAAAGTGTACATCTTCTTCCTTTTCTCTTCAAAGCGCTCTTCATCATTCTCCAGAATGTAGTTCCTTGTCAGTTCAGCATGGATGAATGGCAGCAAACCATCTAAAACATAGTAATCCTTGGACATGAAACACTCTGGCATTATTTTATAGAAAATGGTAATAGCAGTCACACCTGATAATGACTGCATTTGTTGGAAGCTCTCAATGGCCTCAACCAATATCAAGGATTCCATTAAGATACATCCATAGCTAAACTGATTATACATTTCATCTATACATAAGTAAGTGTTCTTTGGAGGCTTATTTATAAACATCTATGAGGTTTTTGACACTTTTTGGCCAAGGCTAGGTACTGTAAGGTTAAAAAATGAAATAAGGAGAAAAACTGCTTTGATATAATGGAAATTAGAAATTTAACAAATTTACTAAAAAAATTAGCAATCTAATATCAGGATTACATCAGAAACATAATAGACATTCATATTTCCTTACAACTTCTTGGCATTTCCAAGTCATAACTAACTGAGGTCAAGAGGATTAATGAGACAAAATTCTCATCCTCCCCCTCCTATCATTCTCTATCATAACTGAATGATCAAGCAAAGAGAATTCATTACTGCATATGGCATACTTTACATGATTGAGTCAACCATTTACAATTCCATTTTCCTCAACTTTATTGAGTTGATGTAAGATACTCATTTGGGAAAGTGAGACACCTAGATTTTTGAAGCCTGATGGATGATGAATATTGGATGATTTTCACCCAAGTAGGGGGTATATTAAGAATGTCCAGGCAATCCTCAGCAATCATCCCCACAATAAGGCAATCTTCATCATGGGGATTGTTTCATCTTAAAAAAACTTCTCAAGATCACATACAATAGCTTTCCATCCATGAAACCAGGTGAACAGCATTCACAATATTGATCTCTTCCCTTCTGCAAAATTTTTAAAATTGCAAAAAACATTCTTCAGAGTTTCAAGTGACATATTCAATAAGGGACCTGTAGCAAGTAATTTCAAGAGTATTCATTTATGAGTATTTAATAAAGAAAACCTTCGAATAGTTCAACTCTTCTCTGGACTACACATTTAAAAATCAGTCACCTTCTCCTGCACCTCCTCCATGGTACAAGTCATCATTTTACCCAAGGTTTTCCAGCACTTGACATTTTTTTCATTTTAGCAGTAAATTCATCTTGAGCATTCCAAAATAACATCAAAGATATGCTCTGATTTATCTATTTTAAACTGGTTTGATGTCACTTTTCTCATTTAAGAACTTCTAATACCTCTTTTATTGTTGCTGTAAAGTACAATATCATAGGTTTAAAATTGATAACAATCCCAAGTGTTTCACTTTATTCTAATAACCCTTACATACCAAACATTTCCATATTCAAACAGATCATGTAAGTGGAAAATCGCTAATTTTGCCACATTCAAAGAGCATGGAATCTTCCTTTCTACATCTATAAATGGAAGATTCCATGATTTGTGCTAAATTCCATGCAAAACCCTTGCTTTGTCATGCCAAGAGGCCAGATGGAACTGTTTATCAAAACCGACTTTAGTTCCACTATAGTCTTGATCTCAGTTACAGTTAACTGAAGCCATAATGAGGGTAGTTTAATGCTAGTTTTGTTTCAGTTGATGTCATTCCTCTCGTCACTCTTTTTCTTGAAAACACTTGATTTAAATATAATTTATCCCTTTAATATCTCCAGAAACTCTCTTAAAACTCAAGGATTTTCGAAAGATGATCATGGAATGCATTATGACAGAAACTTCCTCTCTTGGACAGGACCTTTAAAGATATAGAGGCAAAAGGTACTGAAACAGGCACTCAATAGCAAGTGAAAACTAAACTGGTATACATAAATCAATGTAGATCAGCGAATTTATTTATTTAGGTTCATCAGGATACATACAAGACCAAAGTGCGTAAACTTATATAAGTGAACACTTACGGAAAACTTTCTGCTTCTTTCCCATGATGGATGGCTGAAGACAGGTTAATCTTCTTCTAGCGCTAGTTACACCTATCATAGACGACAATCACGCTGTTCCTCTCATTCAAACGCCAATAAGCCTGTCTGTAGCCCTAAGCGCCACCGATCAGAAACTCTTCATCTCCTAGGAGCCGTCTCACAAACAGCACAGGACCGTGCCACGCAATGAACCCATGTGACTCTGTTTGGAGAGGATGGGCGCGGCCATCGAACATGGCCGCCTACGCAAGCCCTGCCTGAGCCATCTGTACACCAAAGACTGTAGAGTGTGAAGGATCTAGTAGGCCAGCACGCAGTGGGTCTAGGTGTGGCCTCTTTTCTTAGAGGCTAGTTCGGCAGTGGATTTACCTGCTCACTTGAGCCACATGTTGCCTTGAAACCCGTTTCAAATGGAAGAGGTGGTGTAGGCCTCGGTTTACCTTAGGGGCCAAATGTTAGCCCATTGCGCCAATCGCCTTGGCCCTTTTGAATGATGATTGGCCCCTACGAAGTACTTGAGACGGAAGAAAGCATCATCCTCACATCGAAGGATGAGTTCCTTTGGTGCAGGAAGTCAAATGGAAAGGGGAAGTTGTGTGTTACACCAGGTGAGAGGCATAGAATGGAAAAAACTTGGTGAATGTTTGGTAATCAACCTTTGCTTGATTTTGAACGCGAAAGTGACTCTTACCTTGAGTTTCAATGCAGATTGGCTTGCTGAGCTTTGAAAGGATAGAGGTACTTGGTGATCATAAGTATTCTATTCAGTGTTTCAGTGTGTGGAGGAATGGAAGTTGTTGCATTTTTACATGGAAGTATTTTGAGTGTCCTATTCTCCAATCTATGAGTATGTTATCTATTCCAATTATCTAAGATTGACTGCATAGAGCAAGGCAAAATTAAGTAGACCTATTTGAGCAAAGCAATTGCCACAAGAATACTTATTTTTTAGCATATCAATAGCCAATTGAAACAGTATCAGTATTGATGGCACCATTATCTTCAGTTTCAGGATGGCACATCAAAACATTGGTACATTGAATTTAAGAGAGGAACACTGTCATAGGTGCTCTCTTCTGAATGTCAAGTGCCAGCATGGTCTATATTGATAAGTTAAGCTGGTAAAGTTCTGTACATAATCTGGATCTCCTTGTTTGCAGCTGCTCAATTTGCCTCTTCAGTTGGTGACATACATTGTCATGGACACATCTATGGAGTCATCGGGAAGATTACACCACCCGGAGGTGAATTTTTATTATTAAGAGAGTTTTCTAATTTGCCTTTGTCAGATAGTCTTTTAACTAAGCCTTAACCTCACAGGATTTCAAGTGGCTTACAACATGATGTCCACGTTAATGACCTAAAACATTAAGAGGATGTGGCCTGGCAGGCTCAAATGAATTTATATAAAAATCTGTGAATGTATGTATCTTGTCACTGTTAGACCATAAAATAGTGGTACATGGTATTGCTCTAATAGTCCTTCTGTCCATTTTTATGTTTTTCTCAGCAATACTGGCTCTGGCCCACTTGTGTATGTAAAATGCATGGTTTTTTTACACCACAAGCAGAACTCATAGATTCTCTTCATACAGCTCTTGTCAAATATGATTTACTATTCAAAAGGAAATGGCTAAGGCAATGCAAAGTGGAATTGCATTCAAATAACGAGATTGTTGTAATGAGAATGTTTGAGCCATTTCTGGTGACTGTTATCCATGGTTCTTTGCAGAATCTCGTCCTCACTTGCTTGTGATCTCACAGAGAAGTCAGGTCGGAACATTGACAAGGGTGGGAGATGTCTACAAGGTTGAACGAGTGTCGTCAATTCCCCTCACTCCAAATGAATTTCTGGATACTTCAGAGCTTCTTCTCGATCCATGCCCCAAACATCATCCTTGCCTGGCAGGTAATATGACAGTAGTCGTGGAGAAGCATTCTCCATTGCTACTTATGTCAGCTGCTATCTATCTGCTACTTTCACCTCCAAAATTTGCTTGACCGTAAAGGAGATGGGTATTGATGACATATGGGGTTGGGACTGACAGCTATGATCTGTGCAATAATGAGGTTGGGACACAGGAATTAAGTGTCATGTAGCTCTTGTTGTAGAATGTACATTCTTTCCAACATATCATTATTACTTGATCCTCATAGTCAGTGGTATTTGCACACTATTTCCTACAGCTCTCAGCCACATTTCCCTTGATTGACTGCTGATTCTTCATCTAATGCTTGATAATCTGACTGTCCACTTAATTATTACATGTCACCCAATATTCCTCTTGTGGAATCAGTGGTCTTCAGTGGGCAAGCCCACTGAAGTTCTTCATGGTCTCTCTCCAAATTTGAGATCATATTTAGTTTTGCTTCTTAGACTAGCAGGAGTGGGAAATGGCAGCCATGTTGTGGATGAGAGTTTCTTGAGTATGGTTTAATGGTTAGGGGTCTCACAGACCTTAGATTTGTAAATGAAGGGTAAACACAAAAGTATATGACACTTCAAAATGTTCAGGGACTTGAGTTGCTTTCTGCTGTGCCTCACATAGCATTGTTTTTATGTATTAAATCAATACATAACTGATTTTGTTTGGAATTACCATAATGTGCTACAGAACTCTTGATTTGTCTCAACATAAATTTGTTTTCACCACCACCACCAACACCACATGTTTTCAGGAGGAAAATTTCCCTTCATTGAAAGAGAATCTTAACAATGGAAGCACTGGGTGAGGCATGTTAAAAATAAAGTTAGGCAGAAAGGGAGGAAAATGAGGTTGCCATTGATTGAGATTATCCCCTATGATATTATCCCCTCAGATCATGGATGGTGGGAAAAGGGTGAAATAGTAACAGAGATATATGTACACTCTAGGTGTTTGTTTATATCTAGCAATTCATTTTATAGGGTTATAAAGCTCAATATCTTTGCCTGCCAAAAAAATATAGTCTATGCAAACAAAAAAAATTGGGTTTCCAAGTATGCATTTTAAAGGAAACACTGTAAGGCAAAATAAGGAACTTTAAAGTATGGGCAGTTAGATGTGGATCTGCCTGAATTTATTTTGTAGTCATTTTTTGTGGTACTTTTACATCTTGCCTTCTCTGTTTTTCTAGACTGAATCTGCTCTGGGGAATTTATGTGACCTGATTCAGAGGACACATACCTATTGCTGTGTAAAAGAGGTATTACTTTCAGTTTGATGTGCTAGAACAATTTACAATCCCTTCTTGAACCCTTCCTTCTCCTCTTTAGAAATATTACTCTTTTAAACAAAGGACTGTGTTATCAGAAATTTTAGGCAGGAGAATGAAAAATTGTTCACCTAGAATGACCTGTGCTTTTTGCTAGATGAACTAATTCACCTTACCCAGTGGTGTAGCTGTACTCAGTCTTTTAAGTTGAGGCAAGACAAGCAAAGTGCAATGAGTGAGGTGTGTGTATGTGTGTATGTTTATGCATGCATGTGAGACCTCATTTATTCTTTTTAAAAGTAACCATCTTAACTGATGAGGCATCAGGGACACAGGCTTCTTCTCTGAGGTCTTGCGTAGTTCCTGCCTACTTTTTGTCAGGCATTACCCATGTCTTGTCCATATGGATGTCCTGCTCCTTGGCAAAGAGAATTTTTCATAGTATGTCAGTATTAACCCTTTGACAAGTACACCTGTATATATAGGGTGGTTAGAAAAAAATTATAGAGCCTGCTTCAGATGAGTCAGTTTTGTAGTAATTAATAATAGAAGCCATACAAATTCAGGTGAGTGAAATGGGGAAAGAAAGGTGAGAAATGCAAGAAAGCAAAGATTGCCCCAAATGAAACAGCTTGGCAACTCTCTCCTCTCACACCAGCCCTTGCACATGATGTTCAGTGATGGCTCTGCAGCCTCCAGGTTCTCCACCTTACTTTTGGGCATCACCCCTTGGGACAATACCTCCCTCCCTGAGATTAAAATAATTGCTCCATGTGAAACAAGAAACTAGAAACACAAGAACAATCATTCTCTCAAAAAATTGTTTAATTGAAGCAGGCTTAAGGAGCATTCCATGAAAGTGACCATCTTATTATCAAAATTGAAATACACACGAAGTCAAGAAAAAGTATAATTGGAATACTGTCTACCTAGATAATCAGTTGAACTACTTTCAAGATTTTTTACTCTAAAAATTGGCATTTTGTTGTGCAGAGGAATCAAATGGCACTGAAATATGTTTAAACATTTTTGCTACTAGGCCATACTTCTGTGAGATTTCCCACAGCCTAAGGAGAAGTAAAATCAGAGATGTTGCTTGTAAGTGACACTTGTCTGAAAGAAAAGAACATACTCATTTTTCTAAAAGAGCATCATGTTCTGCACATAGTAATTTATCACTCTTGAAAATGTGAACCAAGAGAAGTTTGATTTTTCAGAAGAAACTTGGTTTTACTTGGCATTTAACCATGAAACATAAATGCAAGAATTCATAATGGAGATGTTACACAGACAATGGAAGGAAGCAATTTGGTTTCTTCACTGCTTAGTTCATGGTCTTTCATGTCCATTACCAATAATTGAAGATAGGTCATTGTCATCAATGGTGCCAGAGAAAGAGGATGAAAGTTCATGTACATAGTATCACTCCATCTGTCTTCACTTTAGCACAACATGAAGTCAGCGTGAATAGTGTTTAAAAATTTGAACTCCTGAAAAGTTAAGCTAATTATGTTCCAGGATATCCCCTTCATTATCATGGAATGGCCTTGTACTGAAATGGCTGGCTTTGACAGCTATTCATGGTTGATTATTCTATCCCCACCCAGAGGCTAGAAATGCAAGCCTGACAAGGATGAGAATTGTTGCTTGAGTTTACTGTCACATTCAGTGACTGAAGTTTCTATTATGAGAAGGTGAAGTATTGGATGTGGATTTAGGATGCCTTTGATTCACTAGAGTTGAGGTACTATTATTTAGTCAGTGCTGCTTGTGTGTTGTTTTCAAAGTACTAGAACAAGTGTGGGATCACAGACTACATGTCAGGAAATGCACTTCTCTTTGCAGGGGACAAGCGCCGTGCTGGTAATTTTAAGAGCTTCTTAGATGCGCCATCTCAGTCTGCTTTGCAGTTCACAATAGGTGCAGTAAAAACTGCAACCAGCACACTGAGATCTGCAACAAATCAGGCTGCCCTCTCGGTTACTTCTCAGGTAAGGAGTATTTTGACACTGTCTATGAGGGATTGACATGTATCCTCAAGCTAAATTTGCTTCCAGATGAAGCCAATAGAACAAGGAGGGCGAGAGAAAGAAAAAATTACACGAAGAGCATGGGAAGAGTTGCTGAAACTCCTCAGTGAACCAGATTCCCTCTACTATGCCTGTAATGGACTTTTATCCATGAATCTTCTCAGCCAGTGGGAATCCTCCAAAATTGAAAAGGGTACCCTGCCTTTTAGCTGGAAAGGAAATGAAAACTTTTTCTGGAACAAGTACCTTGCTAAGGATTTCCTTGAAGCTGAGGTGAGTTTCTGTAGAGATCTTCTCAGGATACAGAATACTGTAAGAGACACAAGTAAAATTGGTTAAGGTTCAATTTAGGCCCCATGGTGGTAGGAATTTAAAATTGTTTACATTTAGAGGAGCTTTTAAAGAGAATACCTGAAACCTGATGTGTAGCCTTTCAAGCACCTAGGCTTTCTGGCTATGACATGTTGGTGCTGAGATGCCATGCCACTGCTGATTGTGTGTGTAATTCATCTACTAGATGAGGTGGAAAGGTTTGGACCAGGAAGCTCTTCAGTTGTGAAATTCAAATATGTTTGGTAGCCTCTTTTAATCTATAACCAAGTGCAAAATTATATTTTAAAAATTATTGTATAATGCCCTAATTCCATAACCTGTCTACACTGAATGGGATTCATTGGACCCTGTACATATCTCATCAAAGTCTCTCAATAGGTGTTCGTTATGCAACAGAGCTAATGGTTGCCCTGTAAATTCCATTATACAAATTAATGGGGTATATACAGCTAACTTTAATATTTTGGTGATCTCTGACCTGACATCAATGTGTGAGGTTCAAGTCTTTAGTATATGTCAACATAGAGGACATTTTGGAGGCCTGAAGACTGCATCTAAACAGTCAATGAAATTCTTTTTCTCTTTAGCCAAGATGGACACAATTTGTCATATTTCATTTGAAATTTACAGAAGGGCACATCAACAAAGAAATGAAGGATTTGATTTCTTATGATCTCATGGAAGCCTCCTGTTTGCCTGAATCAAGTTCAAGATTTCCATGATTATATAGGAGAGAGTTAATTTTAAAAATTAACAGTTTCTCTTTTTTTGCCCACTTTGCTTACTGAAAGGAATTACAAATCAGCACAAGAAGGCAGTATCTCTGTTTCTCAGGTTGACCAAGACAAATGCATAAATTACAGTTGTTGGGCTGGTTTTTAGTTGTCTTGTTCTGATTGCATCCAAATTGAAGTGTCCTTTGGAATGACTGTTCTGTTGATCACTCAGGATCAAGATGTATCCAGATGGATCATTCCTCTGATCATGGGATATGTTGAAATTCAGAGGCTTCCACTGACTCAGTTTGGACTTTTTGCTCCAGCTGCTATGAGCAAGGTGAGAAACAATGATAATCCTTGAACAACACCTTGCTGCTGGACTCAGTTAAAATCTGACAAGACTGCAAAAATACTTATTTCACTGAGGAAACTTGCTGTTGTTTTTGAGAGTTATACAAAATTTGGCAAAAATAAGATGCTTGAAACTGTATGCTTCTGCCCTTACTGGAGCTGCTTTAATAAAATTTGCTCTGTTCATAAACTGAGATATTCCTGACAAAATTTTGAATTTTCATCAAATTCATTCTAGGTAAGCAATGCTATGAGCAATCATTCAAATGAAATCAGAAATTGAAAATTAAGAGGCAATTCCTGTCCCTTCACTGTAATTATATTCCACCTGCTAAAAATGAAGGAAATATCTATAATAATAAAAAATTAAAAAAACATAGAGCAAACTGTCTGTATATGTACAGTAGGAACAGAGTCAAAACCCACCTTCTCATCAGGAAAAGGTGAGTTTTTGACAAACAAAATTTTCTCTTCCATTGAGTGGTACATTTGCTGCAATGAGAGCAAAGACTCCATACTCCCTAGATTGGACTGACATTAAAATCACTCACACTGAGGGGGAGCAGGGAGAGATATTCTGAGTTTTCCTGCATTACATCTAGGCAGTGAGCTGGTGTTTGCATTATTCTGAATGTAGGAGCACAAACACATGGGGGGGCATTTGTGCTACTCCAGCTCTTTCTTGTCAGGTTTTTCTTGCTCACCTTGCACCATGCATAATTCTGTTTCTGACTTTCCTTGATTTTCTTCAAATGGCTTCCTACTCTGTTGAGATTCATCAATCTTGCACTTGACATGTGAAATGGTTGAAATCTTTGATCCTGTATCTCATGTTCATTATGTTGTTTGTTGATCTGTATATCACAAGGACATTGGAGACCACGGAGAGGTATGTCTGTCAAGTGCCACTTTGGTGTAACCTGTCATGTGAAGAACTGTCTTGAAGTACATTTCTGCATGCTTAATGTGTTACCTCGCCTGCTTTGATTTTTATTATCTTTCATGTATTGATTCTGTTATAGCTACCTGTGGAAATACTGCTATTACCATGTAATTATTGACATTAAACCAATTTAAACATTACTAATGTTACTAGTCCACAGGTCTCTTCAGATAACCTGGGCTACTAGTAGTAGTGAGGGGAAAGCAGAGGAAAGGTAAAAAATCTAGAAATGTGTATAATCTGAAGTGTCAGTTGTGTCTAGTGGGATTCAAAAGTTGATGAAAGTGTAATGATTTCCCTGGTTGCTATAAGATAGTCCAAATGTACCACTAGGATTCAATTTGCATGAATAGTACCTTGAAGAATGGTCTGCTTCTGGCATGACTGTGGTCTCGTTATCAGTTAACTAGAGAAAAAATAGATGAACTCTTGTGAAAACAATGTCATAATCCAGTTACACCTATTCTAAAGCTTTCTCCTCCATATTTATGTTCCTTGTGAGAAGCTTTCTCATTGGGATTCCAACTGTGCATTATGTTAAATATAACAGATGTTTCTCAAAAACTGAGGCACATCACATGGATTTGAAGGTAAATTCTGAATATGAACTTAAAACAATTCATGCATGACAGTATTAGAAGACATTCATTTGCATACATTTTATGATTTGCAGACTGTGTCATGCCTCCTCTGTTCTGTTTGAATGGAAGTTCAGATTCAGCAGTAGTATAGTCCAGATTGGAATGTCAATGGGAATAGGGTTAATGAACATCTGAAGTTAATTATGAAGTGTGAGGTGGTATTAGGTGGCAGTGCTTAAACCAGGGATGGGTCCAAGGGGTCTGGACACCTACACTGGTACTGGGTGGTAGATACCCCTGAGCATATCTATAAAGTATTCTTTTATCTCTTCTCTTCCTCTTAGTTCAAGAGTTAATGCCATTTGAAGTAGAATTTTGGGCACTGGAGAGGGTTGTGAATTTGAAGCTTATGGGACCAGAGAACATGCACATAAAATGAATGTAATGTTCTACGAGGTCTGATCAAAAAGTTCCAGTACTTTTTTGTTAAAAAATAAACTGCTGTAGGTAGGGGGCTAGAACTAGTGTAGGTGGGAGTGGGGGTTAACCGCACACACGTTGAAACCTCCTTTGCTCTAAGATTAACCAGTCGCAAATCACGAGTGTTGAAATCCGATCATCTCTGGGCTCTTCGTTGAATTTTTGATCATGCATCATGAGTTTGTCCCACAAGACCAGACAGTTTTCCAGGTTTACTGCAAAGATGTTTTGACTTGTCTGCGAGAAAAAATTCGAAGAAAACAGCCCCAACTTTTCCAAAATGAAGCCTGGTTTTTGCATCATGACTATGCTCCAGCCCATACTGCTCTCACAATTCAAGTCTTTGGCTAAAAAAAAATTCCTGTATTGCCCCACCTTCCCTATTCACCAGATCTGCCTCTGTGTGACTTTTTCCTGTTCCCCAAGATTAAATTTCATGTGAAAGAAAAAAGATTTGAAGACATAGCAAGCGTCAAGGAAACTTTGACGAGGCAGCTTAAGAGTCTTACACTCCAGGACTTCCAGCACTGCTTCCAGAAGTTGCAGGAGCATTGGGATAAGTGCATAGCATCGAGGGGAGAATAATTTGAAGGGAACAACAATTAATTTTAATGTACTTATTAAAAATAAAGTTTAAGAATAAAAGTACTGGAACTTTTTGATCAGACCTCATAGAAGATAATCAAGAGTGAAGTAGAATCAAATAGGAGAGTAGGGAGTGTAGCCCATCCAGCTTTAACTTAGCCCAGCCCAACCCATCTCCTAAACTTCCAACTCAGACCTACCAGCCAGCCTTCTGTTCTTTAGTACACCTTATGTATGTGCCAGTGGTAGAGATACTTGGATGCCCTACCTTATGCTGCTCATGTGGTTGCTGTATATCATAATACACCATTTAAAAAAAGAGTGCTTTTCATTTTGTCTGGAATGAATATAGTATTTCTTTCTCTCTTTCATTGCTGAATTCCGAATTCATAGGAAGCTTTCTTCTTTGATTTAGTATGCAATGCATGAGGACTCTTACTGGAGTTTCAACATGGTGATGAAGGGAAGATAGAGGAGTCCAATTGCCTGCTGCTTTTCAAGTGCTTCCTTTCTTTGGAATATTGTCCTATTCTGCTGATTTCAACCATGAGAATAGTTCATCATATCACTTACAGCAGCCAAATGCCACTTTGTACTCTTGAAAATAAGCCTTGTGGATCCATTAGCACTTGTTCTACATGGCATTACCATCAGCTTTGCCATACCACTTTGGTGGATGAATGCTTTAGTTTCTAGATATTCGTTAACAATTCAATATATAATTTTTTCAAATACGAGGGATTTCTCAAAAGTTCTGCCAGTAGCCCACAAGTCGTCATTGGAGGCGGCCGCAAAGTGCCACTTTGGGGCTACTGGCAGAACTTTTGAGAAATTCCTTGTATATTATCCCTCAATTTCATCCTCTTGGTATTTGTACATATCTCATGTAGCTTCCAGACCATATCAGCCTGGCTTTGGTGTCACGAAGAAGCAGATATCGCTGTGGAACGAGATATCGCAGTCGAGGCGTAGATGAATCTGGTCATGTCTCCAATTATGTGGAAACTGAGCAGATTCTAACATTTGGGCATCATTGCCTTTCACTGCTACAAGTGCGAGGATCTGTACCAGTGTTCTGGAGTCAGCCAGGGTATAAGTATCGACCTCCTCCTCAACTAGACAAAGGTGAACCCTATTAGTACATTCTCTCCCACTGACTTGGATGGAGTAAATTCTTTTGCTTCTCTGCAATTAGTATTCCAATCATGTAATTATGGATTTTTAGATTTTAAAAACTTTACATTCCATGGCATTTATTTCTTCTGTGTTCTCCATCATCCATTGTTCAATATTACCAATCTGTTCCAAAATCCAATCTGTTTTTGAAGGATTTAAACTTAGGTACAAAGGTACTCACCAGTAGAAGCTTTGGTGTCATGAAGTAGCAGATATCATTGAGAACTAGTTCTAATGTGGCATAATTGTAAATAACTTTCCCATTGCTTACCATGCAGGGAAAAGGAAACTGATTGGTTAGGGAGTTGAAGAATTATTTAAATTTCACATATTCACTATGTAGACCTTGCATTCTCAAGTAAGTGCAACAAAAAGCACTCTATGCTGAATACATGCAATGGAAAACCATCGGTACAATGAATCTGGAAACCCTGATTTCAGCTTTTAAGCACCAAGGACATGAAATTTGAATCAAGATTGGCTTGTGTTACTCGTGTCATGCTGTTGCAATTCAACTCTTCCCTAATCTTTCATACTGAAATGAAATGCAAATGCCTCAGTGCTGAATACAAAGCCTATAACTGAGGCATTGTTAGGAAGGGCCTATTTAATTTGGCCAAAGTCACAATATGAAAATGGACTACAAGATTTATTCATTGGTCCTTAGGGATCAAATCAAATATGAGACACATGCTGTTCAATTGCTGTACTTAACTTCATACCATGTACATTCTCTGGTGCATCAAACCATACCCTCTGCATGGCTAAATGAAAATCTACAATTGCACCTTGGCCCATATCACTCAAAAGAAATAGAATGAGCAAAGGTATCAGGCTAGAATGCATTAATTTTGCATTCAGAGGTAGCCATTTTGATTACTGTAGTTCTTCATAGTAGTTGGTCATTCTCCCTTTTTATTTTTTTCATCTATGCCTATACTATATTTCAGAGTATTTGTGTGTGTCTGTCTGTTCTTTATGCATGGCTACACCTCTGATCCCAGTCTGACCAAACTTTTGCATGGCTTCCTTGTTTGGTCTGGGGATGGGCATAGACTAGGAGGCATTTCAAAATTCAGACCCTACGAGATACCTTATATGGTCAATTCACTACTACAGATCCCCAATGGAGTCAACATTTTGGAGGGTCAGTACAAAGTTGCAGAGGGACCCCATGTTACTAAATAAAATTTCCATTGCACCTTGCAACAAGTTGAATAATTATTTTGTATAACAAACTCACTAGTTGGTAATATTGAACAGTTTCATTTAATTTTATTTAACCAAGTTTTATACCAGCTCATATCACTGGTGAAAATATACTCTCAATAGTCTCATACCCCCTCCTGGAGCATATATCTACTGCCATGTCCAATGTAGGAGAAGAAGAGACTCAGGAGGCTTTCAGACTTCACTTTGAGAGGGAGCTAGCACTTCATAGGAAAGTGAGCATCATCAGTCTGATAGAGCAGACTGGACGTGAGAGCATCATGGCAGATGCATTCCTCAAGCATATCCTTCTCTTCGATCATCCTGACATTAATTACATTACATTTGACTTCCATGAACTTTGGTGAGTTGAAAAATGTTAAATGCACAAGGAAATTGTAGTCTGGCATGTTATTTATTATTCCTGGTACTCTGCTTCATGTTGGACTCCATAGTGTTCTCTTCCTGGTTCTCTTAGCCGAGGGCTGAACTTCTCCAGCGTGTCCCTATTGATTGAAGCTGTGAGTGACATCATGAAAGAACAGGGCTTCACATGGATCGACAGGCATGGGCTTGTTTGTGCTCAAAATGGTATCTTTAGAGTCAACTGTATGGACTGCCTGGATCGCACTAATGTTGTTCAGGTGACCTTTCTTACCTTTTCTCCCAAAGGAAAGGCTTAGAAAGTGAAGGTGTTCTAATCCTGTATGTTATAACTTTTTTTCTGGTGAAATCTGCAGGCAGCAATAGCTAAGACTGTCCTTGAGTGGCAGCTGGGGAAATTGGGACTTTTACCCCCTGGTGGAATGTTGTCTACAGAATGCCAGTACCTGCTTCAGCACATGTGGGCCAACAATGGTGATAGCATTTCTCGACAGTATGCAGGCACAAATGCTCTCAAGGTATACCCCAGGCTCTGGCTTTTAAATAGTTACATTAATTTGGTTAAGTTCCTTTGACACACATGATGATGGAACTATATTTTTCCTCTTCTAGGGAGACTATACGCGTACTGGTGAGAGAAAAATAGCTGGATTGATGAAGGATGGCATGAATTCTGCCAGCAGGTACGTCACATCCATGTAAATTGCCCTCACTGCCAGAGTGGCAGGAGTCTTAGGAATCAGACTATGAAAAGTTATGATGTACTCCTGCTAAGAATCGTTACATGTAGCTATCACACTGAAAGTTTAATTTTTTAAATGAGACCCAAGGCACCATGGTTTGATTGGTCTCACTGAGTTTGTGCATGGCAATTCCCCTGCATAACCCTTGTGATTTTCATGTATGGAAAATTCCATCTGAATGTATAAATACATGGGTTGATTTTTTCTATTTGATTATAGGTATTACCTGAGCCAGTTCAGAGATGCATACAGACAGGCTGCATTTGATATCATTCAAGGTGGGATTTTTGTTTCCCTTTTGCTTTCCATAATTTTCTTCCATGTAAACCAAAGTTTGTTTCAAATAGGGAAGCCAGTCTTACCTGATGCTTCTGTGGAAAAGTTGAGCGAAGAGGAGCCATCATCTGTCATCGACCGAGTTCGAAATCTTCTAGCTGATTGTCAAAAGCAACTCCTCACCGATCCCATGACGGTGGTAGGATCTTGGGGACTTATCAATGCTGATCCAGTGTCAGTTCCACATCTCAATCCTTGTTCTTGGAAATCTTTGTCCTGAGGGTTCATTCTATGTCATTGTGTTCTGACATCCTGCAGGACTGGGGATATGACCGAACAAGATGTGGACTGTATTCTCATACTCACGCGGAACTCTTATTTTGTTATAATGTGAGTTCATTTGTACTTTTCATCTCCTCAGTAAATGGAAATCTCTTACATTACTTTGTTTCAGCAGTTGGAATTAGTGAATGTTTGTATTTTCACAGAGTTTCCCCTATTTTCTTTCATACCATCGCTGCATTAGATCTGTTTTTTCCTGCACAATGGCATGGTACATTGCAGGTATGAAGAAAATGCTGACTGCATCGAGGAATTTGAGTGTGTACCCCTCGAGGACATCATCAGCATCGAGCTGGGCCCATTGAAACCGGTGGGAACCTCAAACTTTCTCCGCGTGCGGAAGACACGAGAGCCCTTGCTTCGAATCAACTATCTGCATCTTGGTGAACCAGGGTACTTCCACCAATTTCGATCTTCCTATCTTCGCTTCTTCAACAACACTACAGTTGTGATTCAGTCTCAGGAAGAAAAATTTGGTGAGTTTGCCCTCATTTCAGGCATGAAAGGAGGATGTATTTTCTCTGGGGCTGCTAACTGATTTTTTAAATATAGGCATGGGCTCATTGATGGAATGAGCAAAATTTATTATTCTCCATTCTCTTTAAAAACCTGGAAAAAGATATATAGAATTCTTACAGTGAAGGATATGCCATTTTTCAGACTGTCATCTATACAATCTAC